GCATTTGTGGGCATTGAACTGTAATGCCAAACAAAAATCCCCAATATTTTAGCCTGAGCACAAAGGATGGGGAGGCTCTTCGGACTCTTTCAAATGTTCCCTTGCCTCATCATATGAAGATTGGAGATATCGGCAATGCCACCATGTAACGTGACTCATCCACCCAACGAACTCCTATTTTTTCCATGAATCCCTGCAACTCTTCAACTTCAACCACCCACCATGCCACCCAACGAAGCAATTATAGAGCAAGCGATCGCTCAATTGAATCGACAATTGATTCCTAAATATGCTGAGGTTGCAAAGGAATTCGGAATCAATCGCGTTACCTTGATGCGGCGGTTCAAAGGTCAACAGGTCTCCAGAACAGAGGCAACATCAATCTACTGTCAGAATCTCACAAATACTGAAGAACAACACCTCCTATTTCATATTAATCAGTTATCCGATCGCGGCTTCCCTGTGACACCTCAAATACTGCGCAATTTTGTATTTGAGATCACCAAAATGCAAGTAGAAATCAACTGAGTGTCTTGCTTTTGTGAGCGGCATAAAGCAAAGATCAAGAGCATCTATCTTCGTGCTCTGGATCAAAAGAGAAAGCAGGCAGATAATAGCTACTATTTTGAACACTTCTTTACTCTTGTAATTGCAGTTTTTTTGCTTCTTTTCGCGTGCAATTCCATGAGCTTTTTGCTGACTTCTATTGAATAGTTGCAGGAGAAGATCAAGCAGTATGATATCCTACCCCAGAACACCTACAATTTCGATGAAAAAGGCTTTCTTCTTGGCCTCCTTCGTACCCTCAAGCGAATCGTTTCAATAGAAGCTCTCAAACGGAAGCATACAATTGGAGCAGTGCAGGATGGCAGTAGAGAATTCATTTCTCTGCTTGCCGGTATTTGTGCAGATGGAACTACAATTCCACCTGCACTCATTTACCGCGGGGAATCAAGAGATATGCAAGATAGTGGCTTGAAGATTTTGATCCTAAAAAGGATCAGGCATACTTCGCTGCTTCAGAAAATGGATGGAGTAATGATGAATATGGGTTAACCTGGCTGAAACAGGTGTTTGATCCTCATACAAAGCAAAAAGCAAGAAATCATTACCGCCTGCTTATATTAGATGGCCATTCATCTCATATAAATATGGCATTCATTGATTATGCGGATCAGAATCGAATTTTGCTTGCTATTCTTCCTCCCCACTCTACACACCGTTTACAGCCGCTAGATGTTGGAATATTTGGCCCACTTGCAAAGGCATATTCAGATCAACTAGATTCCTATACATGTTCTGGCTATGGCTTTATTCAGACTACAAAGCGAGATTTTTGGCGATTATTTCGTGCTGCATGGGAAATCTCTACAACTGCGGAAAATATCAAATCTGCCTTCATGGCCACTGGCATACATCCTATAGATCCTGCCCGCGTTCTCAAAAAGATTCAACCACGTCCACTTACACCCCCGGAACTGCTTCAGCAGCGTACACCTACATCTATACGAGCTTTGCGAGGCCTGATAAAGCAGGAAAGTCAACGTCACCGCCGACTTTCAGTTGATATTAAAAAAATTCTCCGCGCTGGGGAGAATATTGCTCTGGACAGAGAGGTTCTCTTAATAGAGAATAAGAATCTTCAGACTGCTCTAAATAATGAGAGAAGGCGACGCAAACGGGGTAAGTGTATGGGGTTGCTTAATCCATCAAATCCCTCACTTGCTCAATTCTTTTCTCCCACAAAGGTGCAGGCCGCGAGGGAGCAAGCAGATGCTAATGAAACTGCGAAAATCGATGATCAGGCACGCAAGGAGGATATGAAGCTTCAATGAGCGATTCTTCATGAGCAAAAGCAGGCAGAGCTCATGGAGCGGAAGGAACAACGTGAGAAGGAACGTTTAGAAGCTGCTCAACGCCGTGAGGAGGCCAAAGCTGCAGCTGCAGCTAAACGTTGTATAGAGAAGCAACGGCGAGATGAACAGAAGCTTCAACTGCAAAAAGAGAAGGAAGAACGTGCTGCTAAACATCATGAAGCACAGTTGGCCAAGAAGGCACTCGCGGAGGCCTCAAAAAGGCCTACAAGAAGATCAACAGTGGGCTCAAAACACCGTAGAAGCTCTATACAACCTTCTAAAAGCGGTAATAAGTGCCGCACGCAGGCCCCCCCAGTGGAATCAAATGATATTCCTTCTCTGAAACCTTCTACACCGCGATCCGATTCAACCGTTTCAAAACCACGAGTTTCACGTTCCGGGCGGATTATTAGGCCAAGCAATCGTTCTCTGAATTAATCATATATATTTATATGATGTATTCTACATATAGTTTTAATCTTTAATAAATAATATTAATATCTTCTTGCATTGTTGTGCTACAGTTGAAAATTAACGGCTCTATAGAGCGCTTTTTGGAGTTCGTTGGGTGGATGAGTTCGTTGGGTGGTGAGTCACGTTAAGCCTAAAAATTTCCTCATTAACATTCAAAACTCGTTTCCATTCTTCCGCCTCGCATGACCAAAAGGAATAGATCTTTGCAAGAAGATGGGTAAAGTTACTAGATGTAAGAAAAGTAAATATTATCTGTAAATATATCAAATACATATCATGCAAAGGATATATATTACACTCTAGGTCATCATATGTTTCCCATTAATAGATTAGAGACCGGCCATCAAAGACGGTTGGTTGAGACATGAACAGAAGAGAGAAAGATAAAGATGGAGAGAAATCAAGTTCACCAGGCAAAGGATCATATATATAGAGGAAAGCTGATGGTGAAGGGTTGTTTTCTCACAACAGGGAATGGATGGAAGATCACTGGGGTGTCTAAAATTGAATGAAGCATTCAACAGAGATTGTCTCAGAGCATTCTGAGGAGAAAGTTAGAAATTGAATAATACTGGATTGATAACTAGATGTGCTACATTACCAATGCACACACTAGAGTTAGTTGGTTGGGATAATTTCCTTTGGAAGCTGGTGAAACTGTACGATGAAAACAAGAGCTGTTACATTCTGAAGAAAGCGGATTTCTACATTCCTTTATTTGCCTGCATGATCAATAACTTGAACCAAAGCATAAGCACAATTGACAACTACGCCATCGGTGACGCTATACAATTCATGGTTTCGACTAGTGGGAAGGTCATTCATGGTAAAAATCGAGGGCTGGGGTGGAGATCGAGGCAGGTTGGGGGTTACCTTAGTGATGCCTCAGTTCAACAGTTATCACGGGATATGACGAGCATCAACTTCCAAAATACTCGAGATGAAAGCTCATCCTCACCAGGTAATCCACCACTTATTTCTGATGACAGTGTGGAGAAGGAATCCACTCTAGATTTCAGTGAACGGCATGGGCGAGGTTTTAGGCTCATGCCTCAGCCTTCTCCAGACATACCTACATCTTCTAAAGATTTGGCGGGAGGGTGGACCAAATAACTCATTGATGGTATAAGAGAGTTGGAATGATTTGCGCTCGCGCTTCAGTGACATCAGTCCCGCTCGCCTCGAAAGCCTCTAAAAGCATACAACCACATGAAACTGATGCACCTCTCTCTGGTGATCATGCGCCTTCACTTCTGTCTAGAATCATTCTGGAAATACTTGATTGCACACGGATTTCTATTTTGCACTTGTGTAAATGGTCCTTGAGGATTTGTTGAGTAGCTACATATTTGGCGTGAAGAGATATTTTTGCCCGATTCATCACACTCAAGATTTGATTTTGGCGATCGCATCATCATATGCCTTGATAACAGGATTATATAAACGCTTCGGATCTTGCGGGGTGCCAATGATAATTCCTCTGTCCCCGTACGGAAAAAGAATGTCTCGTATAGCTCTGCAAAGAGGTTTGGCACACTCAAATATTGGTGGAAACTCAGATAAAATATCCTCAAACCCATCTGCACCCATGTCACTTCGCTTAATTCTTGCGATCTCCCTGTAAGTATCGGTGTACCATTTTGTCAGTAAACTGTTGTTCGGTGGAGAAACTTCAACTGTTAAGATGCGCTCAAATCCACCAGCTCCGATGTTGCCTTGTTTGGTATTTGTGATTGTCTCATGACTTCCGGCGCACCATATTTCTAACATACTATCTCCCAACCAGCCATGTAGGTGATACAACGCTCGCAACTGCTTTAACTTGTTCCAACCATGACGGGCACATTGCCAGATAAGCACGTAGAAGAACGACTCGAGATCATGTCGATAGGTATGGTCGATATTAAGCAGCACCTCAATTGCCATGAATTCCATCGTGCCAGTCTGGTGCCGCGCGCCACTTCTCCCGCTCCCAACCTCTTTGGCAAGATCCAAATCGATTAGCATGCCCGAGTGACCGTCCGCCTTGCCTGGATCGGTTATTATTATATTGTTCTCCGAAATATCCCGATGAAGGATGTTCCCATCCAGGTAAAGAGACCGGTGCGCCTTTATTGCATCGCGCAGCGCCGTGAGAAGCTCCAACGGTGACCTGTAGTCATAGATCGGCCGGCCAGCGGGCGAGATCACGAGACACCGGAGGACACGGTTGTCGTACGGCTCCTCGCCGTTCCTGTCGAAGAGGCTCGGTCTGTGCGCCGACTGAATGGAGAAAGCTAGTTCGTTCTCCTCCTGGGTGTCCCTTGATGGTTGATTGATGGAACGTGATCGTTTGGACACCTGCATCCCCTTATCCGGGGATCTGCGTTTCCTGGAAGATGACTTTCGACGGATATCTAAGCGGCGCGGCTCGATGAGCGGCTGAGATTGATGAAATGAGGAGGTTGCGCTGAGGGGTGCGCTTTTGAAGTGGTGGCGCTTGTCGAACGTCAGACCGCAGCGCATGTCGGCGATGCTGGTGATGGTACTGTGACCGATGATCCTTGCGACTCCTTGGACATTCTTTTGACATGCTAGCTCGAGGAGTTCCACCTCCGGCCGCCGCTTGTCCGACACCCACGAGAATTTAGCTACGCCTTGTCCATCGTTTGTGAGAAAACACGTGGTCCCGCGACACACGATGGCATGTTGAAAGGAAAGTATTTCACCCAGCCGCAGCACTTTTTCGTCTAGGGTTCCAGGCCCTTTGACGGTTATTGATTTGTTGCCGTCTTCATCCCTAGCAATAAAACTATCCAGTCCTAGTTCCTCATCACTCATCATGGTGTAGCCAACAAGCACCTGAAAGTACCGTTTTGAGTCCTCGTAGACGTCGATGACGCCGGAGCTATAGGGACCCGAACGGTCGAACACCCACGCCTCCATCTTGGTCCCGCAGACGGCGAACGCGTGGATGAACCGCCGGGTGGGCTGCGCATCGAAGACCTCGCGCACGTAGCAGCCTATCTGCAGTAATGTGGCTTTGGTCCCGAGCTTCTCCTCAGGTTTTTTAAGCTCGCCAACCACCAGGATGTCTGTCCAGTCGTGTTTGTTTTGCAAGGGGCTCCCACCCCTAGCTCGCAAAAGAAGGTCGACTTGCCGTTCTGCCTGCGAACCAGTAAGATCCGCTTTGCTTGCTGTGGTGTAGTAGGTGCTGCGTGATTCCGAGAGAAGGTCTTCTTGAAGACGAAACCACCAGGCGAGGACATTGCCCTGTGTAGGAGGATCGGGAAACTGGGCCCAATTACTGTCGCTGTCTGGGTCTAACACACGTCGACAGATGGTATCTGCTTTGTCACTCCAATCCTTCTCCTCAAAGTATTTGTCAAAGAAGCCCTCAACATCTCGAAATGTGCAGCCACATATCTCCTCAAAGATTCTTGGATTCACCAACTTACGCGTCTGCTCGGAGCCTTTCTGCGATGATGAGGTGGATTTGACTGGCGTGCTGTCATAGGAGGGTGGGATGCTCGTCGGAGGAGTTGATTGAGGGATGTTGTCAATGAAGTTAAATACAGCTTTCCAGATGTCGATGTTCCATTTATCAACGTCCTGGATTTCATTGTCTGGGAGCCTTTGGATGACCAGGTGTACTAGAGGCCGGTAGTCATCATATTTGAAGATTCCTTTTGTTTTTTTGAGACGCTCAACTAAGTGTCCTAGATCAGACTCCAATTTCCCATCACCTATCCGTGAGTGAAGGTTACAAGCTGCACCCTCTTTCTGTAAAACAGAGAGGAGTCCCGAAGTCGCTCCCCGATAGAGTTGGTCAAGGCTATCAACAGCGCCATCATAGGAAATTAGACGTGACTCATAGATTTTTTCAGCTTCCTGAAGCACACCTTGTAAATGATTGACTGAGCTGGTTAGAGGATGGTTCTTGATAATGTTGCGATCTTCTTGTGAAAGTCCCGCCATTTTGATGGTATAAAAGACCGTTGGGTTGATGCGAGGTTAACTAGAAGTTGCTGTGATGAATGGGGCGGGAACAAAAATGCAGAATTGTTAGGAAGTTATGATGTATGATACTTGTGAGAGAAGATAGCTGGTTAGAAACAGATACTGGTCAAAGGGTTGATCCGGCTTGGCTCTGATGTGGAAAACGGATAGACCACTGAGCAAGGGACCGGGTGGAGATTAATGAAGCGCGAATAAAATACAGGATTGAAATTGTATTTTGAGGAAGGTCGGCTATTTCCATTTAGAATTAATGTACGCCAACTGTACCTGCTGGAAAAATATTGGTCCGGTTAGAGAGGGTTTTCCGGCTAAGTTGGCACCACGACTCTTGCATCATGAGATGTCCCACATGCCCCGCCAAATTTTTCTCTATTTTTTTTTTTTTTTTTAATTCCAGTCCTATCGCCACAAACTCATCTATCCCTTGTTACATCCTCCAATAAAGATGACACAGAATCAAACAAGCGAATTTGAATTCCTTCAACAATTGATAGCAATGCTAAAGGAGATTTGGATGAGTTAGCAGAGTGGTTTCAGGCAGCAGAAATAGTCACCTGGGGAAAAAATACATGACATTGTGTTGATATAGCAAGATTTCAGAAGGTCTATCTGCCTCTGAGTAAGTTTAAACTGGAAAAGTAGATACCTCTCTGGCTCATATTCACAATGTTGCCACCAACTATTTGCTCTAGAGCTGCAAATTTACCCTCTACAAAATTTCTGAATATACAACGATTCAAAAAGGACCGGAATTTGACAATCTTTTTTTCCCGCTATTGGGAGCTGTAGATATACGTGGCGTACGCGTTGAGCCAGGGAAATATATTCGGTTTGCAAGTAATCAAGTCGTCGATGCTCAGTCGGACTTTCTCATTATCTCAGCACCACGCGTCAATGTCCAATGAGAGCAGGATGGAATGAATCAGTGTTGTATGGGCGGTTGGACAGAGGTAGAATGGGCAATGACTGAAACGGTTGCATCTACCACTGAGGACAATAAATTAAACAGTCTGTGCAAGCCTAGTTACAGGACTCGAATTTTCCACCTTGAATCCTTCATTAAAGTGATACTGTAAATCTGCTTCCGTGAGCTGAAAAAAAGCTATTTGGTAAACGTCTCCCTCGACGGCTGGGTTGGCGGATTGCTGTATGAGTGCACCCGCTAGTGTGGGTTCAGATTGCATTGGATAATAGACAGGGTCATAAGTTGAATGATGGTTGCTACTTTATTGTCACTCATTCGCCTACAGTTAGCATACACACTCTTTATGATGGTTTTTCACAATGAACTTTTTTAACGTCACGTTCAAGCCTCTGCCAGGATCCATGCACATTTTTGGCAATGAAATGCATCACTCATCCCATTTACACACTGGTTGCCTGGACTGGTCCCATAACTGCCTTTGCGCAACTGGAGGAAGATCCGTGATCTAGCATATACTGCCATGTTTCTTAGTGCATAATAATCTTTTCAATTTTTGTCAACGGTCCCCGCTTTGCATGAGATATCCTCCCCTTAGTTATTCATACCCCTCATGTCCACTCCCAAATAATCATCTACCATTGAATAAAGAACAAATGAACATACTTCGGCATATATTGAGAGCACTTGTGACTAGAACATAAGTAGGTCTTGCGCTCCCATCTTGACCGCATTGATGGAGATTATGTCAAGTACTCACCAGCATCTCATCCCTCGCAGGATTATTCTAATACTCGCAGACGCTTGTTGCTTTGGAATTGATCGGTGACGATTGTAAGAAGTTCAAGAGTCACATAACTTAGCTGGATTTCGTACTTGACAATTATCTCAGCATGCTCAGCCTCTCTTCTCGATATTTTCGGATTAGCGCGACCAACTAAACTCCTTTAGACTTCTGCCAAGTCCTGCTAACTTCTGGACCAATAAGAGACTTCACACGTGCTCGCAACCTAATATCTCGTAGAGAGTCTGAGAAGAAACGGTTCCATCGTGTGTGGAAAATCAACACCGCCCATACAAAATATTCGATTGACTTCGAAATCATACATCTACCCTAAATATCTGCCTGATCATCACCAAACCGATATTTTTCAAATCCTCAGCCATTCTGCTATCATCTCTGCTATTTTACAACTCACTACCCCTTCTCATCATGTCACAATCGTTGACAAAAGACAGCGTGTCTTTTGAATCTCAAGACACCCAATGTCAGACGCGCTCCAGCCAATATCCTTCATCACTCGAAGATGAATCCTCTCTACAACCACTACAGTCTCCCAACAATGTAGATGATGAATATGACACATCAGACAGTGACTTAACAGAGCTTGAATCTATTGATACTCCTTCGGAATTCGAGATCACCGATACTGATACCGATACCCCGCGAGCTTGTTCACGATCAAACCGCCGTGGCCCACAGCACCTGCCTACAATGCCTTATAACCGGCAGAAAAGACGGTCAAAATTATCTCGCGTTGTCAGAACATTACAGCGAAACAGTTGGGGAATGGAGGCCTTTATAGAGGCTTGGATTCAGAGTCCCGATATCTTGACTCATCGACGATACAGTACTCCTACGAAGCGGCGAAATGCACTATATTCAGCACTTTCCAAAGCAGGGGTATTCAATGATAATCAACGTTATACTGTCTTGCTTAAACAGGAGCTGAAATGCCTTATCAATACTCCCTTCTTTGCAAAATTCAATCACGATTCTGATCTGGATACCATTGACTTAGGTTTCATGAACTCCTCGAAGCGAATATTCTGATCCACTTCAGACACTCGAGATGTGAAATGCTGAATGGTGTCATTGATGAAAGAGGTGTCAGTATTGTTGACATTCTGCCTGTTATTCTGACAGATCTGAAGAAGTATTGATCGGAAATATTGCACTGCTTGTTGAACCTTGACATGACTGTCAATAAAGACAATGGTCTTTAAAATGTGTTGAGGTATGATCTTTCCATCTGTATCAATGGCCTCGTTCAATAAAAAATATAACATATCATAGGATACAAGTTTACCGCGTGGAATCGGATGTACGCCGATAAAGATATCAGGACGGTTAATGGAAGTTCGAATAACCTGAGTCTGCCGTGGGTTTACACCAATAGAACGAAATCCAGCCTCTTGAAGAATGATATCTTCAGCTTTACTGCTGAGGGTTGCGGAACAGCCAAACCAGACAATATCCTCACGAAGAAGCAATCTCAGATGCCCCAGCCTGGCAAACTGACTACGGAATTGACTCCACTGTGTGACAAGATGACACTCATCGATAGCTACAAGCCCAATCTTTTCTTGTAAAGTAGGGTCTTGAAGAACATGCTGAAATCGCTTGCAAAGAGCTTGCTCTGGACTGAGCAGTATATGTGTATACTCACCTTGTTGAATGCGTTTGAGTAAGTCTTCTTGCCCCTGGAGATTATCAGCACTGACCAGACAAGGATTGGCACCGGGAAACCGTGCTATATCTCTTGTTTGCTGATCACCAAGCTTGTTTAGAGGAACCAGTTGAATGGTTATCTTTCCTGTCAGAATTGTATAGGATTGAAGAATAAGGCTCTTTCCATAGCCAGTTCTGGCAATGAATAAAGTGTCGCTATATCCATATATCATGCGCCGAAGTATACGGACTTGTTCTATGCGTGGCTGAAGAGTACACTCAGGATCTGGACGCGGGCCTTGAAGTATTCGTTGAAGACAATACTGAATAACATCCTGTTGCTTGTCGATACTATCTGGTCCGGCATAGCTCATGACAAGTTGTGGCATATCTTCAATGTTCATTGAAAGTATTTGCTTTAATGATGGCTTTTGAAGCCGCTGTTGTAGCTGACTTGCGCGTTTTCTTCGATCCCCCTTGGCCATATTTGATGCAGTTGATGGGACGTTGTCCGACCCAGCTGTCAAAAAGAAGTGTTATGTGATTGGTTCAGAAGTTGTCGGAAGATCCCAGAAGTTGTCAGGAGTTCAGAGATGTTGTCAGAAGTTGATGTGCCGCGTGAGGTTGCCAAGAGTTCAGAAGTTGTCAGAAGTTGCCAGAAGTTGCCGGAAGTCGCTGGAAAATACACTCGGTGCTTTGACTAGAGTCTCTGATGGCTGGATAGATGTTTTGATGGCAAGATCAAGGCGTTGGATGACTAGACATGATCATGGTTGAAAAATTAGCAAATCGTTCCCGTGTTCAAAATCATAGTAGCAGTTTTCGACGCGACACTTCATACTCAGAATATATGTATTTTCAGATAAAAATTACATCAATCGACAGGAAATTGAAAAATTAACCCTCCAAGGTGGTAGAGAAATGATCTATGAGTGATGTTGCACAGTGATTCTATCTCAAACATTATGGTTGGAGCAAATCGTTCCCGTGTTGCTAACAAACAGGAACCGTTTTTTCTCAGACGCTCCGCGAAGAGTTTGCTGGGGATGTCCCATTTAGGTTTAGTGTAAGCCCCGTGACAGTTGATTGGCTCAGATGTTAGCAGGACTTGGCAGAAAGTAGCAGTAGTTCGGATTGGGTTAGCTCGGAGTGGAGTGGCTGAGTTTACTGAGATAAAAAGCCCCGATTCATTCAGTTTGCTTTGGCACAATAGCTGCTTTGACGAAAAAGGGGAAAAAGATTTTCAGCGGTTGGCCAGCTAACAAAGTTTTCTTTCGGTGGAGAGCAAAGGATCTTCTGAAAATATGGGCCAGGTACGTCAAAATTTCCCGTTTTCACCTCCTACCACCTACGGTTTTGCTAATTCCAGCGCGTCGTCTCAGCCGCCCTTGAGAATACTTCAACTCTACCATTTTGTCCCACAATCCGCCCGTCTCTTTCTCTATCGCCTTCTCCTACCAATTGGTACATACCTCTACGGTACCGGGACTTACGGTGTGCTTAATGTTCAACGGCTACCCTTCAATCTATACCTCAAACGGGCCCCGTCTCAGCGTCTCGTGAACGAAGCGCGTGCACTTGAATTGGTTGCAAAACACACAACATTAAATGCACCTCGGGTTCTTGATTTTATCGAGTTACCAGCAGCAGAAGAGTGTTGGATGTTGACCACTCGCATCGAGGGTGACATTGCGGGAAAATGCCTCACGTTGATGGATGCTGAACAACTAGAGCAGTTCAGCATTGATTTTAGGGATTATGTGGAGCAAATTCGATCTATCCCAAATCCCTATTCCCATCTTATCTGCAGCCCACTTGGTGGAGAGTGTCGCGATTGTCGAATTGACCATGACAATGGCGGGAACGGACCCTATGACAAAATTGAGGATCTGAACAAGCGTCTCATGAGCATCTCTAGCCCGATTCCAGAAGACGCTGATAGAGCTCTGGTTGCAGAGGTACATTCCCGGCCATACCGTGTTTTCTTCACGCATGCGGATCTCAAGCCAGGAAACGTGCTGGTACATAGTGGTAGATTATCTGGGTTTGTTGATTGGGAATTTGCAGGTTGGTATCCTGAGTATTGGGAGTACAGCAAGGCGTGCTATGTTGTGTACAGATGGCAGCTTTGGTTGGAAACGATGAAAAAGGCGTTCCCTGAATACACTGATGAATGGAGAGCTGAACGGGTACTCCAAGCCCATACCTGTCCCCTCTGATCTACATTTTTGCTGCATGAAGCGCCTCCTACTTCAGTTTCAGATATGGTGTTGGGCATTGCTGACCATTGTAAAGAAGAAACCAAAGGAAGATTTCGATTAATCCACCCACTATTCCCCGTAATCAATGATTTCAAGTGGCCGGTGCCCAGAATAACCCCCTGCCCCAACAGGCTTGGCTAGGATTGGTTTTAGACTTCGTAACCTGAAAGAAGGATGAAACTCATCAGCATTTCTTCTTTCTACATTTTTAGGAAATGCACCTATAAATATAACCTGCCGCGCTCATATGCTACCGGCGGTAGATTCATTGGCCGTCGAGAGGCCATACTCAAAACACGATAACAACGGCGCAGGCGAACCTAACGGATGGGCGGCAAGCGCTCACGTTCACTACCAATGAAAACCCTTAGATGGCAATACCCCTGTCCCAAAACGTCCAGGGCGCATTCTGCGTCATGGTGGGAAACACCATCTGTTGGTTCCCATTGCTTTACTGGATACCGCACGCGCCGACAACCTTCTCCAAGGAACGCACGCCTGTCCTCTTTCATGTCTCCACCGAGGACTGGGCCCTCCTTTCTTCTGTACATGCTACCGAACGATGACAACCGATGGGAGAGTCATGGGCCGCCTCGCGAGGATCGCCTATATAAAGCCCCTTAACTCTGCCCTCGTCCCTGGATGTCTTCAAATCCAAACCAACAGAACCAGAATCGATTCTCCAATCTTATACTCAACCGTTGCCCCCAGTATCCAGAACCCTATATCCACTCCCCCCTTTCGCGGCATACTTCGTTGCCAATTCTTCAAAGTCCAGCCCTTTCCTGTCTTCGCCGTCTCGGTCCATACACCTCGTTCCGACAACTCTGGCGGGCTTTACGTCCTGAGCTCATCGCATTTTCAATCGACGGTTTCCAGCGTTTTCGATCTATCCCGTCTGACCCCACACTACAATACCATCGATCCCATACCACCATGGAAGCCAACGGGATTTATCTCATTCTTTCAGTTGCTGCGGTTGAGTACCATTGGGGGATCTATGTGGCCGAGAATGCAACTAAGGGGGTCATCCACCACGCCAATAACGCGCAAGGCGGTTGGTCGTACGAGCGCAAGCTCACTCAAACCCTTGTCCTCTCGAAAATGTTAGCATTGGCCTTGAAAATCGGAACCATCCCCCTACCGCAAGGGCATACCCAAATCGACCCTATCCTAGGCAATCCGAATATGATCTCGCAGGATCCGGGGTTTAGGTGCAGAGCGTGGGCACTGGATGGCGTGGCACGGCTCCACACTATGGGCGTTGTCAACGCTCCCGATAACTCGGCGGTGATGGCCAAGGCGTATCAGCTGGCAAATGCGAATCGATCGAACATTGAGCTAGGTACAGGGTCGTTTGTTGTGGCGACGTTGTAGTTATTTGGAATCCTGCTGCCGAGATATGTGTTTGTCCCTGTTTAAGCTGATGGGGAGCTGTTTATGGAGCGACCGCTGACCATGTCTCATAAAACACCTGAATTGTCGCTTCCTGTACCTCTGAAAGTGACATATATAAGAGTGATTGTTCAAATGAGAAAGATTTTGAGTCCATGTTCCTTTTCGTTCCCCTATCCCATTATTCTACCTTGCTGAAGTTGAAGACATGATTTCGCTCCTTAGGCGTTGGAAATTGTAAAGAGCCCCCTAGTCAGATCCATGAGCCTGCCGGAAATCTGGATAAGATATCAAATCATATTCAATCCCAGTTTTTGTGGGTCATTTGACGCACTTGTTCGCGCTGTCCCAATGAGGGACGAAGTGCGTGCTCCCGGCCAAATCTGCTCTTCTAAGCCATGCAGAGGCCCATGGAACTGTTGTGCGGGGTCGCACTCGGGAGAAACTAGCGTTGGAATATCAACGGAGCCTAGAGAACTTGTTTTGTACAATAGAGATATATATATATAATAAGAGGAGTTGCGGTTCTCACAAATCATGTCCATCCTCACTCTTACTCAAATGCATGCTATATCAAAACACAAACAAAAAGCAAGTCACGCATTAGTTTACAATGTTTGGGTTATTTTCCGCATCTTGAAGCGTTTCAATCATGTTCCGGGATAGATTGGAATTTTCTTTCTTCCACCGTCCGCCGTTTGGAAAGACAAGCCGTCGTAAACGGTTGACACAAGAGATCAAGGACTGATAGCTCGGTGTGAAATAGTCTCCAGCAATTCTAAGAAAAGTCGCTCTCCTCACTTATCACTCCTTGCTTTGCAGCCGCCAGCTCTTCAGTACTCATATAATTCCATTTCTCAAACCGCTCGACAGTGCTTCCCTTCCCTGGGCCGTCATAGTGAATGCATATCCAGAACAGGACCCAGAAGAACGACTCCAGATCATGCATGAAACAATGTTTTTCGCCGTACAAGACACCGATGGCCATGAACGCCCTGGTGCCCGTCTTGCCCCGTGCGCCGGAAGATGCATCCCGTTGTACCCTGATTGCCAGGTCAAGGTCGATCAGAAAGGCAGGCCATGATGGGTTGTCCTTGTCTTCGTTCACCATCAGGTTCCGGGGGGAAACGTCGCATTGGATGAGGCCAGCCTCGTCATGGAGTGACATGTAACCTTCAATACAGCCAGCCAGCGCAGCGAGCAGAACGGCCTTCGAGCTACTCTGGTAGATTGGTTTCCCGTAGTCCCGGATAACGACGCGGCGGTGCACTCGGTTTAATTGGGTTGAGCCGCCGGCAGGTTTGGACGGAGAACTTGACTGGGTACGTTTGCTTGGGGGAGGAGGAAGCGCTGTGTCCACGCAGTCAGAGGATCGCTTCTGGCCGGCGGTGCTGCCCTGGCTCTTTTGTCCTCTTTGAGACCTACTACGCCGCACTGTCGCCTTAAAGCCACCCTTTTCATCTTTCGTCGGAATACTGAGGCCCTTTCGGATAGCCAAGACATCATCAACCTTGCCGTCCATGCGAACGGTTTCGTGGTGATAGTACCTCGCCACATTCTTGACCCCCTTCGCCATCGCTTCTCGCAACAACTCTCCTTCCTCAGTGCGTTCCGGATACTGCCAGGAGTCCTTGACAACCAGCGGCGTCCGTGATTTGTCAGTCTCACAGTGTGCCTTCCAGCAGGTTGTGGCTCGCCCGGCGACGCAGCGTGCTCGTCCGACAATCCCGTCGATGATCAGCCGTTCCCTCGTACCGTCTTTCTCAATCTCGATATACCGTTCGGTTCCGGTCGTGACGATGGTGGGATCAAACCCAAGTTGCTCCCGGCTCATCAGGAGGAATCCAAGGACAACAGACACAAATTGAAGGCCGTCCTGGTTGATGTTGAACTCCTCCGACGCGATCCCGCCCAGGCGGTCAAAGTTCCATAGTCGCAGAAATGGCCCGCAAAGGGTGAACCCCAGCACGAAACGACGAGTGTCCTGCGCAGAAAGGACCTCCCTGGAATACCTGCCAAGATCAAACCATGCCCCGGATTTCCTGTCGTATTTCGGGTCATTCTTCAGCTCTCCTGGCACCAGGATCTGCGACCAGCGGCATCTGGAGTCTTCTGTGGCCGTCGGATCATCGACAAAGCCGATATCGAGCTTTCTCTCCGCGATAGACCCCTGTAGTGGCTGGCTTGGCTGTGCGAGAGGTCTGCGGTCGATCTTCCAGGACGGCTCTTGTGCTTCGGCTAATCGTACGAGCTCAGCGATGATGTTAGCCAGCCATCCCAGAACGTCTTTTTCTGCCGCAAGTTCAGGCCAGCCCCGCCAGCCCTCCTCTTCACCGTAAAGTGGGTTGTCTCCCCTCTTGCACCCTTCCAACACCGCTTGTGAAGCTGCAGTGAGTTGTGCAATGTTTCCAAAGTACGCGTCAAAGAACCCAGGGATATCGACGTGTATCTCTCCAAGCTCCTCCTTCAGCACAAAGTCAACGTGCTTTCGGTATTCTGTAGAATTGACGAAACTGCTAGTGTTGCGCAACCAGGGCGTCTGCTGGATTGATGATATGGGGCGCGGAGGAGTGGTGACTCGTGTGACGGTGTCAATAAGACTAAGGACGGCGTTCCAGACATTGACGTCCAGGTCTTTTTGGATGACGAGCCACGCCAACGCTCGGCAGTGGTTGTAGGTGAGGTGGTTTTGTTGGAGGCGCCTGAATAAACTAGCGAGATCGGACGCAAGGTTTTCATCGCCGGTTCGTGAGCCAAGTTTGAACGCGGCTCTCTCCCCCATCAAGGTGGTAAGGAGTTTCGATATTGCCTGTTGGCAAATTTCGTCCCGAGGGTCAGTAGTATCATTATATTTTTGTTCTGCCTCTTGAAGTAGATCTTGTAATCGGTATAGTGAGTCGCTTAGAGGATGGTTTGCGATGATATCGCAATCGTGGTCCGAAAGCTCAGCCATATATGATGAATGGGAAGCAAACTGCAGAATTGTTAGCAAGTTATGATGTATGATATCTGCGAGAGAAGATAGCTCGCTGGGAACGAATGCTGGTATATATAATCAAAGGGAGGATTATGGCCACAGGGTTGATCCGGCTTGGCTTTGATGCAGTACGTGAATGAAAGAACGAATAGAGCCGCCGAGCAATGAACTGGGTGGAGATTAATCCTATTCGATCGCGACAGGAATGGTAATCAGCGCGAACAAAATAGGGGGATTGAAATCGTATTTGAGAACATCGGCTATTCCCATTTAGGATTAATGTAGGCCAACCTTGGAAACCAACCCGTTGTGTTGCAGATGCGGTTAGAGTCATGGTCCGACATGAGCCAATGATAACGCAAAGCACAACAGTTGGTCAAGCAGCTGTAGGGCGAGAGGTAGCAAGCGAATCATGATTGGAAGATCACCATCTCCCCTTACTACCTCTGTCCTCTCCTTCGCTTCTATCTGAATTGGTTAGAGGATGGTTCTTGATAATGTTGCGATCTTCTTGTGAAAGTCCCGCCACTTTGATGGTATAAAAGACCCTTAAGTTAGTGCGAGGAATTGCAAAGAGAGGGAAAGTTACAGGGTGGTATGCTAATTTTACCACCAAACATTTTCTTGGCCAAAACAAATGACTAAGCATGGAGCTTAATTGATTTTTGATTTGATTGGTTTATTCATTTCCACTGACCCTCCCTATTCGGGTTATCTTTGGACGTCTTCAATTACATGTACGAGCTTACTGCCTACCCAACACAAAGGAAAATATATAAACCGCAGCCCGACAGCACTATGCTGAACTTTGGTATTCGCTCTCTTCAGTGACCGCAAGATTGCCACTTTTTGGCCCCGCGATCGAAAGCGCAGCCTGGTCACCCTTCATACCTCAATAGTATAGGGGCCATTTTACACTTAAATGCGGTCATCCTGGTCATTCCAAAGGTATGAGGATTTTTACAGTACTGTACAGCTCTAGGAAATTCTCTGGATCCATATTGAGACCGATTCAGAAAGGGCCAATTTGGTATTAATTTCCTGTGCCATTAACCTCTATTTACCATGTTATGCTACCCAATGACAAAAGTTCAAAGTTCCAGAAATGAAACCACTTGGGTGCCTGAAATAGCCGCTGTGGACCCACCAATTGCAGCGCTTCAGGCAACTAACGTGACTAGCAGCTTTGGCAAGCCATCGCGACTGGGTGACGTCGAACTGTCGTATACAGCCATTCTCTTTGCGCACAGTTTCCTTATTCCACGCTTATGGTGCTCTGGGATTATATGGGGAAAGAAAATATTTGATATGAGGGAAAGTGGGTATAGTACGCACCATGGGCCACGGTTTCAAGGAACGTGGCAGTGGCTATATCCTGCTCCTAGGCCTGAGAGGGGAACTACATTCCGCGCCCCCGAAGCTCGATGATGCGGACATCTTCTTCTGAGGACCACTTTGGCTTCTTCTTGGGTAGAATTTGGCGTGCATGGGAGCTATCGGTCTGGACGTCAGGTGCCATTGGTTTGTTTTGGGCTAAGTGTTGGATCATAGACGTCATAGAGAAATCTGTGGTACTTTACGAGGAGAAAAGGGACGAGGGATGGAAGCAAAGTGGGAGGAGGGCTGGCTTTATATGTCTTCAGACCCTCTGGTCTACAGAGGGTCTATGCTAATGTTCCCCCGTGGAGATGGATTTGGAGCGATCGTGAGAGACCGCACCGTTTACAAGATACGTTGGCTGAGCTGGGGCCGGCTCGGGGCCTACGAACAGAGGGGAGGTTCATATGACATCTACAGTACTCCCTCCGCACTTCCCGTTGATGTATGGCTAGCGACGTTTACAAAGTTTGACTAACTTCCATCAATTATTGAACTACGACAGAAAAACCAAACAAGGCGGATCTCATCGAGATTCAGCATTATACCAAGCAGCGTTGTCATCAGATACAATTACCGATAGAGAAACACGAAGAAGAAAGAAAGAACAAAGCGCATTAGTCCTCACAGGTAGAATACCTGACGAACGACCTCCACAAACATGAGAGCCGGGGAAGATATGTAGAAATCCGTCCTAGTCCGCTTGCCGAGAAGGCAAAGTCCTAATTAACTTCTCGTCAAACAAAGCGCCAGAGGACCTCCCGGATTGACCATTCACATCAAACTTTCCATTATAAAACCATGAAGCTGAGGCGGAAGAACGCGTTGAGTCGGTCAACTTCCACGGTAGATTACGCGTTATGCACCTAGTTGCCCTCTGCGAGGTCCTCGAAGGAGTCAGTGGGGTTGGCAATCACGCGTGCCCTGGCATAATTCTTCACTTTTCCCCTTTCTTTGCTGGCTTTGGGTGAATTTCTCATCTCGGAACATTCTTTCATCGCAGGATCGAAACCAACGTTCTCGTTATCCATAAATATGGGATCACATTCCATCCAAGTGGGTGGTATGTCTGACATATATGTATCCATAAGCACGGGTGATTCTGATTCGGGGTTGCGTGAGAAGGATATCTCCTGCTCTTGCGGCTTCAGCTGAGAATCATTATTCAACACAGTCTCTGAACACATGTCAGCATATGCTCTCAGTTCCAGTTGAGATATCAATTACCCAGTTCCTGAACAACCTTTCTACCATCTTGCTTAGGGCTGGCAAACCCACCTGCAGTGTCTTCCGAGGGATTGGGTTTGGAGGTGATGGAATCCACCCTGGTTTCGCGAAGAGCTTCTACGAGTTCTTTCAGTTCGGAATGCTGATACCCATCTCCTGGTGTCACGCTCCGCCGGGGACTTTCATCGATGGGGGTGCATGGAGGTGTTGGCGCTCGCGAAGGGGTGGTTGGCGCTTTGGCATTGGATTTTGTTGGTCCGGGCATTGTGCTAATCGATAGAGTGAAATGTGTAAAGCTTGCAAGCACTAGAGAGCTTGGAGAGCTTTAGATCATGAGAATTGTATTTGCAAAGTTCGAATTTCGCGAGCCGTCCATTGCCTCAGAGTTTGGAAGGAATCTTGCGTCCTTATATGCTGCTGTAGATCGCACATCATTCAATAGTGTCCGCGCAAACCCCAACGCAGAATGCGTTGTCCATACCATGTGAGGCACATTGCACCATGCACCGCAAATATCCTAATTCAATCTTGTATGATTGTTGATGCAACTAAGGAAATGGCTGGACCGAAGCACATTAGTAAAACTGTGATGGAAGTTCTGATGGGAGAGATGATGGGATAGATGATGGGAACGGGACAGGAAGCTCCTCAAAGAACGTAACAACGCCATTCGTTCAAGGAATTATTACATAATGATTGATGGGAAGTTTGATGAGATTTTTATGGAAGAGTTGACGGAAGAATTGATGGGAGAGGTGCAGAGCGACACGTCATTTCGACTTTTGTGGAAATATTGTGGAAAGATGATGGGAAATTTGATGGACAGAAGAACTTCAGAAACAACATCCAGTTGTAATGAATCACAGAGAGCTAGTAAGAAATGTTTGAGTCTGGAGTGTGAGCCGCGCCGTGCATCATCGATATGTGCTCGTTAAGAGAAAAGCTTGGGTTTTAGGCGAGAAGGGAGATAAGAAGTGATCACATTGCGACCACCATGTTTAGCTAGACAGGCAAATATCCCGCCCGTGCTGGGCGAGTAGTTTTTAGATTCAACATCAAAACATGAACCAAGCGTTGCTACCCAATTTCCCCACCCATCAAGATTACCTTATCACATGATGTCTCGGTTCTGCTTGTTCTTAGCCAAGGCTCGACGCAATCCGATCTCGAAAGTGCTTCAAATTTACCCCGCTACCACAGGGCAATTTCCATTGTATGGCATTTAACACCCAAGCATTTTGCACGAGCATCACATTCTGTCACTGTCAAGTGCCAGCCTTTTTACCTTGATTCACCATTTGCAAGAGTGCGCCGCATCATTCCTACCTCCTGCTCCTGTATCAGCTTAACTATGCTACCTGCTAATATTAAGAATTGAGCCTCAGCCCATCAATCCTAGGCTTCTCTTGCTTATTCCCGCTCCAATCAGATAGAGAAGGCACATCGCATACCAGCCCCTCTAGCAAGGCTTGGGACGGCCCTTTGCAAGTACAAGCTTGGGCAAGTTTACGGTGAAGGGGTTCGTTGGCCTCACCCGATGATCATGTCCACCAAGGTCAGTGCCACATTTTTTGGAGCCTGAATCGATACTAATTTGGGCTACTCAGGTTGGACAAACCGCACTTCAAGGAAAAGAGGAGTATATACGTGGCCATATATTTGATTCAGTCGACTATGAGAGAACGATAACGGGCAGAGGGACGTTGATAATGGTCATTGATCCATCGGATGCGAAGAACACGAAAGCATACAGAGACATTGAACAAGACACTCCATTCACTGTCCCTGCAAACCACGAGGTAAAGGTGATAGATGGCCTAGTAAAGGTGACCAAGTAGGCTGCAATTTCAACATCTCAAGCAGCTGAAGCCCTGCTCTTTGTCCAACCCACATCGTGATGGAGATATCTTCGTTCTCATCTTCAGGAATCATGGTGGTCAGGCAGTCTGTTGTCGGTTCTCCTAATCCCCTTTCTGTTTTCCAATGGCGGCTGCTTTGGATTGCGCTGAGGATGGGGTTACCCAAGAGTGGAATGTGGTCGGCCGGCGCCTTCGAGAACATGAACTGGATTTCTACCTTGTCATTAGTTGAATATTTTCTGTAATTACACATTTATACTTACGCCGTCCCCTGCTTGTCACCGGAATATCTCTTCCTGTCTCTGACTCTGCATCTATACTCATGTCATTAAAGGGTATATCAATGATCTCATCAGCTAATACACACCTAGATGTGGTCCGTTTTGACTCGCAAGCTCTGCTAAGTATTTAGCATTGTCTATTGACATTGTATAAATGACATACCTTCAACACGTTTAGGTACTCGGTGGTTGATAGCAATGGCTCGAAGAATGGGATCATCGAGCTCATTACAATTCTTGATTAGATCCATCAAGGCCGCGCGCTCATCTTGCTTCATGTCAACGACCTTAGCTTGCCCGAGGGCCAAAGTGCATAAGAGGACCATATGAGGGCCATAGTGTTCTAGTAGAGTGTATAGAAAAATCTTATATTTCTTGCGCTTGGGAGCTGTCTGTACGATCTTTAGGACCTCCACAGCATCCGCTGCTCGGCGCTGTTCTGCTTTAGTTAGATGCTGGAGTACTTTGAGTTTATTCCCGGTTTTTAAAAGTAGGTCCAAGGCTTCCACTGCGAGAGTAGGCCGATAACGTGAAGGCTGCCGAGCTTGCTCCATCGAGCTAGGTTCGATGAAATAATTGATGGAACGGGTGAGGTTAAGCAGGGATAGGAACAACAGAGCCTGTTTGGAGGAAATGATGGACAAAACGATGGGAGAAGTGCGGGGACACATCAAGCTTTCTCCCCTTACAACTCCTGGTTAACTTCGCACCAACTCAACGGTCTTTTATACCGTAAAAATGGCGGGACTTTTACAAGAAGATCGCAACATTGTCAAGAACCATCCTCTAACCAACTTAGTCGATCGTTTACGAGGCGCGCTTCAGGAAGCCGAAAGAATATATGAGTCGCGTCTAATTTATGATGGCGCTGATGAGAGCCTGGACCAACTCTATCGAAATACGATTTCAAAACTCCTCTCTGCTCTACAGGGAGAGGATGCAGCTTACAGCCTTCGCTCACGGATGAGTGATGGAAATATGACATCTGATCTAGCACACTTAGTCGAGCGCCTCCAAAAGGCACAAGGAAACTCCAAGTACGACGACTACCGGCCGCTGGTCCGACTGAATCCCAGCACGCCGAAACCTGGAACTTCGATGTCTGGAAAGCTGTATTTACCCTCATTGACACCATCCCTCGAACAACTCCTCCGGCGAGCGTCCCCCCCTCCTTTGACGGCACCCCAGTCAAATCCACCTCGTCATCGCAGAAAGGTTCCGAGCAGACGCGTGAATTGGTGAATCCGAGAATCTTCGAGGAGATACGTGGCTGCACCTTTCGAGACGTCGAGGGCTTCTTCGACAAGTACTTTGAGGGAAAAGACTGGAGCGGCAAAGCAGATGCCATCTGTCGACGCGTGCTGGCCCCCGACAGCGATGGGAATTGGGCCCAGTTTCCTGATCCTCCTATGCAGGACGATGTCCTTGCCTGGTGGTTTTGTCTTCAAGAAGACCTTCTCTCGGAATCACGCGGCACCTACTACACCACGGCAAGCAAAGCGGATCTTACCGGTTCGAATGCGGAACGGCAAGTCGACCTCCTTCTGAGAGCTAGCGGCGCGAGCCCCTCGCGCAACAAACACGACTGGAGAGACATCCTGGTTGTCGGCGAGCTCAAAAAACCAAAGGAGAAGATTGGGACCAAAACCACACTGCTGCAGATGAGCCGCTGCGTGCGCGAGGTCTTCGCTGCGCAGCCCACCCGGCGGTTCGTCCACGCATTCGCCGTCTGCGGGACCAAGATGGAGGCGTGGGTGTTCGACCGTTCGGGGCCCTACAGCTCGGGCATCATCGACGTCTACGCAGACTCGAGACGGTTCTTTCAGGTGCTTGTGGGCTACACCATGATGAGCGACGAGGAGCTGGGACTGGACACCTTTATTACTAGGGATGAAGGCGGCAACAAATCAATAACCGTCAAAGGGCCTGGGATCTCGGAGGAAAAGGTGCTGCGGCTGGGTGAAATGCTTTCCTTTCAGCGTGCCATCGTGTGTCGCGGGACAACATGTTTTCTCGCAAACGATGGACAAGTGGAGGGCGTAGCCAAATTCTCGTGGGTGTCGGACAAGCGGCGGCCGGAGGCGGAACTCTTCGAGCTAGCGGGTCAAAAAAATGTCCAAGGGGTCGCCAGGATCATTGGCCATAGTATCATCACTAGTATCGCCGACGTACGCTGCGGCCTGACCTTCGACGACAAGCGACACGACTTCAAAAGCGCACCCCCCAGTGCTGCCTCCTCATTTCATCAATCTCAACCGCTCACCGAGCTCCGTAGCTTAGGTCGAAAGTCGTCTTCCAGGAAACGCAGATCTCCGGATAAAGGGATGCAGGCATCCAAAGGATCGCGCTCCATCAATCAACCGTCGAGGGACACCCAGCAGGAGAATGAACTAGCTTTCTCCGTTCAGTCGGCGCACAAGCCAAGCCTCTTCGACAGGAATGGCGAGGAACCCTACGACAACCGCGTCCTCCGCTGTCTGGTGATCTCGCCCGCTGGGCGGCCGATCTACAAGTACGAGTCACCCTTAGAACTGCTCACGGCGCTTCGCGATGCAATAAAGGCGCATCGGTCTCTTTACCTGGATGGGAGCATCCTACATCGGGATATTTCGGAGAACAACATAATAATAACCGATCCGGAAAAGGCGGATGGTCACTCCGGCATGCTAATCGATCTGGATCTTGCCAAAGAAGTCGGTAGCGGGCGAAGCGGCGCACGGCACCAGACCGGCACGATGGAGTTCATGGCGATCGAGGTGCTACTTAATATCGACCATACCTATCGGCATGATCTCGAGTCGTTCTTCTACGTGCTTATCTGGCAATGTGCCCATCACGGTTGGGAGTTTAAACCGCCACAATCATCTCATCAACTACAAGAAAGGCCCGAATCTAGTATGCTCAAGAATTGGTACACCGGCACCTACGAGGAAATTGCAACTTATAAACGAGGCAACATGGAAGCTGGCGGCTTTGAGCGAATCCTGATGAAAGAATTTCCTCCATGGTTTGACTGGGTCAAACCACTCTGCAGAACCATACGGCGCATACTATTTCCTCATGGGGAGGAAGGACTTATCGTTGGAACACCGCAAGACCCAAAAAGGCTATATAATCCTATTATTAAGGCGTATTCTGATGCGATAGCTCTGATTGAAACTGAATAGATGTGTTATAGTGAATAAGTATCGCTTATATTGGCCATCTCAATGCATACTGTTTAATTTACGCGGCACTTGTTTCTTTTTAAACGCCTGGCAACTGCTGTAATTATTAGGTCCACTTCTTAGATAGCTTGGCATTGCATAACTTTCTAGCCGCCTCGGACAGCTCAAAACAGAAGGGAGTCATGTTTGCCGAGCCTGGAGGCAAAGATCAAGTAAAGCAGCGCTGCGAAGAACGTGCGCTCAAAAACAGCCCGATCCAGGCGCTCACTGATATGCTGCATGATCCATGTCACCCTTGTCCAATTAACCAGCGCCACGTATAACCCCGGTTGCTGAGCTGAGAAACGCCTTGGTTGATAGCGAAGAGTGTTGTGTGCAAAAGAGGCGACCGAAGGGAGTCTGGTGGCTTCGGAGCGGTTTTTTGTTTCTATCATCCGCTTTCCTTTCAAGCACCCTTTATGCCTCGCCACCTAAGCCTCTGCGTCTTTAATATCGCCGATAACCTTGTCAAACGCGCAGATGACCTCTAGAACTCAGCAAATATAGGGATGTCAAGGGATTGTCCGCAGGGGTATTTCTCTAAATCATCGATTGCTGGTGCGAAATGCAATCACTCAGGAACGGTAGCAACTTGCCAGCCTGTGTTCCGGGCCGTCCCGTTCACTAACGCACCCTGGTATCTTTTGGATTGGTCAACTCGGTTGCATTCAACTCAGATTATGTGAATGGGACTACGCGGACTGAGTTTTGCCCTTGTCCAATTGCCCAACGCCAAGTAGTTTTATATGAAGTATATAATAATTGTGTTGTTCATTTATTTATCTATCAAATAAAATATAGCTGAAAAGCTCTAAATGATAATTTCAAACAATGATCATTTTTTAAAAAGTGTATTGAAACTCTGAATGAAACTTACCTTTCAATTGCAGTTTCAGCAAGACAGCAATCATTATGATGAAATTGAAAAGAATGAATTTCACAGAACATTCTGACAGCATGTAATCATAAATTGAATTTTATATATATTTACTCTGAAATGAAAGAATCTTCTCATAATAGCTGTGTTATTACTCACATTCAAAATAATGATGATTTTTTGACTGCAAAGAATGACTGTTATTTTCTTGCAGATGTTGAGTATTTGCAAAGATTACAAAGTGTTTTGATTTCATATTTAAAAATTCAATATCATTTCAAGGAATTCATACAAATTAACAAACACTCTGTCAATAAAAAAAAGTTTTTTAATCTTCAATATGTAAATATGAGAAGTGTAATCAAGCATGTTTTTAACATTTTCAAACAATGATTTTAAATTTATAACAGAGTTAGAAAAAATTATTCAATTAAAATTCAAATTCATCTGATTTTTACTCTTGCAACTGTTCATAACTTTCTAAACAAATATAATGAATTTAATGAATTAATAGTTGACTCATTGAAGAATGAAAATGAGAATGAGAATGAGAATGAATAAAAAGCTGTATATATAATAAATGAATAAAAGAATGATTCTTATATAATTAGAAAGTGAGATAAGATCACAAAGCAGATGTGAGAAATCTATATTCATTATAATAAATAAATAACAGATGTAGTAAAATAAGTGAATCTTTAACAATTCTTAATAATGAATGTGAATATATGAGAAATATCGCCATATTTTTACACATTTTCCTGATTTATTTAATAATATGATATGGTATTTTATATGTAATTGTGATATATATTATTATGATGTAATATATTGATCAATCAAATCATTCAATTTATCTAACCATCTCACATAAAAAGTGGTGATGTTTATAACAGTGTTTTTTCACAGTATTAATGGTATTTTTGATAAAATTCAATAAAATATTGCGGTGTGTTGATCTACATTATGTTTAAGTTTTAACTAAATATAAGATCTCATCAAATCAGTCACTCTACTTTTCACATTCAATTTCTTCTTGTCAAAAACTTAGTAAGTTCTATAGAATTTGATAAGTTTGATTATCAAAGATTCTGTAGCAACTTGAAATCTGAAACATTTTATTTGATGAAATCAAGAAATGCCCCACTGATTCTCAATGCTATCTCTTATATATATTTGAGCATGGCTTTTCTTATAAATAGTATCTAATTGTCATATAATTATCAGAGTGAGAAAAAGCAATTTAATTATTTTTATTGATATTCAGTAATTGAAATAATATTCAGACTTTGTTAGTTTTGATACTTCTATTTTTCAACACTCAATTTCCTTTACTTTTCAACATTCAATTCCTTCTACTTTTCAACTCATATTCTCTAAAATATTCATTATAAAAGCACACTGCTTGTGGGGGTGATGACTGTGTGAAGAGTGAATAGTAGAAGATAGTATATAGTGTAGTGGAAGATAATAATAATTATAGTAGTAGTATAGTTGAAGTTGTAATTGTAGTTGTAGTTGTAGTTGTAGTTAATCGCTGAAGAGGAAAAGAAAGAGAAAGAAGATGTGCGAAATACATGCATCCATATATATATACATATAGAAATAGTGGTAGCGAGAGTATAATGGAAAGAGGTAAGAATAGACGAAGATATAAACAAAGATAATATAATAATAAGGAAATAATAAACGAGTGCATTACACTGCTGCTTCATTGAGCTATCACTGAAGCTGTAATGTGACGGCGCCGAGGCGATTGCTACTCGGCAGCGGCACAGAGGAGGGTGGTATATAATGGGAAGCCTTATGGGTGGGCTTGATTATCTCGCTTGAACCGCGAACTCGTAGAATACTATACAAATACTGAACTACCAGAGGTACTCGGCACACTAAGAATATTGTATGAGGACAGTGGTAACTCTGGTTTCTTATTGTCAAAAGATAAAAGACGAATCGCTGGCTCCTGGAATAGAGAGCCAGCATCTAGCTATTCTATATAGACAACGGGCAGCCATCCTCCCCTCACTCTATGAGCGAGGGTAGCCGAAGCAACTCCGCAGTGGCGCTGCATTGATCTGCCAGAAGGAATCCACTGACCCCGTATAGAAACAGGATTCTCATATCTCATCAATCGGATCCTCTTCTATTGCATCCGAATGATGTCATAGGGTGGTTGGAAACCGGTTCGGACACCTGCGTGATGTCATGGGATAGATGGGATTATCCGAGGGGAAACGATGGTCCCGTGTGGAGCCGTCACGGGGCCTTGGCACAACCAAGGGGTGTGACAGAAGCTCAGATAAATTTAAACTATTACAGAATTGCTTATAAAAAAACATAAAATTGCAGTATAATATCAATATAAAATGATTTCTTCATTTTTTCAATCCTCTGAAAGTAATTCATTTATTTCTTGCAAAAACAATTTAGTGATCTTTTCAGAAGCTCATTTAAAATTTTTTTATAAATTATTATACATCTTCTTACTCATATCAAACAATATTGATTTAAATTTTGAAATTGTTTCAATATATTTCTTATTTTTCCTGTTTCATAATCATTTTCTCTTTGAAGCAGAACTGTCTGCAGCAGTAATTTGAAGCAGATCATTTATTGAAATCAAAGCATTTAATGTAAATAATGAAGATAAAGAAGAATATGATAAATCATTATTTATATTCAATTATTATTTTATAAATCAAAATTCAATTGCATATTGTTTTGTGACAAGTTTCCCATCAAGCAGTTACTCATTCAACTTTCAAAGTACAAGTTTTTGATGTTAAAATATAATTAAATTTGAATGATATTGAAAATATTTTTTCATGGTTTCTGAAGCATTAATGTATATTTTATATTCTACACATCAACTTCAATTAAAGATCTGATTTTTGTGTTTCACTTACAACCATCATATACATTTAAGATATCTTCATCAATTGTCAAAGTTGCTTTTATTGACAGTTTGATGAGTGACACATCAAACAATTTGAACTGTCATATTCCATTCATAAATTTTGAAGTTTTCATTGTCTGTCTCCCATCCATTCTTTTTCACATCAACCAGGCCCAATAACATCACCTCATCCATTGCAGAACTCCATGAAATACATGTACAGAAAGCAGATTGAGACGCAGGTTGAGGCACATATTGAAAGGTATATTGAGTGGCATATTGAGATGCAGATTGGAAGGCATATTGAGTGGCATATTGAGATGCAAATTGAGAGGCGGATTGGGAGGCGGATTGAGAGGTGGATTGAACAGTCAAATGATGGGAGGAATTTTCTATTATTATTGACAGCGGAGGCAATGTGGCAGGCACTATTATGGCAGGTGAGGGTGAGCTTGACCATTGACTTGTTGATGAGATTGGCACTTCTTCGGGTTCAAAAAGCCCATCATTATTTGAAGACTGACTGCCTGGCATTTTGCACAGCTCTATCATACAAAATAGGTGAGATTGAAATGGAATAAAGAACTCTGCGGGTTGTCACTGTGTGTAATTGATTATTATGATAAAACCACTATGAAGTTAGGGTGGCAAGCAAGGTTTGAAAAATCAACACCGGCATTACGTTAATATCCACTTTTTGCGTGCAGGTTATAAGAGCTTACACGGGCAACCGAACACGCCCCTTTTGTGCACAGAGATCTCCCCCTCCCAGTCCCCCTAAGTTTAACCAGGGTTCGAAGCGCCCAACCCACATTGCGCATTAGCGTCGCCTGGGGACCTGCCGTGGCTTAGGGTAACCTGACACAAAAAAGCATCTGGCAAAATGTTACTTGCTGATTTACCTATTGGCTGTCCTGTGCCTGATGCCTCCCTCAGGAATAAAGACCATTGACCGGCTGGGACAGCCAAGTGGGCCTTGCCAATATCCCCATGCCTATCATGGCAGCTTGTCGTGCAGTGTGTGATGTTGACGTGATGATAGGCCTCCGCGGATACTCTCTCAAGCATGGAGAAGAATATCGCTTCCTTTATGTTTGATGGTTCATGTACTATGCTGCGTACTGCAGTTCGAATAGCCGCCGTAAGTTCTTTGCTTGAAACTTGAACCAAATCCGACCTCCGCACTTCTCTTTCTTACACTTCGTTGAAACTGGCGCCTCGCTTAGTTTGCAGCTATTTAGGTTGTACTTGGCGTCCTTCGGTAATTTATTGGCTTCTGTTCTGCGACCACAGCGACCACAGCGTTCCCAGCTGGTCAAACCAAGGCCCAACCATGGCGCTAGACAGGGGTCAGCATTGGATTGTTCATCCAAATAATGCCGCCTTACGAATATGAATATTCTGATCCCTAGGGATGGGATGGGCATACTATTGCCCTCATTCAAACACACAGCCGTGGAGGATTGGAGACCTCCAAATCGACCAGGCATCTGTGATCAAACCGTCACTGATCAGGGCTAGCCATGGGGGGTCTCCGGCCTAGCCCGCTCTGGTCTCAGCAGTTCCTCTACTTATTTTTATTTAAGCTAGCTCGCGAACTTGTGGGAATTCTGAGGTCCCTCCAGCCCTCTGATCGTCAGCTTGGGCCTTTTGTGTAAAAACTCTGCTTCGTTTTGGCCAGTGACGACACCTGTCTATCAGCAATGGCACCCAAAGCCACACTTGAATTACAGGGCCACTTTTCTCATCATATCCTTTTTTAAATGCCGAGTTCCACATTTTTATTGATGGCTGTGCCCCCTTCGTTTCAACAGACGCCCATCCGTTGGGAGCGTTTATTTCCTTCAAATATATCGGTACCTCATTCCCTGGTATGTCCATGGGTATCTCTAGAACCAACTGAAGTATTTCATCCCATTTGTTCCCTCAGCAAGCGCCAGGAATCCTCCTATATAATTCCAACCCCATACAATCCTGGAGCGCTTCCATACGCTGTAATCGTCCGGCCTAATCATTGGACCCATCGAACCTTCGACTTCCGGTTTTGATTTCCCTCCAAATTTTCACCCTGAGCACGGTAGGGGTCTGAAACTAGATGCCCAAAATAGAATTGGCGTGGCAGCACTCGAAGACTTGTGGGTTGGAGTGATCTGCGTCTGGTCCGCCTTAGTATCGATACGGGATATATGTATATAAGATATTCTATATCTGCTGGGGAGGTATAGCTATTAAAAATTCAACAGATCGGGCCACTCGTTCAGGTCGATCTTGGCGTTTTTTCGGGATATCAGAACTATATTGTGATAGAGCTTTGGGCGATTCTTCCTGGCAGGATCCAGGTTACCTTCTTTGCGCGCTCAATTGGTTCTCGAGCAGCTCCAGTCGCTTTACTTCACCTCCTTTACATAGCTTCCGACGCAATCATGAACGAGTCATCCACAACTTTGATGACATTTCTTGTGTAAGGTTACCTTGTCTTTACATTCTTATGGACTCCGGCTGACAGAGAACAAGCCGCACTCCCCCCAATACCAGATTTGTCATGCTGTTTGGATCGTGGGACAACTTTACGAGGGCATATCCGATGGAAAAGGATAGTCGAATTGGCAGGGGTCATTGGAAAGGATGTCATATCTTCACCAATATCATATGTGATGGAGAAACAAAACCGCCGACTCCAGGAAGGAATGGAGGTCTAAGGATGGGCGGCACATATTGGTATTATGTGAGTGGAAGTATCATATAGAAGTTCCAGAAACGCACAAAGCTAACCTCTAATCATAGTACCAACTTGACAATGAAATTGATTTTTTCAATGAAGCCGAGCCAGTAACTACTTCCTGTGCTCTTCTGCCAGGTCAACCCTTGAACGTTCTCAACGTTCCTATCAACTTACCCTCGTCACATACCCATCTTGGACGGGGTACCAAGCCCGCTTCCCAAATACCCAACGATGGAACTATGGATCCCGCAGACAAATATTTGAACCCGAGAGTTCCAACGAGGCCTGTTTTGCTTCGTCTCACTACGTCTCCAGCAATGCTCATGCGTACCGACCACGGCTTAGCTTCCCCCCTTTCTTCTGGATCCTCCATAACTCCCGTTAACGAAAGAAGCTTCTCCCACCCTCGTGCCTTGGCAACACATCGACGATTCCGTATTGGCAGTAAACTATCTCTAGACCTAAGAAGTGCAATTAATCCTTCCCCCAAAACCAATTCTCTGCGATCTGCCATTCTGAACTTTGCCTCCCCGCGGTTCTGTGAGGGCGACGAGAACCGTGGCCGTCGCCGTCATAAGGTAGATAAAAGCCACATCATAAAAGTTCCCGAACCAGGACTGGACTCATCCGCCCACTCCAGTACCCCGTCTCCCACGTGGAGTGTTGTTGATAGTCTCAACAAGCCGTTACCCCATCCATACGTTGTTGATAGGAATATATCCAGCGAATATGCCAGTGGAAATCAATTTCTTGCGGAAAACCAACCGTCGTCGCCGCTGAAAGCCGCATGGACCGTTGAGCATCCATTGATCGATAGGCCTGGCTCTGAAGAAACTGAACAAAACCGCTACCTTGCTGTTGATCCATATCCAGACTCTATGACTTCACAAAGAACGCCCAGGGTTATCATTCCTCAGCAATCAGCAGGCGACATTTCAACTTCAACAACGACAGCTCCGTTGGATCTATACAGAAAAGCTTTACCGAACCTCCCACACAGCCCATCTTCCATTGCTGACGCAGAATTTCCGCAGATGGAAATTGTTGACCTCTCCCTTGGCGAAGAAAAATACTTCCAGAGTCATTTCTCCGACTTTACTGTTGACTCTCCCGGTAATTCGTGCTCTCCGGACTCTTTCCTCCAACCGACTGGTAGCCGGTTCTCAGAATACAGTACAGATACAGAAAACGCTTCGCCTTGCTCTATGACATCTGCATCAACATTTAATAACGACAATACATTCTCCCCTACCACAGATGACAGCAATGGGGGGCTTTTCGAATCCGCACTTACCGATCTATCTGCTCACAGCTCCTCCCTCTTTGATATTGCTTCCAACCCATCCCCGCAACCCAACGTATACATAAACAACGCGCACCAAGATCGCGAGACTAAATCCCACGACTACCATGCCGACAACCTTGTTATATCCTCTCTTTACATCTCCAAATATCCTAGTAGGGAGATCAAGCCGTGGACCCTCGAAGCCAATAAAAACACCACCAACCACAGCCAGACCAATAATGATGAACAGCGCGTAACACCTCCCGGGAAAAACTTAATCCTAACGCATGGTAACTTTACACCCAACACCGATTCGTTATTTATGGACGATAACCCTGAACTCCTCACCCCTCGCGCAAACTGTATAAATCACTCAGACACGATGAACAAGGACAGTGAGCGTGTTTCGAGGCGTGGTGGTAGTAGCGGGCAGAAGGCAACAAATCTCCGCGTCGAGTCTACAATGCAGGAGTTAATGGATGAGTTGAGTTACTTGGGCGATATGATCGAGGATAATGCTGTGAAAAGCTTCTAGATAAGATCGTAACTCTCCTCCCCACAAAGATCCTCCTAGTCTGTATTCATTTTTCTTTTCCTTCTGTTATTTAAGTACATTAATCTCGTTTTCCAACCATACATGGGTTCATGCTTCCCATGTTCATCCATCTCATTGGGAATACGGAGTTACTACATTTCCATCATGGCGTTTTATCCTTCTTCCTTGTATTACCATCATAGATCGCAACCCATTTTTGCTTTTCTTGGATTTTGTTGGATTTTCTACTTAGTCTCAACTGGTTGGTCATGTTCGGGGTTTGGGCGTACTGTCTGGTCATTTAGCCACGGGCGATATTGCCTCGATCGAATAACGGCTACTTATGTGTAATGCAGTACTCGAAACATTGTTGATGTGCGGATAATGTAGGGGATACAGTCTTTGTGAGGCGTTATGGGATATTCATGATACCTTCAAAAGCTTGTCTCTCCGTTATTTGTTTTGGTATTTACTTTGAAGCCTTTTCAATGGCGTCTGATAGGATCTGGTGGCTATTTGTCAATTCTTTGAAGGCCCCGATGGAGAAATAATGAAGGAGAAAATAAAATGAGGAATTGGAATACACAATATCATTAATTGCGTGCCGAATGTGTTGATGCTGACTTGTAATCTGATGCCGATCCGCCACACCGTTGAAATTATATACAAATATTTTTTCCGCCGCAACCAACTTAACTTGACACAACCTTTGGCACTCCAAAAAAAACCTTCTTTGTCCCCCTATATAATACAACCATCAGCATTTACATTCCCTATTAAATAATTACTTGACTTTATGTCTAATCCTTACAGTGGCATTTTCATGTACAATTTCCAGTTCCAGCTAGCCTCAATGGACACAGCACATTAAACCTACCAAACACAGCCAATTAGCGCGCATACAAAGTAAACGAAGTAACGCACCAGGAGTAAGGACGTGAGATCCTCAGAAATAACGGAATTTACACTTTCATTCTGTCCCAATACTCTCATCAAACTAGTCCAACCGTCATGGACGCGGAGTATATCCCGAAGTTGACCTCAGTAGCTGAGAAAACACTCGCGTCAAAATGCAAGCCTGGGTCAATGGCGTACTGTCCGACAATGGACCTGGTCGCGCTGACTAGCGTGGATGAGCGAGTGGATGTTTTCAGGTTGAATGGGCAGCGGGTGTTTGGGGGTGTTTATGGTGACGGTGGACGTGGCGGAGGTGAGCGGGGAAGGGAGGTGAGAAGGATTAAATGGAAGGGAAACGGTAAGGGGTTCCACGTTATTTTCTTTTATATTTGAGCTTCTTCTATCCTTTACTAGTTTTGACTTCGCAGAATATGAATATCCGTATTATTTGCTCTTGGATGAGGAGTTTTCTATGAACACGTTCCGAATCTAACAGCTATTACAACCAGGTCATCTCCTTGCCGTCGCCTGTTCTGATAACATTATCCGCATCTTAAGCGCGTACAGCGGCAAGACGGTACATCAATTACCATGCGGCCACTCTGTGACATCTTCAGTTGCAACTGCACCTTCATCGTCTTCCACGTCTCCACTTGGCTCAGCTTCATCCGTTTCTTGCCTTGGATGGGGAATGAACTTCACCGATGGCAAGAACGCGTTGAAATGTCTTCAAGATGCCGAGGGAAGGCTTACTGTCGATGATCTGCTGTCGACAGAAATGCAATTATCGAAAATCGCGCAGTTGAAGGCAGATTTGCCACGAGAGCTAGCTATGCTGGATATGGAACGGTCATTGCCTAAGCTGAGCACGTTACCGTCGACGGGGAATGAGTGAGTCTTTTTATTTTGTTTGTTTGCAATTTTTTTGATATTGATATATGCTTGTTTCACTTATGCATCTTCTCTAGCGACGATGTGTTTGGTTCACGAGTATCGATTGATTCCATCTTTCATACTACCAATAAAAACACCGGTGACTCTGTCGATGTCCTGCTAGCTGGCTTCGACGACGGGACTATTCACCTCCGCATTTTTGACTGCTTCGATGTCGGCTGCTTTCATGTCGGGAGCTCTCTTGGGAGCGCTACTAACAGCAAAATTCTTGTTCATGCTTTTCACCCCATCAGCTCTACTCATTCCCTTTTGTTCTCAACCGAAAACGGGATGCGACTCATCACTCTCGACCTCCGATTTATTACAAAATCTGGAAGGTACTTGTCGCTCCTCGCGTCGAAAATTACGCAGCTACAAAATTTGCTACGGTATATCAAGCAGGTGCAGGCACAGATTCAACTCGAGTGGAAAAATGCTCAGGATCTTCCGGGACGGTATATCAGAAATGTAACTGAGGACTTGCAGGACAAATGCGCGTGCGATTTCGTAACCGCTGCATACCACCTGCTTGTGACTGGGGACTGTTTCGAACCGCTGAGGGAGTTTCTGGTAGAAGTCCTTGGCGAGAGGGTTTGTAACCTGCACAAATTTTACCGCAACTTCTGGGTCTAACTCATTTTTAGGGTCATAAACGTTGGGAAAAAGCAGTTACATCAGGCTACGAGGCGCTGAGGCGACTGACCCACGAGTGCCTTCTTCCAGCATTGGAGCGTGGTGGAGTCCTCCTGAGTCGGTTAATAGGGCTGTCAAAATTCCACAAACTCAGCCCGATTCTCGGCCTGGAAACTGCAGATCTGGAGAAATGCCAGGACACCATAGACTGCCTTGGCCTCCTCTCCCACAAAGTGCTGATCCATAGCAGTCGCGAGCTCCACGAGTTTACCGCGTTCTCAAAATGGCTACGACTTGAAGTTGACCTACAAACCGCTGATCCTCTATCTGCCACCTATGAAGAACTGACGGAGAGCAGGGATTCTCTCGACCATGGGCAGATACTAAGCTACATCCAGGGAGCGATGGCTCGTAGCGTTCTTCAGGATTTCATCCAGCCTGTCCCCACACATTCGCTGCCTGACCGATGGAAGCCGTCAGGGCAAGACAGCTCCTTTTATGAAACATATAAGAAATTACTAAAGCAGCAAGATCAAAAGAAACGGGCGAATCAGATGGACATGCCGCTACTTGGCGATCTGACAGCTCGTCTTGGACTCCAAAGTGAAAAGGTGTTCAAGCAGATTGCGGAGACGCAGCGACGAGGCATCCTCCACCGGTCGCCATTGGCTCTTGGGCCTGATTGCGATGCGGACGTTGTAGATATGACGATGAATTTCGGGGTACGTTGAAATGAACCTCCCCAGCTCAAGTGATGATTTGGGTATGTAGACTTACCATTGACTTTCGTGGCGTTCCTAGCATTTCGAGAGCTCTGCATACCCGTCTGTATATATTGCGACGAAATCAAAAAGCTCCCCATGGATATGTAAGAAAGCCAGACACGTGAAACCAGACGTTGACGTTCCAAGCAGTTATTTAACTTTCATATTTTTGTTTTGCGCAGTGTATCTTTATAGGGTTATCATCGATACAGTAAACGGCGTCAGCTCAACCAAAGCCACGCTCCTCTCTGCAATCAGCCTAAAACGAGGGAGCATCACAGCCGTAAAATTCGTCGAAGACGGTACACTAATGCTTCTCTTATCTGACCTGGGAAACGTACACCTCCTCAGTTTCCCTTACATTCCCAACACGGACACTCCATTCCACCCCAACTACATCCGACTAGGCGATGACGGTTCTGAGACTTCTGCTACATCAGATTCCGTGACACCCCCAGTGCAGGTAACGCTCCTGCATCTCGCGAACGGGGAGCAGGATGCGGAGTTCGTGCGGCATACATTCCCACAGCAGGAGGGGATGGAGCCAGTTGAACTGGAGGTCAATGGACGGAAGGGGAGAAGGGTTGTGTGTGTTTTGTATGCGGATGGACTGCGGTATTCTGTGTTTGATATGGATAGCTCAGGGGTGGCAGAAGAGGAGGAGGAAGCTGGAGATGGGAATGGTGAGATGGAAGTAGAGGATAAGGTCATGTCACAATGAGCATGGCTTTCGGCTTCTATATTTGTTTCCTACCGCGATTACATATGATATTTTCTAGGAAGAATAAATGTACGACTATGGGAAAGGCTGTTTGTTGAGGTACATGTTAGCCAGATTTCTGGTCCTTGTGACTGACTTAATAGGGCCCAGTGACCGCAGAGGCCTACGCAGTAATTGACATTCAATTAAATGCTGCTGGGCTTGTTTGTTGGCTGAAGCGACGATGCGCAGGAGAATTTAGGCTGTGCGGCACAAATCAGGATATGGGACTGATAGGCAACCAGTCAGTGTAGGTATATACGTGTTTTTCAGCAATTGCCCCTACGTTCTCAATACCCCCAATGGTTCTCAGCTGAAATAAGACCTACCCCATGATGCCTGTTTGGCGAACGTTAATGCCAAGCCCGAACTAGTTACAAAATATGTATGTTTAGAGCCACCACCAGCGGAGTTTGGCGGTGGGGTCCATTAAAATGCAGCAGACCATGTTGACTCAGCCTAACTGGTTCCGTTTTTCGACGGCCAGAGCCGCATCCTCATTTGTTCCTCCTCCACACTGACTGCACGACCTCCAAACAACATCCTGCTTCGACTTCACCTCACCTCACCTCCTCACACCCCACCCACTATCTTCCGGAGAAGACAGATATACCAGGCTAAAGGGAAAATTTCTTCCCTCTTTTCTGCTTCTGACCTGAAGTTTTTTACCTTCTTATCCGCTCACTTTGGCTCTTTTACCCGTATATTTAGTTTTTCCTCCTACCTTCTGGCGGGGCAAACATTTCTAGGTTACCATAACAAAACAATCCCCAAGAAAGCCTTGTCGCCGAAGCAGCGTACATTGTTCGCAGTTCGGGATCCTTATATTTTCTATACCTTTTTGTACCTCCTGTCGTGCTCAATCCCGCTTCCCCGCAGTCATTTCCCTGCCGCTTGTTTGCTCCCCCATCACAACATCACAACAGCACCCCTCTTCTGTGACGAACCACGCGACTACGGCAGGCGTCGAATTCGGCAATATGGATGTTAATCAGGTGTTGACCAACACCCTGTCGACGGGTATGTGTCGCGGTCCAAGCTTGTTTATTTGAGCCGAAGACCCACTCGCTGACTTGTGCCTTGTTTGTGTGTGATTCTATATAGATGCTGCAACGCGTCAAAGTGCCGAGCAACAACTGTTGCATGCTGCTGAAGTTGACTTTGTATGTCTTCCCCTACTTTTACACTTCTATTGCAGTAGGAAACGTAAAGATTTTGTTTCGACTTGTACATAAGCTGCCACAGCTAGTTTTTGTTTTATAGCGCTATCCGTGGGAAAATTTTAATTTCATGTTTGCTTACTCGTTTTCCAACTATATTTCATTTCGGCCCCCGTATAGGCTACCTACCTTACGACGCTCGCAGGCGAACTTGCCAATGAAGCTGCTGCGCCTACCGTTCGAATTGCTGCTGGTATCGCGCTGAAAAACTCCTTCACCTTCAGAGAGCTTGACCGATTGCGGGAAGTCCAGGGAAGATGGTTGCACCAGCTTAGTCCGGAGATTAAAAAAACCGTCAAGGAACTCGCATTGAAGACCTTGAAAAGCAACGATGCCAGAGCCGGCCAGTCCGCAGCGCAGCTCATCGCTGTCATCGCTGCCATTGAGCTACCGCGTAATGAATGGCCAGAGCTAATGGACACTCTTGTGAAGAATGTCAACTCTGGTTCAGATCACATGAAGCAGGCATCGCTGACAACGATTGGGTTCATCTGCGAATCCGATGAGCCGGAGCTTCGCGAAAGCCTAAGTGCGCATTCAAATGCCATCCTCACAGCCGTTGTCCAGGGTGCGCGACGAGAAGAAACTAACGCTGAAGTTCGGAATGCTGCGCTTACGGCATTGGGCGATGCGATGGAGTTTGTACGGTCGAACTTTGAAAATGATGGCGAGCGAAATTATATTATGCAGGTTGTCTGCGAAGCCACACAAGCTGAAGATACACGAATACAAAGCGGGGCTTTCGGTTGTTTGAATCGAATTATGGGTCTTTACTACGAAAAAATGCGCTTTTATATGGAAAAAGCGCTTTTTGGGCTCACAATCCTTGGTATGAAGAATGAGGAGGAAGATGTTGCGAAGCTTGCTATTGAGTTCTGGTGTACGGTTTGCGAGGAAGAAATTGCTATTGAGGATGATAACGCTGCGGTTAGTTTCTTTCTTTCTTTCTTTGTTTGTTTTTTTTTTTTTTTTTTTTTTTTTTTTATAAAAAATTTCGTTTGTCGTTATCCGCACCAGGATTTTATTCTGAGCAACGGCTTCCTAACTTCGCATGCAGGCCCAAGCAGAGGGGTCCACTGAAATCCGCCCATTTTTCGGCTTCGCTCGTATTGCCTGTAGAGAGGTTGTTCCTGTTTTGCTACATCTGATGACCAAGCAAGATGAGGATGCCGTTGATGACGATTATGATACCTCGCGTGCTGCTTACCAAGCCTTGCAACTCTATGCCCAGTGCGTTGCTGCTGAAGTGATCCCCCCGGTCCTGACATTTGTAGAAGAGAATCTAAGAAGCGAGGATTGGCATCGTCGAGATGCCGCTGTATCTGCGTTTGGCGCCATTATGGACGGTCCAGATGCTCAAACGCTCGATCCATTGATCAAACAAGCCCTCCCAGTTTTGATCGGAATGATGGATGATAAGGTAATTCACGTTAAGGATTCTGCTGCTTATGCACTTGGCCGAATCTGCGATTATTGCTCTGAATCTATTGATCCAGAAGCTCACCTGCAACCTCTTATTTCATGTTTGTTCCATGGATTGGCTAGCAACCCAAAGATCGCGGGCTCTTGTTGCTGGGCTTTGATGAACCTTGCGGAACGATTTGCTGGGGAAGCCGGTGCTCAGACCAACCCTCTATCAAAACATTTCCAGGACAGTGTTACCTCACTGCTCACTGTTACAGAGAGGTAAGCTTTCAAACTGAATATTTCATTTCATGTAATTTCGACTAACCTTTAGCTAACTGCTACCCCAGACATGATACTGATAATCAACTTCGAACTGCGGCTTACGAGGTTTTGAACTCCTTCGTGACCAATGCTGCGAATGATAGCCTTCCTATTGTTGCCAACCTTTCAGATGTTATCCTTCAACGACTCGAACAAACAGTGCCTATGCAACAACAAGTTGTCAGCGTTGAGGATCGTATCACACTTGAAGAAATGCAAACGAGCTTGACAAGCGTGCTCTTGGTAAGTATATTGCTTATCTACATCCGTCTGTTTGGCTATATTGAGACGCTAACAGACCAACTCTAGGCTATCGTGCAACGATTAGAAGGAGAGATCAAGCCTCAAGCTGACCGTATCATGCACGTTCTATTGCAAGTTCTGTCCACGGTACCTCCAAAGTCAAGCGTTCCAGATACTGTTTTTGCCACTGTTGGCTCGATAGCCAGTGCGTTGGAGAGCGATTTCATCAAATATATGGATTCGTTTATTCCATTCCTCTACAATGCGCTAGGTAACCAGGAGGAGGCTGGTCTTTGTGCCATGGCAATTGGACTAGTTAGTGATATCACTCGATCATTGAGTGAGAAGGCTCAACCGTATTGTGATACGTTCATGAATCACTTGCTTAATAACTTGAGGGTATGAATTCATTCTCCGCACATGTGTTATACTCACTTGGCAAATTTTTATTGACCATTTTCCTCAGAGTACTACCCTCAGCAATCAACTAAAACCGTCCATTCTCGAGACGTTTGGAGACATTGCCCAGGCTATTGGATTGCATTTCGAGACATATTTAGTAGTTGTCGCTGGCGTGCTGCAACAGGCATCCGGTGTTACTGCCAGTCCTGATGTATCATACGATATGCTTGATTATATTGTATCCCTTCGGGAAGGTATTATGGATGCGTGGGGCGGCATTCTCCTTGCATATAAAGGCACACCAAATGGTACGTACTAGTTAACCCTGGCTTGTCCACTATTTAAAATCTCTCAGATCTAACTTTTTCAATTTTTTTGTAGCTAATGGCCTGCAACCATACGTCGAGTCGATCTTCCAACTTCTAAATATAATCGCTCAGGATAATAATCGGAGCGAGGGATTACTTCGAGCTAGTATGGGTGTCATCGGGTTCGTTTTCCAGATATGATGCTATCCTAGTAGACATCGCTAACAATCCTCGCTAGTGATCTCGCTGATACATTCCCTAATGGTGAATTTGCGGCGCTTTTCCGCAACGATTTTGTCTCCAATTTGATTCGGGAAACGCGAACGAACAGAGAATTTGGCCCTCGCACAATTGAGACAGCTAGATGGGCTCGTGAACAGGTCAAACGCCAAATAGGCCTTGCGACGGCACAAGTTATGTCATAAAGCACCATCTAATGGAAGTGACATGTATTATCCGTGTGAATCACTCCGCCATATCATGGACATTGGCGTTGTCCAGTTAATACCCGTTCTATCACCAAAATAACTGCTCGACGAGGCACGGGAAGCGATGCCGACGACTAGAGCACTTTCACGAAATGGTAAGGCGGGAAAAAGAATGAACTGCACACCGCGCCTGTGCGAGTTTTCCCAGCTCAGCTAGGATATTGGATAGCAGTCGAATTGATAAGATTTTTGAGAAAAAGAAGCAGGAATCTGTTTTATTCTTTTTTAAACCCTCCTTTCTTCCCCTCCCCTCAGCGAAGTTCGCATCCCAGGCATTTTCAACGATTCGGCATACTTTTACATCTGACCTGAGCATTTCACACGCGCTGATATGAATTATACTGCGGCCCCGCGCTCTTGTCAGAGCAAGCCCCTCGCAACCTTCATAATCACCCTTTCCCCTTACTGTTTGCCCCCAAGCACTTTCGTGTACCCCTCCCCGTCAATCCCACACCTGTTCCCCGGCACCCCACGATCAGATGCAATTGACTTACGTTTTCAGGAAGAATTCCCTACTACCCTCCCCCATACACACCTGTACGCATGCACAAACGACGCGCATCAAATTCGCAATCTCTCACTCCCCCTTTCTTCGCCCCCTAACTTCCCTGTTCTTCCAATTTCCTCTTCCAATTTCCTTTTTTTTTCTTTTTCTTTTCTTTTTTTTTTTTTTTTTTTTTTTTTTTTTTTTTTTTTCCATTCACGGCCCTGCCCACACTTTTTTAACACATTCTATTTACCTTTTACACTAGAAGTCATGTATGCCCCAAAATCATGTATCCATTGTTAATTATTTTTATAAACTTCACTTCTCTTTCATTTCTTTTTTGCCCATACAAACTATTTATCATATCACAACACCAGCGCATTCATCCTTTTACTTTCCTTCATTTTTTTTACCTCTTCTCTCCAAAATAAGTTAATAAATAAATGGGTGGCTTTTGAATCTAAAAAGATATATTATTATTTTATAATCTTGAAACCCATTTCTTTATCTTCTGCTTAATTCAAGTAAATGCCGGAATTTTTCCAATATGTACTTCGTGCAATTATTGGTTTCAAGCAACGCTGGAAACAGTAGGCTGTTTTAGTACGGAGTACTGTCTCGCCTGATTGGTGGGCAAGACATCCACCCCAACGTGGGAGGGGTTTAAAAGACCTACAACAATAAAAGCCAAGTGCAAGGAATCTTTGATACGGATTAATAACTAATTACTCGGGCGAGAGGCGAAATGTACTTCATCGAACTCCCAACAGAAATACTTCTACTCCTTGGGCAGATATTGGTGTCTGAGAGAGATGCCGCTTACAGAAACGGGGTCTCTGGTCTCAACGCGCTCGCTCAAACGTGCTCGCGTTTTTACCAAATCCTCAATCCTTACCTTTACCGGTTCAATGCACATCATCAGAACAGCTCTGCCCTTGTGTGGGCCACCCTGAGAGGGGACAAACGCACAGCAGAGCTTTCCTTAGACAATGGCGCAGATGTGAATCTTATTATTCTCGAGAGCTCTGGGGTTTTGAATAACACAAAGACTCGACAGCCTGGCTTGCAGATGGGTCATTTCGCTAGATTATCTCCTTTAGCCACACAACCCACTCTGGTCAGCTCTGGCCTCCTAACCCTGGTATTTAATCGACGGGCAACAAGAGCTCTCGCTTTTGGATCTGCAGTAGGAGGAGAAATCATTCCGTGCCCCAAGATTCGAGCGAAGTACGACCAGGTTATCGAATTGTTGATCGGTAGGGGAATTGATACCGAAAGAACAGATGTCGGCAACGAACGACTAGATTTCTTCCACAAAGGAATGACACTTCTACATCGAGCTGCCGGCATGGCTGATGATACCGTGGTTCGACTGCTTATCGAACGAGGTGCCAATATACATGCGAGGACCACGAATTCACAACACACGCCACTACATCTAGCATCGAGAACTGAGGAGTTTGATTTTGACACTGTGGATGCTGTAAATGCACACAGACAAGATCGTAGATCTAAGAAGCAACGGATCGTCCGGCTTTTGCTAGAGAACGGAGCTGACGTCAATGCTACATGTTATGAGGGTGATACCTCACCTCTACATTTCGCAGTCAATTCCCCCGCAATAACTCAAATTCTACTTAAATATGGAGCCGATCCCACTGCCAAGGATAAACATGGAAGAACACCGTTGCACCAGGCAGCTGTCGTTCCGCCATACGGCCCTGACCATCGTGATATGAAATGGGTTGGTAGGAGCGCTTGGCATCCCGATATGAAGACTGTGATTAGGTTGCTAATCGAATGTGGAGCGGATATCGAGGCAACAGCTAAAACCGGATTCACACCGCTACATTATGCTGCAAAATTGGCACAGGTTGATGCGGCACAGGTTCTTCTCGAAAGCGGCGCTAATATCGAGGCAACTGATAAGGGAGAAGTGTGTAATTCCCCAATGTGGACGCCATTGCGTCATGCAATCCATGCCTACGTAGCAAAGGATTGTCAATTGACTCGTTCTCGGTCCTGTACTCTTGTCACCATGTTGGCCAAAGCTGGAGCAAACGTCAATGCGAAAGGGGGCGATGGACTAACCCCACTCCACCACGCCGCGATGTACGGTATTATAGATATTGTGCGCATACTTGTGAGATTTGGTGCGGATGTTGAGGCGAGAGACTGTCAAGACACGACACCTCTGCAATATGCAACCTATGGGAGGAATGGCACGATTTCACGAGAAATGGAGAATAGGCCTGCTACTCCAGCTTCTGGTCGTCTCCGTTATAGGACCCAACCCGGTCTATGCGGAAACAGCTGAATATCTCTCTTTCGTTATAGATCATTTCTCCGCGATCATTATATAGCGTCTGGACTGACTATTTCATCATCGAATTACATGTCTTGCATTCAGATTCTACGTAATGAGAATTTGTTTCCAGTGGATTCGATAATGGCCTACTCCTGCTGAAAACCCTAAACCCTAAGCGGGCCGCACTAGCTTTCCAACCCAAAATTTTTCAAATTCAAAGCAAAATCAACATCGTCAGCCTTCTGTATTCGCAGCACTCCATTTTCCAGTACTCACCGTCAACACTGACCATCGAGGTATGTGGCTCTATTAACCATTTTTCAATCTTGTCATGTTTGTTTCAACGGCCCTACAGCTAGTCTGGGTAACGCAATCACCATGGACTTTGACTCAAAAGACACGATTCCAGCGTTTGACTGCTGGTTGCATGGTGATACGCTTTTACCCATAACGGCACGGGCTTAAGAACCCTTTCTCTCCCTGATTGAGGTTAAGAGGAGGAGGGGCACTCTTTGCGCTCGAAAAGACTGCTGAAGGCTAACTCTACTTTTGTTGTAATGTACGACGGAATTGTTTCCTGTGGCCCTCTGCGGGAAACGGGATATGGTTTCGTAGTACAATATCATTTTTCCGTTATGGATATACATATAGATACCTCATTTCCAACTCCTCCGTCGATCTGAGAATCTCCGTGCCAAGCAGTTCATAAATCGCCAAGATGGTCAAGACCAGTGTCCTCAACGATGCGCTGAATGCCATCAACAATGCTGAGAAAGCTGGCAAGCGCCAGGTTCTCATCAGACCTAGCTCCAAAGTCATTATCAAGTTCTTGTCTGTCATGCAGAAACATGGTGAGTTTTTTATGTTTTTTTTTTTTCTTTTTTTTGTTCCTTTTCCGACTTGGATTTCCCGAGTTTTTTGTTCTTTCCGCGTTTCCTATGTCGAGCGTTCACTTGCATGAGCTCCATTTTGTCTGGCTGGCGTGAAAGTCATAACACACATGTTGTACGAAGACACAATATTCGGGTTGATAACTAGGCGGCGATCTCGATCATGAAATTCACTCTACGACGTCCGCCCTTTAAATGCCCGATAGATGATTTTTTTGGCGTTGATCTTACAAGTTGCCTGTCTATTATTTTTCCAACCGTGGTTGGTAACATTTAATTCGTCGCCACATTACTTACTTCATTTCCGCTCACAGGCTACATTGGCGAGTTCGAAGAGGTTGATGACCACCGCTCTGGAAAGATCGCCATCCAGCTCAATGGACGGTACGTTCCCATCATTTAGAAAGCATTTGCTGTGCTTCCCACTGATGTCTTCTCCGCCAACAGTCTCAACAAGACCGGTGTTATTTCCCCCCGCTACAACGTTCAGCTCCGTGACCTCGAGAAGTGGGTCGTCAAACTCCTTCCATCCCGTCAGTTCGGTTACATTGTCTTGACCACCTCTGCGGGTATTATGGACCACGAGGAGGCCAGACGCAAGCATGTTGCTGGCAAGGTCATTGGATTCTTCTATTAGACTAAGAGAAAACGAGCTATCTAGCTATGAATAAAGTTCTTCTGATTTTATTAAAGCGGCCTTTTGCTCAGAGGACATAATTCGTTTTTTTTAAACCTGCCAGCATTAAATCCCTTTTTCTGTAGGATATCTGCCATGCTTGGGCCAATATGGTAACCCTGCTATTTGCGGTTGTATTTTGTAAATAACTCATACTCATATGGTGCTTGAAAGCTGAAGATTCTTTTGGCCTCTCCAATTGCTACTCTGCTGACCGGCGATTTCATTGCATGATCGCCGCAATCTTGACGATCCAAGAGGCATCTGATAGCCGAGGTGGTGAGTTCACCGCCTAAATAGATGAGTTGATTATTTTGCCACGAAATATATCAATCAATCAACAAAATGTTAAAATAGAAGCAATGGGATCCTTTGACAAGACGCATTCCCATTTGAATAGAAAATTCCATTCCGTTTATCCTATTCGCTACCTAGAAAGTGGTGAATCGTTCCTTTAAAGAATTCCCGTCTGTCCCACTTCTAATGCCCCTCGACAGAATATATTTGACCCGGCATGGGGTATGCTTGCTACTACCCATATGAACAACATCCATGATGCTCGAACTAACATGCGTTGTCATTTCTAGCACCGGCTAAACTGGACTATAGATCTGGCCACAGGCACCTATCGCTCGACATACCCCACCCCAACGGGCATACCCGTCGACCCAACCCTGACGGGACCTGGCCTGTTGCAAGCGCACGAACTGGCCACCTACATCAACAGTGATGAATTCTTTCCAAAGCCATGCAGAATTTACTGCAGCCCGTTCTACAGATGTCTGCAGACTATCCAACCCACAGTGGAAGCGCTCAAATCCCGGCAGGAACTCGAGCGGAAACCATATGTGGATTTAAATGTGAGGATTGAGAACGGCCTAGGGTGAGTGTATTCCCGTTACTCCCATATCAGGGATGGAGGAATGAAACTTCAGCGGGATGCACTGCGAGATTTTGACATAGCTGATATTTCTGTCCATGCGTTCAGGGAATGGTTCGGCTCCTCATCCTCGTTCAGGCACCCCGCTCCGGCATCGCCAGACGTCCTCCAATCCCACTTCCCTACCCTCCTACCCCCCTCAGATACCGGCGAGGCCAGCTCCACGTCCCTCCAACCATCCTACGTATCACACATCTATCCCTCCCCCAAGGGCGAGAACATCGCGACACTCCATGACCGAGTTGCAAAAACCTTAGAAGCGATAATCGCACAAGTTGATGCGGAACTCGAAGCTTACGAACGTGATATCCCGGCTGAAGAGAAGCAGAGCCGTGCCATTTTGGTATGCACGCATGCTGCACCGTTGATTGCCATGGGGCGTGCTCTTACGGGCAATATGCCGGAGGATACATGCGTCGAGGACTTTAGGCCGTTTACAGCGAGTTTGTCGACCTTCGTAAGGAGATCTGGTAGTGGTGGTGAGAGCAGACCTGAGAATCTGGGCTGGGAGGGGTCAGATACGGGCATGATTTCAGGGACAAAGTTGCGGCGGTGGCAGGATGGGGTGGGAGTTGGGGGTGGTTGGGATTGTGTGGCGAATGGAGAGTGTGGGTTTTTGAGTGGTGGGGAGGAGAGGGGATGGTAAGTTTTGAAAACTATTTTCCTCACACTTTTATCATAAATTGTGTTTGCTAACGGGAATCCAAGGCACTTTAACGGGGAGGAGGATTTCGACACGACCCCCGCTGCAGCGGTTGTGATTGACGTGGAAGGTTCGCCTGCAAAATTATGATGTCCCTATTCCATGAAAGTTCTATGAGAAGCTTGGATCTAAAGATGGAATGTCGATACCCACTTCAGATCGATATATGATAGATATGATGATAGACCTGATAAGTTATAGATATATGTTCTCAAGAGACATCATTTTACCCCCCTCCTCCCCTCTTTCCCCCCCTCTTTGTTTTTTGTTTTATTACTGGTTGTTCTAATTCACTTTTCCCCGTTTTCAATTTCCTTCTTTCAAGCAAGTTATATTTCTGCCACTGTTCATATTGAAGGTATGTATACCGAATGAAACCTTTTCTAATTTTGGCATTAACTAGTTCTTTTCATAATACCTATTAATATAAGAGCTAAGAAGCTAGTTACTAGCGACTATTCTCTAGCAAGTGCTCTAAAACGATTACGAGCTGGATACAAGTACGAAAATCAATGAAGCTAAACAACTCCTGATTCAACGACGTAAATCAAAACAGGACAGAATAAAAAGGAAAGGAAAAACGCCCACAGCTATATCCCGTCATTGCGCATGCGTCCATCAGAAAAAGAGCCCCTTAGCAGGAGTATTCCATATACCAACCATTGGTAGCATCCTGCTCCATCTTGACACTCCCATCAGAGTCCAGAGAAAGAAGAAGGCTCAGCTTCTCCTGACACTCTACCGAGGTGACGAGGTGTGACACGTACCCCTTCTGTTGTGGCCAGTTGGTGAAATCCGCAGAACCAACACTCTCCGCCCCGGAAGGCTCTGTCGGATAGATCCTAACTAATCCAGAATCATTTACGACAAACTTCCGCTTCTTGCCCTGATCCCATTTGATGGTGCAGTGCTTGGCTCCCTTGGGTACATAGAAAGTCATTTGCTGATCGTGTTTCTTGTCTCCCGCCTTGCTAAGTTTGATGTAATGTCCGATCTTTTCGCTGGGTTTGCCGTCGACCATGGCGCGCATCTCAGGCACGCGTAGGACTCCGCTCTCGCCGGGTTTGCAGGAACTTCGGCCAACTGGGCAATCTGGGGTGCTGGAGTAGCCATTTCTGGCTGGGATGGCGGAGGCTGTTTGCATGCTCAAAGCAGCCAGGAGGAATGCGGTTGCTTTAAGGAAGTGCATTATTGCGGCTGAAGTAGTTTTGGTGGTTGTGAGAGCTGGTTTGTGGGATGGAATAATATCAAGAGGATAGTTATCGTTGGTTTGAGGTTGGAGCAATTGGTATTTTATTGATTTAAGTAATGCAATATGACATTCGATTGAGGATGTCGAACGATGAGAGGAGATGAAAAACAGCATTCTTGGAGCCGGCGGAGGAAGAATATTTATACAATTCTTGCTCGCATTCATTTTTGAGCTATCCCTGAGCTATTGAGCATGGTTGAATTCCACAATAATCATACATGGAGAAAATTCATGTAACCTGCCTGGGCAAAGATATCAGCTCCAAACCCAGCCCACCTCGATCCCCACCCGCGAATAACATCTGACGCTTGCTAGTTGGCTCGTGAGCAGATTGGCTCAAGGCATGGCAAGCAACTTCGACAAGCCCGTCGAATAGACTGGCAGTGGGTCAAAGTGCAGGGAGTCAAAGTCATGGAGGCGACCCTAGCGAGCCGCATTCAGAGAATTTAAATATAGCTACGGCTCAACCTGCTAAGCTGCCAGCCTTATGCAACCTGGAGTAGAAATTGGCTTCTTACAAAGACAACAGGGAGGATGAGCTGTCGACTTTGTTTGCTTACCGTCCTTGTGCAACGACGTCAAGTCCCATCGTGCGATCAGCCTTCCGTGATCCCCATCTTGCGGACAAGGTTTGACGATGTTAACGATGAAAGGCCGGAGTGAAAAAATATCACGCGCAAGTAGGCTTCCTTTGATTACAGCCAAGTGCAAAGCAACTTGAAGTCCCCACCCGATGGCCATTTCCTCATAGCCCTGGGTGAGCATGGCCTCGCGGAAGCAGTTGGAATTTGTGTCTGATTGTCAAAAAAAAGGATAATTCAAGCTCACAGCCGGTAACTAACAAGTGGAGGTTACTGTCAAACACCCCCTACACAGACGTCACATATCGCATTTGATCGTAATCACTGTGCGAAAATTCCCAGTTGCATATTGGAATCATGTTCCATTCAGTGGCGTGGCATTCCCGGATATGAAAAGGAACAGACATAGTTTCAGGGACTACGAGAGTTGCTATTTTGAGATCAAGGGTGGAGAGAGTCCACTGGTGAACGACTCTGTATTGGTTACGGAGCACATTCCAGTTTGTTGACCAACGATTTGCTCAAGATTTATAAGATAGTTAACTAACTAAGCTTGATTCGTTAACTAGTTATTCATTTATTTCTTATGATCGCCCTAATCTCAAAGTCGCTTCTCAGGTAGGCTGAGCTTCCACACAGCTTCAACTAGCCAGCGCGGGTTATTTCCCCATTCGGGCCCTAATTCCACCTCGATGATGCATTCAGAACCCTGCGTAACTACCATTCCTCTTCGATGCCGCCTTCGGCTTCTCACCGTCATTTGAACAGTCAACCCGCAGTCAACCCTGTTCGGTTGGGTCAGGAAAATTCAAATCAGGTCAACTGAAAACCCTTCATGCTGTTGAATGAATTATGGCCATTGAGTCCTTTTCTATCTATTGCCTTTCTCCTTCGGATGAAATCGCTTCATCAGAATTCCTCCGAGTGCCCTTCACCAAGATTGACTGTGTTGGCCGCATAAACCCTGTCTCTACGGACAGCGAAACAAAAGTGGTAGACCCAGCTTCCTACCATGCTATGTACATCCATCTCTCACGCCTCTCAAGTATTTCACCTCCAACTCAAAGTTGTTTTTGATTCAGTTTCTCTTTTCATATTTATGTACAGAAATTTGCTAAACTACTCCGGTTATCCTCATATCTTCAGATGAAAGCATCAATATCGGGTAGAGTGGACTTTGCTAATGATTGAGCGAGAGCATACCTTTAGCTACGAAAAGCAATCCTGTCCGTTTCTGCTCTATAAGATGTGGGCGGTGAGCTTTGTTTGGTTGCACTACCTGATTGAATCTACTTCGAGCACGATTGACAGCATGATGTCTAACAAAGACTTTCAGTCACAGAAGCTTGCATTTTAAATCGCTTATTATGCTACATAGCCACAAGACATGTATTAAAAGGGAAGATCGTCTGCAATGGAGAGCAGTGATTCCTCCACCATACATAAATCGAACAAAATGCTAGGTATACACACTTATTTCCATGCCATATCAAGCAAACTTTGCTCACAAAACAAGAGCCGCAACCGCCACGGCCGCACCACCGATAGCGCCCCAGTTGGCCGCATTTGTGGCTAACGGCATTGCCAAACCGCTGCTGCTGTCAGTGGTGGGTGCATTGGTCCCAGTCGGCGAAACACTCTCACCGCCGGTGGGTGCTGGAGTCGCGGTAGCGGCTTTGAGCTTCTCCAGGCCGGCTGTAATTGTGACTTTCAAGGGAACAATATATCCGGCGGTGGGGATGTGGGTAGATGATGATAATTTGGTGACCATGCCTTTGCCTGTTTCAGAAACTAGCACGAGATTGGTGCAGTCGGCTGATGCGGCTTCGATTTTGCACTCCATTGAGTATCTTACGGGTCTGGCGCGGAATTTTGTGAGCTCATACTCCTCTACCTCTCATTGGAAGCAGATGCAGAATGAGGAGGACTAAAGAGGCTGATTATGAGGAACTTACCCATCGTCACCCTCCCCATCGTAGCGCATTGCTAGGCTTGGCGGCATTTTGGTGTAGCTTATATCCCCGTCAATGCTGCATTTGGTTTTGTCGGACCCCGGAGCACACTTCAGGTCAAATACCGTCGCCGTTGGATCCTAGATTGAGAGTCCATAGACACGATTAGCCTTGTATTTGCTCTGCTCTTCTTTTGCCTTCTTAAACCACCTTCTTAAAAAGGATACTTTCTTCGATTTCTAATCACCACCACAGTCCACTTTGAAATGTGGTGTTCAGCATATTTCTTACCACTTTGACTACAGAAGCCACCAACTGCCGTTGACTAGATGGCCCAGGAAAGGCCAGTTCGGTTACAATGCTCTTTTGAGCCTGGGTAAGGCCAAAAAGACCAAGGGCTGCCATGGCCAACGTGATCTGCAGTTTTGCGGGGATCATCGTCGCTATCGAAATGCAATTGCGGCAGATAAAGGCACGAGGGTATCGAAAAACAAACAAAAAGAATGAGCGACGACGAAGTTGTTTCAAGCGAGTGTATGCTGCTTCCTGATTTATTAATTGTCGCTCCCTCGCTCAGGAGGTGGACGAAGAGAATATATAGGAGATGTTAGGCCACTGGGGCAAAAGAGCTCAATCATACCAGCGCCATCCTGGTAGTAGAGGGACGAACCAATCCAAACCCCCAACAGGAGAACAGAATCGGAAGGGGGCGTCCAAGCCCACTCAAGCAACAAATCTGAGTCCCAAGAAAAAATACTAGAGGCGATGGAGCCTAGCATCACATTCCGATCGAATAGCTCATTCTTTGCGATGACCGAGGCGGCGATTGAGCGTTTTTTTAACGAGACCTTTAGCCGGGAAAAGACTAGCAAGTCCTTTAAACAAAGCGACAGCTGTCTTTACTTCGCCTCCGAGTTGTGCAGCAATGAGATGTTTCACCCAGAAAAACCACTCCGCCTATTGTGGCTCTGGGCACTTGGCTTGAGCTGACAATTGTGCCTGACGTTCCTCATCCTACCAATCGCAGGGTTACAAAACCGAAAAACTTAGCAGAAAACCCTCATATGCAGGTACGGGGTATGGATTATGGATATTTATACGGAGTTAAACACCGTGTATTTCGCTTGCGTGGGCGCCATACTCAATATACGGAAATGTGGAAAACAAATGTCCTTGCACATGCTAGATACACCATCATAAATACTAGTAGGGCTTAAATGCACCTATCCAGATCCTAGCCACTATTTATGGCCTAACTTGACAATCAAAAACTTTTGGCATCAAGCCTCGAAACATGGATTGATAACTCCACCTGGAGGTTAGGCGAATTACACCCGGTCAAGAGCCACTATTTTTTATAGGTTTAGCGCATAAATACATAGTTTTCCATCATTATCATCATATCCTCAGATCTTTGAAATATTTTAGAATAGAAGAGAGAAATTACTTTTGTTATAGAGCTCTCAAATCATCTTCATTCCATTATAGTAAGTAGTAGTAGTAGCAGTGACATATCTATCTTTCTCATTCTAAAATCATCTTTATAATACAGTCAATCTCTGTATGTATGTACAGTACTAATACATTTTTCAATCATCTCTACTCCGTACAATATTCTATCTTCTATCTCCGAATTGTTGATAACTTGATATGATGATCTCACTAGATAGTGTTAGATCTTGATACAATTGATAGATATCCTTGCTAGATATCGGTGCTAGGTATCACAAGAGCTTGATATCATACAGAGGCAGATGGGACCATGAATTACATATTTGATTTGATTTTGATTTGATTTTGTTCCATGCAGTTCTTGATGTGATTCGCCTTTCTTTGCCCGTCGCCGCGTCGAGAAACTGCTTCTGTCATTTCGCGGTTTATTTACTACTTACTCCCTTTCTTCCCGCCATCTCACTTAACCTCACCTAAATCCGCCGCCGGAGGCTCACCCTGCGCTTACCCTAGCTCTCAATGCTGGCGAACTGCAAATTTCTAACAACCAACCTCACTGCTTGCCTATGACATCTAGGTCCTCTCATGCACATTGGAGCTCTTTAATCGTATTACGAGGTAGATCAGAATTCAGCTTCTTCCACCGCCCACCATCAGAAAAGACAAGCCGGCGTAACCGGTTGACGCAAGGGATCAAAGGCTCATAGTATGGAGTAAAATGGTCCTCTCCAATTCGAAGAATGTCTGCTTCGTCAACCACAATTCCTTTCTTAGTATGAACCTTATCTCAGCAAGCTCGGCCGCTTCGCAGGATAATTGCTGTTTTAACACTGATTTAATGATTAGTCACTCTTTTAAACAAGCTAATCTCAAACTGGTAATGAGCTAACCCAAATAAGTCTTTGATCCCGTGATGTGCAATTATCCTGCGAAGCGTCTGAGAAAAAACGGTTCCAGTTTGTTAGCAACACGGGAACGATTTGCTCTATACCTTAGGCATGGGTGAGAATACCAAACCAACTCCATCTATTCAGCATCTCTGTACCACCTTGGGACCTAGGAAAATCAATGTTCTCGCGATGGTATCAATTTTTATTTTCATATTCCCATTTATTAGATATGAAGTATCACCTCAAAGTCAACTCATTTTTTTTTAAACACGGGAACAATCTGCTATTTACTTGATTTCAATCAGAAAAAAAGTGATCATTTTCAACAAGATACATCTATATTAAATATTGATTTTTTTAATATAAAAATTATATATTTATATTCTTCTTCTCTTTAGCTACAAGCTAAGGTGGTTCACAAATATCAAATATGTATGATGATTGTGTAATTGAAAGTTAAAGTTGAACAATTTGAAGAATCTATGAAAATCTCAACAATTTCCACAGAAGGATGAACCGTTTCTTCTCAGACCCTCTGATGAAGATTGCTCTGAGCACATGACTTGTAATTAAAGTAGTTTAGTGTCATGCTGCTGCAACCGGAGCCATAGAGGGTCTGAGCTCGCTGAGATAAGTATGAACCAGCTTTTCTGTGTTCGTGTAATTCCATTTTTCAAAACTGTTCCACTCACTTACCATTCCTTTCCTGGGTCATCATAGTGAATGCATATCCAAAAGAGCACCCAAAAAAAGGATTGTAGATCGTGCATGAAGGAATGGCTTTCACCGTATAGCACTCCAATAGCCACAAATGCCCTGGTACCAGTCTTGCCTCGTGCACCAGAGGACCCATCCCGCCGCTCACTGATCGCCAGGTGGACCAAAAAGGCCCGCCGAGGTATTCAGCGAGGTAGAGTGCTTTTGTTCATCACAATAGGACGATGTCTCAAGAGAATTCCTTGCCAAATACTCCTCGATCTGCTGACTTCGCATATATTCAATAGTTAGCTGTTTAGAAATCCGTGTCATCTTCCTCGTACAGCCCAAGCAATGGCCTCTGAAAGGTGGGGATTGGAGAATTCCCACTCGACATGAATCGAGAAATGCCTGGGGAGTAAGGAAGTCATTAAGCTACTAAATGTATGTACTGTACATACAATCATAGTCAACTAGACCTTGCAGAATGCGACTACATTAGTCATCTGTGTATACGGTGCAGACATGACGCTGTCTGTACATGATGAGGTGTTGCTTTTTGCAATTATTTAATCGAATTGAACTCTCATGTCACTTTTGGTGGAGCTGTATAATAGTTAGCTACTATAGTTCATGGATAAATTCAACTGAACATGCAAAATGCAACTGCTACGGCTCTCTTCCGTATTCCGCCAGGACAAGATCATCAGGCGGTTTTCTCGAGCATCAGTCCCATTCCAGATACCCAGGACAGTTGCAAGAAATACCAACTTCTTCTCCACAGCTGCTACCGGCGAGCTTCATTCCACTGTCACGATCCCGGATCTATTTGTCTCGTTCCTGGCCCAGAAGCCAGTGCCAAACCCCAGCTATGCAAAAGTAAAAGGGTCGCTGGAGGTGTCCATGAGAAAGTATGTTTCCTGTACCACTGTAACGAAAGATTATTATCTTTAGTATACAACAATTATTGCGCAGTTACTAACGCCAGGATATGGTATGTACGGGTATAGTGGTAGAGAGTGCTACTATTCAAAGCGTGTACAAGCAGACTTTGCGTATTTCGCAGCCCTGCTCGCCCCGAAGGCAGCTGAGCCCGAATATCAAACTATCCGTGACTATATCTCTTGGGTATGTTCGCGATTTCAGACTGATGTTTCTTCTTTTCCTTCCCCGTTCGCCGTGGATTTGTGCTAACTAACTACCTGGGACTGGAGCGGATTGTTTTCAGATCTTCTATTTTGATGACAGTATGGCCTCTTATTCCTCTTGTTCAAAATGGAGCCAAACTAACCACCTATTTACTGCATGCAGTGTTTGATGATGGCCCTCTCTCGAATGACCCCCTCTTTGCGCGGAGAGAGCTGGACGGTTTACTGGCGGTGATGACATCGGATGGAGATGTTCTCTCTGACAACGATAAATCCAAACTTGTATTCCAGAGTATATGGAAGAGAATAATTGAGGTAACTCATATTGAACAATTTATACAATTCAATTCCAGCTTGGGCTAATACATACAATTCTAGTCCTCCACAAAGGGTAAGTGTTCTGTCGATAGGAAATGGCCATAGATACTCATTTAAGAGAGATGTGTCCGTCTGGCCAGAAGGGCTAATCCGCCTTCTTTCCCTGTCAGCATAGGCGTCCAGCAAAGGTTCCGGAAATATATCAGAAACTACTGCGACGCCGTCTTTCGGCAGGTGAGCGGACAGCAATTACTCGACAATAGCAGTGTTAGCAAATATATAGCAATCCGTAGCGAAAACATCGGTGCTATGCCCTTTTTCCCCTTGATAGAGTACGGTCTATCACCCTCTCCTTTTCTATTCAAACCGCTTCCCTCCCGCATCTGTCAAGATACATAATTGTTTTAAAAACAGATACCACCAATTCCTCGACCTCCCAACTGAAGCCGTGGAACATCAATCGATAAAGGAAATCGAATCTACCGCCGTGGAAATTCTGGTGTTGTAAGTTTCTTATTTTGCTCTCTCTCTCTATACCCCCTTTTACCATCAAATTCACCCAATCCCAAGTACATGCAACTTACTTCCCCCCTTCCCCCGGGGCCCCCTTTAGGCACAACGATCTCCTCTCCTACCAAAAGGAATACGTACGTAACCCACCACCCCCCTGAACTATCACCCAACAGGCTTAATTGTCCACGAACACGCAACACCTAACCATCCCGTCGCTTATCGGTTGATTTTTCACCCAGGCCACCAAGCCCACCAACCCTAACATCATCACCATCTACCGCGAACAGCACGGCCTCTCGCAGCAACAGGCATACGACTCCGTCGACGCCCTGCTACGCGAACGGTATCGACGGTGGTATATCGCGCACTCGAAACTGCCGATCCTAGGCGAGGAATTGGATGAGCAGATGCAGCGGTATGTAGGCGGGTGCCGTGATGTGGTTGCTAGTAACCTGCATTGGAGGTGAGATTTTATTTTCTATTTTTTACTTTTGGTTTTTTCATTAAAAATTCCCCTTTTTCCCCTTTTTCCCCTTTTTGTCGCACCCCTTTTTTTGACCAGTGATGTTGAGTGGTGCTTGTAGCTTCTGGACGGATAGGTATTTTGGGAAGGATAAGGATGAGGTTAGAAAGAGTAGGAGGGTGAAGTTGCTGGATTAGTTGTAGGTTATGCAGCATGCATCACGGAAGCATCAGCCGACGGGATCGTCGAAGAGGGGGCTAATAAATTTAATATATGGAAAACAAATGCAATTTTTAATGCTAAGTTTCAGAGCTCAGGTCGAGAGGAAAATAACACGACTTTCTTCTTTTTCTTTCATTACTTTTTCTTAAGGAAAAAAGAAAAATCCGGCCTATTCATACATGCATACACTGGTAACATGGAAGAAAAAAAAAGAAAAGAAAAGAAAAGAAAGTACGACGGAAAACATAATATCGTTGTAACTCAGAAAAGGTTGCAGGTCCGTAAACGAGATATTTATATCCAACCAAAAAGTAATGGAAAATGAAAATTAACATAAATAGAAACCAGTTTATCTAAACAAAACATCATATAGGAAATAGAACAGATAAAAGTGTATATGAACAAAGCTGGGTATAGAAAATCAAAGCTAGATATGAAGGACGCAGAACAGAAGGCAAACAAATCATTGACGAGTAGACAATATTCTTGTGAGCTTTCAATTCATGAACAAATTTCACGTTTCGATGGCACTATCACCCTCTTCCAGGTCCACCGTGGGATCAGCAGGGGTCCCTGGTTCAACGACTACGGCATCCCCAGGCTCTTCACCAGAAGCGTTATCAAGAACTTCTGCAACATCATTCTCCTGCTCCCTAGCTCGGTTTTCCTCTGCCTCTCTTACGGCAGCTAACTGATTTTGTCTCGCGGTCTCTGCTGCGTTTCTTGCCGCTACGCGGCGTTCTCCAACACCTGGCACCAAACTTGCAAGGAGAAGAGCAAGTGCTCGCTCTGCCGTCCTAAGTCTATTATACACCGCCGGCTCGCTGTGAGGCATAGCTGTGGGATGCCGCCTTTCCACTGTGGAACGAAGGTCTCCATTGATGGTATTGGGTTGCATCGGATGCACGGCAGGATCATTTGTGTTAATCCCTCCAGAGGCTCTGTTTGCATTTTGAGGCTGATGTATATCCATAGGCAACAAATATTCGAGAAGTCTGTGGAATGGATCCAAGGCCATCCTCTGGAAACGCTGTGGTATATCTGTTTCCGACACAAGAGCTGTCACTGCGGAGAGTGAAATTAAAACAATCCTGAGCCACGTACCATCTTCGGTGAACATGTAGCAAAAGAAATAAAGCCGGATGAAAAGCCAAAGTCGTCCCAGTATCCGAGAGAGATTCGCTGGGCCTAAAATTATTCGATGTCGCTCCTGCTGTTGTAAGATGGCTTGATTCACAGCAGGTGGTATATTCGTTGTATTTGGCGCCGCATGTGACACGTCATGTGGAATAGGGGTTATGTGCGGGTGAATGGTTGTCCTATGAGTGGGGAATACAGACGTTCCCGTGTGGATGGTGCCATATCCTGAGGCAGAAGCTGGAGGTAAAAGTATTGCATGATAGCCAGACGGGGAAGATAGTAGGTAGAGGGAATTCTGCGTAGGATCTTGAACAGTTGGTGAGGAATTAAGCAAGGAATTCTGCGGTGAAAAAGTAAAGGAACGGGCTCTTGAAATCCGTATTTGATCCACCCGAGTACTAAGAGATGATAGCCGTGCGAGAAGATTTGCAGGCATGCTATCTCTTCGGCCAAGTGGATTACGGTCCTGTTCATCCAGAATCTGATGAAGTTGAATGCGTATGCTAGAAATTTCTTCGACGACTGGCAGATGGCCACGGCGTAGTTGGCCTTCCATAGCAAATATTTGTTCTAAGATGGTTGCGATTGTTCGTTGTCGATTTTCGTTTACACCTCCCACACCGGTTCCATTCTCCCCGAACCACGTGGAACGACTGGGGGGAGGAATGCTTGCTGTGTGCTGAACGGGAGAAATGCGATGTGTGGTGTTCTCGGACATTGTGGTCCATGGGGATGGCGATTGGTGCGACAGGGTACTGGGTGTCGAGCCCACTCTCTCGCTTTGTAGGTTCGGCGCCGGCAACCCGAATCTGGTGCCGTATAAAGGCGAATTGACATCAACGTATAGAGGTGAATTCTCTACAGTATTCTGGAATGGGACACCGGTCGTATTTATCGCTGGGGCAACTCCGGTTCCTGAAGGACGAGTCGGGTTAACCAACCGTGAATTCTGAGTGATTTGAGCCGCCAGATGTTGATGTTGTGCTATAACGTGCTGGCGTATAGCAGCCACCTGGCTGGTGAATGCCTCTGGGTTGAACTGTGCTTGCCCATGCGGTCTCTGTACTGTTGGCTCAACATTGTTTGTACGGAGCCGTAAGTTGGACGACTCCTGCGGTGGGTTCGGGAGGTTTGAAATATCGCTTGTTGGAGGGGGGATAGTAACTTTGACCTGACTCGGGGGAAGAACTAGATGAATCGTGTGCACACGACCCTATTGCCAACCGAATGTTATATGAGTCTGTGATATCCCGGGGAAAAATGGGGTCGAGGACAAACTTACGTCTGTATGCTGAACAATATTGCTTAGCCGCTCTTCATTGTTTAATAGAGGTTTCCCCCTGTAAATGAGCCTTTGTATATCTGGACGAGGGCGGCTGGGCAATGTTTCAGACAGTCGAGTTTTCAAATCTAAGATCTTCATTGCAAGAGGAAGGTTGTCCAGAGTAACTCGGGCTGGGACCTCGAGGGACGGAGAGAGGATATGAAGATCGACCGTCTGAGCAGGAGTGCCAGCTGCATTACCAAATTCGGCTACACCGCTTATGTCCTGGGATTGGATATCTGTGGACATCTTGCCTTCTGCGTGTCAGGTTGCTTCGAGACTCCTGGGAGTACTTCCGTACGAACCAGAGAATGTGAGGTAGTCGGAATTCGAGGACTTGAAACAAGGCTACGTAGTGATATTTGACGTCGACGGTTCCCCTTTCAGGACGGGGCAAGGTGAAGGTGGATATAGTAGCAAAATTGACGGCCCATGCAATAAAAAATAAACGAGAACCAAAGAAAGAGTGAAATCAAGCACCGTATCCGTAGTCGGAGTGCGGTAATCACCTCATCCGCACATCTGCACGCCGTCTGACTCCTCTGATGATGATATGGCGATGGCGATGGCGATGGCGATTGATGTTTATTGTTTGAGAGTCGTCAGAGGGCTGACTCAGGCTGACTCAGCGAGGGCTAGCTGACTCAGATCCCTCGCCACGGACATATTAATTCCATGGTATTCGCGTGGTTGGGTTGTCGACGTCAAGAGATTTAATTAAGTGGTTTAACTTTTTATTTATTTTGGTCCGTTAACAGTGCTCAATTGGATTCATGGTTATGATCCTGCACTTCCGTGGCATGTTGGGGTGATCTATCGCCTGACATACCTCGAATTTAGGAAGCACTGAAGGAGGTCCGTTGTCCACCATGTTCGGTGGACGGGCAGCTGTCTATCGGAATCCCGCGAGGTTCGCGAGAACCTGGGAGGTTGTTGCGGCGGAGCTTGCCCCATGCAGAGCTAGCAACGGGATAATAGCGTTATCTCGAAGAAGGCTGTTTTCATCGTCATCTGGACGCTGGCAACAAAACGGCCATGGAGGCAATGGGTCTCAGGGGAAAGAGTCATTCCGGTCGAGATTGCGGACTGCGCTAGGGAACACCAAGATCGAATGGCATCCAATTCCCGTCGGGTTAGGCATCGGGTTCTTGGGGTTTGTCCAATTCTTCAGATCCAAAAAGTCGGAAAGAGAACGACTGGAACGCGAGGGTAACGAGGGGGAAGCTTCAGCGCGGAGGAAAATCCGTCCCTCTGGACCGTGGCAAGTTCAGGTCATGTCCACCCTTCCATTGAAGGCTATGTCTCGGCTTTGGGGCCGCTTCAATGAACTATCGATTCCATACTATCTCCGCGTCCCAGGTTTCAAGCTTTACTCCTGGATTTTCGGTGTTAATCTGGATGAAGTTGGAGAGCCTGACTTACATACCTACCCGAACCTTGCTGCCTTCTTTTATCGCGAGCTCAAACCAGGTGTCCGCCCCCTCGATCCGAACCCGCTCGCCATTCTTTCTCCCTCCGACGGGCGAATATTGCAATTCGGTATGATTGAGAACGGGGAAGTCGAGCAGGTTAAAGGCATGACATACAGTTTAGATGCCTTACTAGGACATGAAGAGTTTAGCCCTGGCCATGAGGCAGTACATCCTACAAAAGCTCCAATACACCATAGCATACACCGCGAGCGCACCAGTAATAAAGTCCCGGATAATGTGGCGGCAGACGAGAATTTTGCTAAGATGAATGGAATAACCTACACCCTCCCAACATTACTCTCAGGCAAGGGAAAGGGCGCATCTCCGGGAGATAAACCACTAGACGCCTCTATGCACTCCACCACCAGCTCCGAGGCTAAAGTCAAAGCCGACCTTGCCAAAGGCGAGACAGCCTGGTACATGCCCACACCCACCTCAAACAAATCCCTCTTCTACATCGTCATCTACCTCGCGCCAGGCGACTACCACCGCTTCCACTCGCCGGTATCCTGGGTTGTCGAAAGCCGCCGCCATTTCGCTGGTGAGCTCTTCTCCGTCTCCCCGTACCTCCAACGAACCCTTCCAGGCCTATTTACGCTCAACGAGCGCGTCGTCCTCCTCGGCCGCTGGCGCTGGGGGTTCTTCAGCATGACGCCTGTCGGCGCCACGAACGTCGGCTCCATCAAAATCAACTTCGACTCCGAGCTGCGCACCAACAGTCTGACGACCGATACGGCCGCTGACCGCGCTGCTTCCGCTGCTGCGATGCGCGGCGAGACCTACTCGGGCTTTTCCGAGGCAAAGTATCGCCACGCGAGCGACACGCTGGAAGGCCATGCGCTGCAGCGCGGTGAGGAGATGGGCGGTTTCCAGCTGGGAAGCTCGATTGTATTGGTTTTCGAAGCGCCGTTGGGCAAGCGGCCTAGCTTTGACTTGGGGTGGAGGGGAGAACAGCGCGAAGGTGGATGGAAGTGGAAGATTGAGAAGGGGCAGTATGTACAGTATGGTCAGGCAATTGGCGAGGTGGAGGATGTATAAAATGAATTGAAATCTGTTATATTACAAAATGTTGTTTATAGATTGGGTGCGGAACATGTGCAGTATATGTATGTACAGTGCAACACATGACTGTAGCTTCCTCATCCTGGACTTCTGGATTTGTACAGAAAATGTCTGGTTATCACCAGTCGTGAAAGCCAGGTGGACAGGCTGGGATGGCGTTACGGATTGGTTATGATGTGGTTACAGAGTTTATGCTTAGTGGCTATAAGATGCAGCGATATTTCCATTATACTCGGGTTTCTACACCCGTGCTGTCAATCCGCTGAGGGCGCTGTACGGACAATATCTAAGCGCAAACCTTGAGCAACAAATGTCGTGTAGAACGGTTGGTTTTAAAGAAGCCTCCGCTTTGAGAATTTTGCAGAAAGATCAGGCAACCCTCCAAAAGGAGGCCGCCAAAGAAGGCGGGGGTGTCGAAATGTTGGTAGCAATAGACACGCTAGGGGCTGTAGATTGCGCAACATGCTAGGACTTCAGAGCAACAGAGCTCATTTACTTCGCTCTCTCTCTCTCTTTTGTTTTTAAAGTCTGTGCACGCGCATTTGAGAACCGCCATGCTAATTCTAGTAATATTTTGTGTTCGGTGGTAGACCCTGTTTTTGATCATCTGCCTGCAAAATCTGTCAGTGGCAAAGGAAACGAGGATGATCTCTGAGGTACAAACAAGCGTTCTCCCAAAACTCTCAACACAACTGGTTTCAAATTCAATCCAACCACGTTCCTTCTCTCTGATGTAGGTGCTGTCAGGATAAGTGATCGCAACATCAAAATCTATCCACATCACTCTCTCGGGGTCACCAGGTACAATCAGAATGTTCTTAGGGTAGGGATCATTGTGCTCAACCAAAGCTGAATGAATCTGTTCAATTCCATGGACCGATTTGGCCATTCGCTCCTTGCTGTAAGTAACACAGTTCAAGGGCAAGGGGTGTGGCAGGTACTCGATCAGAATTGCACTTGGGAGGCCAGTGTCATGCTGAAAGCCATCCAGATGGGGGGAAATAGCATCTGGATTCAGAGATACTGCATATCCGTAAACCTAAGGTACATAGCCCGCATCACATATGCCAGATCGCTTGAGACTGCAGTAGGCCCGGATTTCGCCGCGAGAACGATTCAAGTCACGAACTCCGTCATCGGCATACCCAGGGTCTCTATTGTTATGGAACTGGACAGGGTCAGAAACTGATATGTTTGGGATGTAGCAGTGGCCAAAGTACATACAACTTTCAGAACATAGGGTTTGCCCTCGTAGCTCACATGGAAAATCGACGATGACTCTGATATGTTCAGTTCTTGGATAAACTTGAGCTTTGTGGGGTCGATCTCAATCCTCAGACTGCATCGAATTCTTCCTCCTTCTCGTAAATGGTACCCTCTGGGCCACGAACCAGATCCGTGTGACCAGGCATGATGGCGGCCAGAAACCGAAGACAGAGATTCTAGCTCCTAGTAAACCTCTATGGGTGCCAGCAGAGTTGTCGTCGGATTTAAATAGACTATTCCGGGAGTAGTGGCCGCCGCCAAGCATGCTCTCGATTCGATATTTACTTCAAAATTATCGGGATGGAGCTCAAGATGCGCATGGATGAGTTGCACTCTCCTAGCAGATTTCCCTCTGCCGTTTCCTTTTTTCTTCTGCCTTGCATTGAAAGGCAGCGATCAGATCCAAACCAAAGATGACGACTGCTCTAAGAACTTGGCCAACCGGTACAGTGCTATGTGAATATGCTTTTATTATCCCACGGTTCCCTTTTCTACTCAACTTTATTTATGTGACTCACTAATGGACAACAGTGGCACCCGCTGTTCTCAGAAATACATTGTGAAATCGGCACCTCCACATCGCCTTGATAACGAGCGCGCGATCCTGAAAACACTTGGGCATCAATCTGGCGTTCGCAGGCTAGTCGATGATATTCAAAACCCACCATTGCTAGTTTTGCAATATTACGACGACAATCTGTTGAATTGTTGCCGGACTAAAAGTGTGGAGGGACGTGAGCTCAAGACCGTTGCCAAAACTGTTCTTCAAGCTCTCGCCGCCCTGCACAACCAGGGGCTCGTCCATACCGGTATGTACAGTATCTATCTCGCCCAAAGGCACTGTCCACCAGTAACTTGGCGGCTGATACCACCGTTGGAAGTTTAGACGTCAAACCTGACAATATATTCATAAACTACTCTGATAACCCAAAGAGAATCAGCGAGGTTGCCCTGGGTGACTTTGGCGATACGTGCCATGTTGGCCCGAACCCCGACCCCAACGAAGATGGGCATATCATCGGTGCAGGAATCTTTAGAAGCCCGGAAGCCATACTGAATTTGCGCTGGGGCCGCCAACGGACATCTGGTCCTTTGGTGCTACTGTATGTCTAAAACCTTCGACAACTGATCACCTCATCATCAGCTGATGCATAACTAAACCATCTGTAGCTCATCAGCTTAATTTGAGGAAAGGGCTGGCACATCTTCAAGCCCGAGAACGTCGACCCGGAGGACGAAAAATATCCGGTATACATCCTGATTAAGCAGATGAACTTTTTTCGGCCACTTCCAGACAAATTTACAGAAATCGCAGATAAAGAAAGGGCGACCATGGCAATGCAGCTGAAGGGCTATGTCGAAAGTATGAGCAGTGCACAGCGGAAACCATTTGCTCGGGCGGAGGACGCCGTGCTCACCAAGGAGACTCGGGAATTTCTCTGTAGGATAATGAAACTGGATCCACAGGATAGACCGACGGCGGATCAGCTTCTGGAGGACGAATGGTTTGATGGAACCTAAGTTGCTACTCTCCTGACTACAATGGCAGCCCCCGCCTCTATGTGGTTGAAAATAACGCAGGTGATACTCCCGGAGTACGTTCCATGACAGATCCGCCATCCCCAAATGAAGGTGGCATTATTGCCATTGACATTGACATCATCACCGGTTGAGCTTTAGACCATGCCTGGCCAACAGTGAAAGATAAACCTAAGAACTCTAGTGGAGCAGATATTTGTTTTGTTCTTGTTGAATTTTATAAGTACCAATATACTGCAGTTACCACTCCTTTGGCATCCTGCCTCTGCGTCGGCTGCGACTGCTTTGATATTCTCTAACGGTGCTATGTGCATTGCCGGATCAGCATGTACAGTACAAAAAGAATTCAAGAGCTCAACGATAAAATGTGATCGAATTGAGTAGCACCTCATGACCCCCAGCCCCTGCAAGGTCAAGGTATCAATGGTGAGCCCCGGAAATGAGAGCAAGGGCAACAAACCCTAGACTTTGATCAATGCACCTATACGGGGAGGGGTGTTAGTTCACACCCGTAGCAATATAAGCAATAAACTAAGCGCCGTTGTACTTGGTTTTCAGAAACCGAGCAGAGGTACTGCGTATGTCTACTCAACTTGCGCCAAATCTCTTCAGAGTTTGACAAGAGGGAAACCCTCCAGAATACGTAGCCTGCACACTGCAGATAAAATCCTGATGGAATATGGCAGTAAGATATGCATGACGGCCATAGATAAGGTTTAAATAAGGGATTAAAAAAAAAAAAAAAAAAGGAGGAAAACGAGCGTTTTTCCTCAAAAGGCAAGTTGCTTTACAGGAATTGTAGAGCTGCGTCAGGGGGATGCTGAAAGATGAGTCGTGTCATTGGAACATCTCTGAGATAATCGTGACAAATATCCTATGGTAAAATCATTTGAATTGAGCCTGGGGGTTTCGTTTTCTTTCTTGCTTTCTTTTTCTTTTTCTTTTTTTTTTTTTTTCCTTTTTTTCCTTTTTTTAGTTTTTTGTTTTTTGGGGGGGGGGTGGGCGGTTAGTTATTTCGGTTGGAATGTCATTCATTGGTTGGTCGGCAGCCTTGGGGGGTTGTGGAAGGAAAATGGCGGTTCAGAAGAGTTTCTTTGTACTTTTATTTCCTCTCCTTTTTTTATTTTCTTGACATCTTTTATCCGGTTTGCCCGTACTTGACATCCGCAGATTGTAGACGATGCATTGCCAGATGGAAGGGGGTGTTAAAAGAGCAAACAAAGAGCCATACGGACTGTTGGACCCGCTCCCGAACACTGGAGAAGGGTTCTTGATTCAATGAAATATTTTGGCCATGGATAACCGATGGGGAATTGGAAGATGGGATTCAGTCTTCCCCATATTTCCGACAGGATTTTTTTTCTCAGCTAGCAATGCAATCAATGAATGGTGAAAGCAGGAATCGGGTCCGAATTTTTTCATTATGTTTTTTTTTTTTTTTTTTTTTTTTTTTTTTTTTTTTTTTTTTAAACCATGTAATCGCAATTGCAAGTGATATCGCATTTCTGTTCCGGCTCCATGACGTATCTCTTGAATTTCCATCTCTGCTAACCTCCTTCCCAGACTTCCTTCGAACTTCCATAGTATCTTTCTCCAGATCGTCCACACAATGTCAATACCTGGTTGTCCCGGTTAATCTGTAGACTTTCTCCTCCTACGGGTCCCCTATGAATGATAACAACGGACAACGGGTTTAATCACCCCCAGCGTCCGCGAACTAGAGCCAATCAACTAGCAACACCTGCAAGTGCTCTGTTCTGTCCAAGTTCTTAGGCTTAGGAGCGGAGCAGCTAGAGCCCCAGCGTGGAAAAGAAAAAGAAACGAAAAGAAAGCACAAGAAAAAGAAGCATGTTGGGTGGATGGATCGCGCATCGCATGAATGCATGCATGCCATGCCATGGGTCATTCCCATGCTTGCTTGAAAGAGTTGACATTCTGCCCGAGATCGGGTTTTGGCTAGTTAGTGCATCAAGTCGTCAAGTTGGCCCACGGGAGGAGGAAACGGATAGAAGCTGTTCCAGAATATCAGAACAAAACGTGATTGCTGTTGGGGGGTTTTGGATTGGTTCGTCCCCTCTACTACCCGCATGGCGCTGGTGTGAGAGAGCTCTTTTGCCCCAGTGGCCTAACAATTGCAAATGGCGTCTGCCAAGGCTCAGACGCCTTGTGGGGGTCGCTTGCTTGGCCTTGGCGCTTCGAAGAATTTTCGGTGGGCTTCATTGGTATTCCCTCGTTTATTTTCTTATTATTAGTATATTCCCCCGCTTCAGCGTTTCCCCATTCCCTGTTATCCTCGGCTAGTAGAGGTCTGATTGTGTATGAAGCATTCGATTACATCCTGTTGGGGGGATTGGGTTGGGTGATTCGTACTCTCTATACCACCATGGCGCTGGTGGTGATTGAGCTCTTTTGCCCTAGTGGCCTAATACATCCATCTTTCGTTGGTTTTACAGATTACCTGAACCTGATAATGTCGATGATTTATCACTGATCATCCCTGTTAGTGGGTACTACGGCTATGTAAGAGGGTTGAACCTGTGGGTCGGGCAGCTGAGGCATATATGTGCGGTGCGCTAGTCCGTGATAGGCAGCCTAGGGCCAACAGAACCTTGGTTGTATCTAGTGGCGAGCTAATAATGGATGTGTGTGGGTCACGTGGGACAGGGCTTGTGTGAGTAGCTCCAATAGGCTACCCTATCACGTCCCCCCCAACATATTCCAAGGTTCCAAGGTTGTGTTGCTCTCGCGTACTCCGTAGTTAGTAAAGAGAACAACGTTATCCTCCCACAATCCCTTTCCCCCATGCTAGGCTGATTTATTCTTCGTTTCGTTTTTCTCGCGCAGGGACAATCAATGATCCGCACGTGGCTACGCACCAGTCAGAAAGGAGTTAGCAACAGCGGAAACAGCACACAAGAAGAGCCTTGCAAGGTGGAATTCCGAGGAGGGGACAGAGAAAAAGATGCGTGTCCAGCCGAATCCGGATTAACCTGTTGAAACAACGAGCTTTATGAGCGAATTTCCCCGGCAAAAATAAAATCTAGATGTCCCATGACGTTTGTGGAGCGAGGAAGGGCACCGGAGGGATATCAGGGATATTCATTTTGGAGCGGGGTGGTTGATGATCGGATGAAACCAATATGTCTGTTCCTACAGCACAAGTAAACTTGGGTTATTATTGCTATTACAACTCTTGTGTCTGAACTCATGTACCGTACGCAGGTACAGTGCAACAGTGCGTGTTTTGAGGTTTGTGCAATCATGAACTGGTCAAGATGGTGATCAGACCTCAGTTGCCTCCACGGACCCCCATGCGTCTCTGTACTGTAATACCGCTTCCAACCACCACACACCCCCGCGCGCATGCGCTCCTCCGTAATATCTAAGGATTGCCAAGAGCGCGGCGAGACGCGGCAATCAGGTAGGTAACGACTGGGCGGCGGGATTGCGGAGTCGCACAGCCTCCAAAATGAATGCTTATTGATATTGTTGTTGGCAAGCACACATCAATTTCCCTTTTCCGGAAGCATGATCTGTCAGGAGATTAGTGAAAAACATACAATAAGTTAATATACAAAAACGTCGTTCTTCTCATGCCCGTGCTTCCGTAGTCCGTCTGTTCCGTGCTGTCGGTTTTCCAGGCGTCTCCAGACATCCCCCGGTCTCACCCTTCATCCCCAGCTCCACCTGCGCGCTAGCCCGCGCCAAGTATTCCTCTCCAGGGATGAGTGGCCTCAGTGTAACCTTAGATGGGCATCAGTGGCCAATAGTGGGTAAGGGGGCCACACCCAGCGGAGACGACGTGTTTTCATGGTTGGGAAGGAGAGGAGCAGTCACTGAGCACGGTGAGCTGCCCAGCGAAACAAAAAAGAAAAGCACTCATGAATTGCCTAGGAGTACTTTCTGGACTGCTGTTCGCAAAATGTGGGCAATGCTCCTCGGTGGGAGGGCCGGGAGGGACTCGTTGAAGGGTCTTCGTCTTCTCTTTCGTTTTCTTTTTTTCTCAGCTGTGGCTTGGGTTTCGGGGCGATGAGAACAAATAGAGTGGAACTGAGCATAAAGTTATCGATTTCCCAAACCCAAACCATGTTCCAATGACGAATCGAACCCTGGGAGGCGAATGTTGGAATTTTGTGCCTCGGGTGGCCAAGCAGGGCCAAGCCTTTTCCCGTTGTGGTTTATTTTTATATAACTCCCCACCTTGTCCCTCAACTTCCTCCACTCCTCCTGTTTTCCTCTCTTGTTCCCATCTCGCGTCTCCAGTCTCCGTCCATCACTTTGCCCGGTGATTCACCTGTCTAGGAGAATCGCAGGCTGATTACGGAATTTTCGGGACTGATAGTTGCCACTGTTCTGTGCCCTCGTATACTTGGGATTTGTCCTCATCTCTAAGAATCACAGCTTAAACAACTCTGCTTTCTATCCGTGTCTGTCTAGTTGAGAAAAATAGTCAAGAAAATATAAGAGTACGGAAAAATCATTGTCATCATCATCATCATCTGTCTTGACAGGCCCTCTCCTCTCCAAATGAGACCCGCCTGCTATTCCTCCGTCGCTGTTCGCTCGCTTTGCATTGCTCCCTAACATTTGCTGGTTTCCTATCACCATCAATAAACTCACCACTACCAATATCACTGCCATATATTGAGTATTGCAACAAAGTCTCGATTCTACCATCATCATCATGGAGAAATCCGAGAAGCTCGCTACCCAAACAAACAGCGAGTCAAACTCGAGCACGGGTTCCCAGGAGGTCCACCTCTCTCTCCCCGCTCATAGCCTACCCTATGACGCCGTTATCCGCGAACTAAGAACTGACCCCGAAGATGGCCTCTCGACGGGAGAAGCTAAGCGCCGTCTGGACATCTATGGCCCTAACATGCTCGACGGCGGCGAGGAGGTCTCCATCGTGAAGATTCTCGTGCGCCAGGTGGCTAACGCAATGATGCTAGTTAAGCGGCCCACTTCCTTTACCCCTTTCCCCCACCGTTGATTGCATGGAGCGTTGTTTGTCTGATCCAATGGCATGTTGCCATCCTTTGTAACAGGTCCTTATCATGGCCATGGCAGTCAGTTTTGGCATTCAATCTTGGATTGAAGGTGGCGTCGTCGCTGCCGTTATCATCCTCAATATCATTGTTGGTTTCTTCCAGGAATACGCTGCGGAGAAGACGATGGATTCTCTGCGTTCCTTGAGCTCCCCTACGGGTAATGTTTCGCGGGAGGGAACTACCTCCACCATCCCGTCTCTTGAGATCGTTCCTGGTGACATGGTTGAACTCAGGACTGGTGACACAGTCCCTGCAGATATAAGGTGAGATTACCTTGATATAATTTCATACTACCCTATAGATTGTACTAGAAACGTAAGACTAATGAATTTTATATATGTATATTTCTTGATTCGTGAAACAGACTTGTAGAAGCGGTTAACTTCGAAACTGATGAAGCTCTACTTACCGGCGAATCTCTCCCCGTGCAAAAGGATGCAGACCAGACCTTTAAAGAGGATACCGGCCCGGGCGATCGCCTGAATATTGCCTACAGCTCCTCAACTGTGACCAGAGGCCGTGCTCGCGGTGTTGTCGTATCTACCGGCATGAGGACTGAAATTGGGTCTATCGCTGCTGCCCTCCGCGCAACTGATTCAAAAATTCGTCCTGTCAAGCGTACCCCTGAAGGTGAAACCAAAAAGCGCTGGTACTTGCAGGCATGGGCTTTGACCGGCACCGATGCCGTCGGCCGATTCCTCGGCGTCAACGTCGGAACTCCGTTGCAGCGAAAGCTCTCCAAGCTGGCTCTGATTCTGTTCGGAGTGGCCGTCTTATTTGCTATCATTGTTATGGCTGCAAACAAGTTCAGCAGCAAAAACGAAGTTATCATTTATGCTGTCGCTACCGGTCTCAGTATGATTCCCGCATGTTTGGTTGTCGTCTTGACAATTACGATGGCTGTTGGTACCAAACGGATGGTCGAAAGACACGTCATTGTTCGCAAACTTGACTCGCTCGAAGCATTGGGTGCCGTCACCAACATTTGCTCAGATAAGACTGGAACATTAACCCAAGGTAAAATGGTGGCGAAGAAGGCATGGATTCCGTCTCGCGGGACATACTCTATTGGAACCTCAAATGAACCGTTTAACCCGCACGCTGGGGCTATGGGCTTCGAGGCGCGGCCTCCTGTGGAAGCAGCAATCAACGACGAACCGACTGAAGTCACCTCGCCCGAGGACCTTCTCAGAGACAACGACGATCTTGTACAGTATCTGGATATCGCGTCCATGGCCAACCTTGCTCACGTTTACAAGTCGGAGCATGGTGAATGGCATGCCCGTGGCGAACCTACAGAAATCGCCATCCAGGTCTTCGCATCCCGCTTCAACTGGAACAAGGACAGGTGGACTAAAGGTACGGACGCGCAGTGGCACCAGAAAGCTGAATTCCCTTTCGATTCGAGCATCAAAAAGATGTCTGTTATTTTCGAAAACCTGAAAGATAGCCGCCAGATGGTATTCACGAAGGGTGCTGTCGAACGGGTTCTTGAGGCGTGCACTTCCATCGTTTGGAAAGAGGGCGAAGGACGCGTCCCATTGACCGAGGAACATACCTCTCGGATCCTTGCGAATATGGAGGTCATTGCCGCTCAGGGACTGCGCGTTTTGGCTTTAGCCGGACGGGAATACAAACCCTCCCAGCTGGAGGACGGCGATTACAATCGTGAAGACATTGAAAGGGAATTGGTTTTCCGGGGTTTGATTGGCCTGTACGATCCCCCTCGCCCCGAAACCGCGGGTTCGATCGAAGAATGTTTCCGCGCTGGGATCTCCGTCCACATGGTCACAGGAGATCACCCTGGTACCGCACGCGCCATTGCTGCTCAAGTTGGCATCATCCCGTCTGATATGAGCAAGGTGGCGAAGGACGTCGCCGACGCTATGGTCATGACGGCCGGCCAATTCGACAAACTCACTGATGACGAAGTCGATGCCCTGCCCACTCTACCACTGGTCATTGCCCGATGCGCCCCAAATACCAAGGTCCGCATGATCCAAGCCCTCCATCGACGCGGCCGCTTCTGCGCCATGACAGGCGACGGAGTCAATGACTCGCCGTCCCTGAAGCACGCCGATGTTGGAATTGCCATGGGCGAATCTGGCTCCGACGTCGCCAAGGATGCATCTGATATCGTTCTGACCGACGACAATTTCGCCTCGATCCTCAACGCCATCGAGGAAGGCCGCCGTATCTTCGACAATATCCAGAAATTCGTCCTGCATCTACTGGCCGAGAACATTGCGCAGGCCTGTACGTTGCTGATCGGGCTGGCTTTCAAGGATGTCGATATGCAGTCTGTGTTTCCCTTGGCGCCCGTTGAGATTCTCTGGATCATCATGATTACGTCTGGAATGCCTGATATGGGTCTTGGTATGGAAATTGCCGCTCCGGATATCATGGATCGTCCACCACAAAGTGTACGTTTCTTCACCCCTCCCAAATTCTACTCTTCCTGCAGAGTATCTACTTACCTTTCTTTTCTTTTCTTTTCTTTTCTTTGCTTTCCTTTTCCTTTTTTTCTTTTTTACGGCATGTTTTTCTAACCAAAGAAAAACAAAATTCTGTAATACAGAAACAAGGTATCTTCACTTGGGAAATCATCATCGACATACTCGCCTACGGCCTCTGGATGTCCGCCCTCTGCCTCGCCTCCTTCACCCTGGTCGTGTACGGGTTCGGCGACGGCAACCTCGGCCGCAGCTGCAACACTAGGTACTCAGAGCAATGCGATACCGTCTTCCGCGCGCGCGCCACGACCTTCGTATGCTTGACGTGGTTCGCGCTCTTCCTCGCGTGGGAGATGGTCAACATGCGCCGCAGCTTCTTCCGCATGCAGCCCAAGTCCAAGAAGTACTTCACGCAGTGGATGCACGATGTGTGGCGAAACCAGTTCCTCTTCTGGGCCATCATGGCCGGTTTCATCACCATCTTCCCGCTGCTGTACATCCCCGTCATCAACACAGTCGTGTTCAAGCACAAGGGCATCACGTGGGAGTGGGGGATTGTCTTTATCGAGGCGATGTTGTTCTTTGCTGGCGTCGAGGCGTGGAAGTTGTGGAAGCGCATCTACTTCCGCCGCAAGGATCGGAAGGGTAAAGGTCAAGTCTTCGTCGGGCCGATATGCTGGATTATTGATAGTGAGCAGTAGAAACTGACTTCGGCGTGGTGGTGGGGGAAGTTGCCCAGTTTGAGATTGCTGGGCGGGTCGGCTTCAACCACTCACTCTTTCACACCCTTGGGCTCAGCATTTAGCATTTCAGTATCGCTTCTCACCCACTCCATTCGATCAAGTTCTGAAATAATGTCGAAGAAATTGCATCCCATGGGGGGATCCCGGAAAAAAAAAAAAAAAAAAAAAAAAAAAAAAAAAAGAGAGAGAGAGAGAGAGAGAGAGAGACAGAGAGAGATAGCAAACAAAATCACTGGTCGTGCGATGCGGCTCCGACAAAGTTCAACCTGACTGCGGGGGGGGGGTTTTTTCCTTTTAATCTAGGTAAGTAGGGCAAAGAAAAAGGGAGAAAGAAGAACAAAAAAAAAAGTACTTAAGAATTAACAAGAAGAGAGAGAGAAGGGAAGGTAAGGAATGAGATTGGTTAAAATTGGAAAATACAGAGGACGATTTTGGCGTGAAAGTTTGGCGACTGCCGGGGAGGGAACCATGTCTGGCCAGGCAGGCGCGGGTATGATAACTCATTCCCCCACGTCTCCAGACTGTTGGAATCTCCAGGGGCAAGACCCTTTTCTTTTCAATGAGGATCAGAACTAATGCGTATTCTTACTATGGAAATCGCATGAGCCAGAAGAGCGTCTCCTCCTTTTTGTTTTTGGCTATCAATAAATAGGTTTTATTTTATTTATATATGGTTAGATAGTGAAGAAAACAAAACAAAATTGCCCCTGTTTTTCATTTATTTAGTGACAGCTAGCTTATTGATGTACTTTGCAGCTTGTTGGATGCGTGAGATGCAATTGCGCTAGTCTGTACTCCGTAAATAGGAATCGACAAGCAGGTCCCTGTTTGGGCTAAGCTTCAGCCACGAAGAAGCAGCGCAGTTGGTTCTTCAGTACGGAGTAGTTATGTATGATTGTATGTATATAACGTCCCAGAGGGAGCGGGCGCTGCCTGCTCCCCGGGGGCCTCCCGAAGGGCATGGGGACGTGCGAAGCTGGAGAGATCTCTATATACACAGTGGAAAATCGTAGTTATGGAAGAACATTCTCGCAAAACTTAAAGCATCTACGAACCCGTTCACGGAAAGGCCTCCAAACAACATGAGAAAGTCCAGCGCAAAGAAAAGATATCGTTCTGGGTCTGGACATTAGGAAGAAGTTCTCTGATCTTGTGGTTGCCAGCAGCGTCCGTATCGAATCCGGATCGGGTTGTTCGGTGTTTTAAGGCGCCTGCTTTGCCTGCTTTGCCAGCCTGTCTGCTTCTAAGAACCCTTTCCTGGCACTCCGACGTGGAGCTGGAATCCAATGAAGCTGCAACTTCCTCCGGAGCCCGTCGAGCGCTCGTATGGCTTCAGCGAGGATATACTGGCCGTTCTAGCGGGGACTGGTCTAACTAAGGATTTCATAAATATATCGCTTGGACGGCAGCTTGGTTGTCAGTTGGAAAAAACTTGTGGCTTCTCTTTGATGGAGCGTATCATCCTTAGAGCTCTGCCGCAGCCCTGAGAATATGTTTTCTTTCCTTATCCTGTTATAAATCGCCCTTCAGCAGGTGTGCGGTCACGATATGAACTTCAATAAACATGTCGTTTATTACCACCATGTCTTGACACCCATCTAGTCTGCCGCTCAAGTCCTGCATGTTTGAGCTTTGTTGTAGCATTTTCCTTCGCCGCGTCCTTTAGACAACTCTGCATCTCTACAGACACAGACAGACTATCTGTAAGGGTTTTAGTTAACCACTAGTTAGTTGGTTATTTATAATAATGACCTTATATTGTTCTGTCTGCAAGCCAGCTCCCACTAGCTGGGCTAGCTTTCTTCACAATTGACGATTTACATTCGCCCTTCTTTCTCTCAGCCCAGGTTAATAATGTGCCATGCTTAACTATACATAGATATTGAGTTACATAGATATTGATATGGAATGTTTCGGGTTACAGTTGAACGTGGTGCCAAAAAGATCTCCTGTCCGAGTTAAGCGTACTTGCGTAAAACAATGTGACGAAAGCATCAACGAACGTTGAGGGTCTCTATCAGATCTTTTGGAACAAGGGGGTCGAAATGGCCAAAGCGATGGAAAAGGATTTCGGAACATCCCAACGAAACCCAAAGGCCATTAGGATTGCTGGTTTGGCAACAGCGTACTTCTCCGGATGTTATCGGCCTTGCTGGAAATGGGCTATGATTTCAACGCAATCCTGAACCCGACAAGCAGGCTTATTATTGAATGTAGAAAAATTTTTCCCATCACTACCAGCGTTCACTTTGTTTGTCTAGTTTTTTCCTCTCTTATTAGCCCAAGAACTTTTTTCACCCGTTTACCAATAAAACACAAATCGCGATGTTCGAGAAGGTGTTCAATACGTCCTTAACTTCTGCGAACGCCTTCTCCAGAATAAGCAGCAGAGGATAGAGAAGAAAGAGGCCGAGCACATAATAAATATAGTTTCTGTTGCGATGGAAAATGGGGAGAATTTACCAACCGGGAACTTGTTGACCAAATCATGACTTTTCTTTCTGCTGGGCACGAGACAACATCCTCTGCTTTTCAACTTGTTGTTTATGGTCCTCTGCAAGCATCCTGAGATCCAAACCCGGCTTCGAGAAGAAGTTCGGTCCTCCCCGCCATCCATCTCACTTGAACTTCCCACCACCGCCTATCTCTGCCTCCCTCATTGACTTTCTCCCCTACCTACATGCGGTTTGTAATGAAACACTCCGCTTCTACCCCCCTTTGTCTATGATACAACGTGAGGCAGTCCGAAACACAGTGCTATTTGACACGTTCATTCCAAAGGGAACAGGTATTGTTATTTCGCCCGCAGTCACGAACCACGACCCCGAGCTATGGAGACCGGATGCGGGGATATTCAATCCGGAGCGCTGGATGGGGGTCCCGTCAATGCAAATTCAGGCGGCGCAACTAACAACTATGCATTTCTAACATTTTCCATGGCCCGCGAAGCTGTATTGGAGCATCGTTCGCACAGGCAGAGTTGGCCTGCTTGGTGGGTGGCGATCATGGTTGGGGAGATTTGAAATGGGGCTTTTGGATCCGGGGAAGGAGCTCAAGTTGAAGCACGGGGCTTTCGGTGTGCCGGAGGATGGGGACGTCGTTAAGCTGAAATTGTGGAAGGGGGTGGAGTTCGGGATCATACGACAGAGCTTTATATCATGGAGTGTCTGAGCCGAGGAATTTACAGAAATAAAATGATGTAAAATGCTGTATGCATCACTCTGTATATTCTCAATCTTTTTTTTTTCTTTCAATGTGGACGTTTGGTGCAAAGAGCCAGATATCAACGGTGCCAAGCGCATCTCACTACCTCCCATTATCAACACTGCCCTTATTCAGCTCACTTCGGGCCAGAATGGGAAAAAAAGCAAGGGAACTGTTGTGCCAGAACGGATGAATTTTTGCCTTGGGATACGCTAGGATGCATCCCAACATCACCCATGGCTCAAGGAAATCGCCCATATCCGCTAGAACTGGGCGAATGCAGGGACTATGATGGATCCCTGAAAGAAACTAAGCCGACTTGCGACTTTGGCCTTAGCAAGGGATGTTGAGATTGGTTTATTATCCCTGCTATTTCTATAAACGCCAGGTTCACCCCGGCGAAGATAACTGCGGCAGCACACGGTCATAGACAGAGTGAGACTGCTACACGCCAAGAAATGGCTAAGCCTTGCAGCTTGTGAGATGGGTGTCACATATATTGATCGTTCACCAGGAAGGTTGGTTCATTGTTAGTATCCAGCGGGCGCAGCACAGGCTTAAATAGGTGTAGGTCACGTGGCATTATAGTGAGCGATAGGGATGGCAGCATATCGTTTATTCTTTGGATTTACTTTTAATCGTATTGGTATTTTGGTGCTTCTCAAAGTGCTTGTGCCCGCTATACCACTTTCTCTCGCCCTTGAGCAGGCACGGTTGAATTCTGTTTCCGTTGTGTTCAGCCGCAGTATCCCACTTTTAGCGAGACGATTTTCGCTCCTGATTTTCACTCCTGATCTCCACATGACCATCTTCCGTTTTGACTGTAGAGGTTTCCAGGCAAAGAGAGCTGGCGAAAGCGGTACTGAACTGCGAGATCAAGATCGAGAATGACCTCACATTTGTGGCTTATTTGTACGGGTTAGACACTCAAACACGTCCCTTGATGAGGGAGATGCTTAGGGAGTTGAAAGAGTTTAGTTCACACGCAACCGGTAGGCAGAGGTGACACGAGAGGCCAGATAAGCCTCTGGATGCGGCCAAGGCTTTATTGCAAGACCCGTACATGTACCCACAGAGGACGCGCCTGGGGAGCACCAATTTGCACACAGGGGGACCAACCAGAGACCGTTGGGGTTTCTATATGGACGCTCAAGGCTCAGGATCAGTAGAATGAGGACCAGCAAGCGGTCTGGGATGAGGAACACGCTCTGGTTTGCTTTTCTGCATAGGCTTCTTCGAGGCTATCTTCGAGGCTATGTGGGTACGCAGCCCAGAGTAAAATCGTTCAAAGCGAGCCCTTGGTGGACCAGCGACGAGTCAGCGACCAAAAGGCTGGTGATAAAACGGAACATCTGTTGTAATCATTAAAAGTGGTTGTTATTATTATTAAAGGATCTAGCTGCTACGTCCACGGGTGTGTGTGCAATATTCCAAGGTTCGGCAGGGCGCCTGAATGTCACGTGGAGGCGGCGACCGCGGTCGGACAGGATCCAACAACATCGGAGCCAGCAATGGATCCGATGTAATAGGACGAGGGGAGAATAGGAGTAAGAATGGAAGCAGAGAGTAAGGGAAGAAGGGGGGAAAAGGTTGAATAACCAAGCAGACATGGGCACATTCTGCTGATTTGAATTCTCACACCTTTGAACTAAACCTACCCCTGAATCCTGGCGTCATCCATTGGTAGCTAGCTAGCTATTTATGGATGGATTTATTTAGGCAGAATTCGGAGGAAGCAAGTTACAGCGAAGTTAGCTCAGAGATGGAGCAGGTAAGAAGTTGAAAGACAAACAGGGAGGAAAAAAAGCTGAAAGGAATCATTCTTTTTTTTTTTTTTTTCTGTGTACAGTTGATTATTATATCATCATACTAAATTGTCTATTGAAGACACCTTTGTTCTTCCATTCCTTTGTATTGCTTCTCTATTCTTTATGTACTTACTATCCAATAGCTTATTTATTAAAATCATTTCTTACTGACTGTTTAATACTTCGAAGTGACGTCGCATCTGCTGTGGCTGGGTGTTTATTTTCTCTTCGACCTCCCTTTTTTTTCGGCCAGCTATCCCCAGCTCCGGATTGTCGGTCATATTGGAATAATCCTCTGCAGAGTGAGTGAGTGAGTGAGTGAGTATATGAGTGAGTTGACTCTCGTCCCTGCACCATTTCCACGTCAAATCCATGCATTTCTGCAAAATAAACAGCAGCCTTCCTTGACTCTTGCCTGCCGCCGAGATCTGTGTCTTTATTTACTCACGGATATATCTTCATGTCTGCATCCCGCCAGACACGCGGTCTGCGTTTGTTTGCTGACCCCGAATTGTTGTTTGCCGCAGCTTTGTTGTTTGTTTGAAGACTCTCTCGCGGCTTCTCCTGCGTACAACCAAACATCCGCACGCTGCCACTCGACCACACTCCTTGTCCTCCTCGCATCCCCGCATCACCACCTGCATTGCTCCACCGCTAGCCTCCCTCGCCAATAAGCAAATTACGGGAATTGTTCCAGTTCGCAGTCGCCTGCGTCTTAAGTCAGAAGTAGCCCCCGCGTTACAAGCCCCGGTCGAGCTTGGTTCCGACACCTCCGCAATCCTCTTTTGCTCCGCTGTTTTACAGCAGCTCAGGCCCTCCGGGGAGGGATCATCTGCTTTTTTTTTTTTTTTTCCCTACAGCAATGAGTATGCGCACGAGACGGCAAAAGGCCACGACATCAGGCGGAGGTTTAACGCCACCTACGCTTGACGACGAGGTGGAAGATACCATGGCCACCGCCAATGGCTCTGTGCACAAGAATAATAATACTTCCCACACCACCTCCTCCTCTGCCTCCAAGCGGAGACGATCCCGCTCCCCTGCTGTCCCAGCCGAACACAATGAGAATATATTTCTCTTTTACCCTAATATAATCGGTGGGTTCTTGGCACTTCTGGCTCTGCGTTCCGTTTTCTTAGAACCTTTTGGCTTCCGCTCCCGAATGCTAACCATCTTCCCCTGCCTATCTTCTTTTTTGATGCAGGTTACTTCCGCGTTTTCCTTGCAATCGCTTCCCTCTATTATATGCCCCTTCACCCACGAACCTGCTCTCTCCTCTACAGCATATCGTGTCTCCTCGATGCCCTGGACGGCGTAGCAGCTCGCCACTTCAACCAGTCCACCACCTTTGGAGCGGTGCTGGATATGGTGACAGATCGATGCACCACGGCTTGTCTGTTAGTGTTCCTGAGCTCCGCATGGCCGCGATGGGCGATTCTCTTCCAAGGCCTGATCAGCCTCGACCTGGCCAGCCACTACATGCATATGTATGCGACGTTGACAATGGGTGGTTCGGGCCAAAGCCACAAGAAAGTCGATTCGAGCAGGAGCTGGATTCTGTACCAGTACTATAATAGCAAGGTGAGAGCTATCTATCTCAACAATACCATTACCTACGACATCGCCATTAGCTGACATTGTTGTGTGCCCACATTCGGCCAAAAAAAAATGAAATAAAAAGACCGTCCTCTTCGTCTTCTGCCTCTTCAACGAACTCTTCTTCATTGGCCTCTACCTCCTTTCCTTCTCCTCGCCAATCCTATCTCCCTCCCTCCTCCAACCTGTTGGCGGGGAAGGACTAGGCGCTGCTTCAGCGCAGCCAGGATCACCAGCTGTCGCTCCATTATCTAGCCTCTTCTCTAGTCCCTGGAGCGCCGGCGCCCTTGAGCTCGCCCGCGCGAACAAGATGGACAGCTTCTGGCCATGGGTCATCACAGGCATTTCCGCGCCGATCATGGCGGGCAAACAATTCATCAATGTTGTGCAGATGGTTAAGGCAAGCCGGTGGCTGGCTGAGGGGGATCTGATGAGGAGGAAGGAGCAGCAACGGCAACAAAGGTTGTCCACGGCTAAGAAGCGGTGATGATACAAAGGCAGAGGATTTATTTCTGTGTCGGTCTTCGCTGCTTTTGGTCAGTGGAATCGATGAAATCGAAATCGAAAGAGAATTTCGGATAACATTTTGAGCAGTCGATGGAAAATCCCCGCTTTTTTGATCATTATTTTCTTCTAAGGTATCCATCCACACGAGGACAGAGACAGCATGGGCTCAGCTCAGTTTCCATTCACCATTCTGTATTTTTTTTTAAAAAAATGTTCTTTTCTGCCTTATATTCTCCTTCTAAGGTAGGGACATTTGCAAACTGGTGAGGGAATCGATAAACAACAGAGTGACTTGTATAAGCCAATATATCGTTTCTCTTCAGTATTCTTTTTTTCTCGCCCCCTTTCCCGCTCGATATTCCTTTGGTGGATCGGATGGATGGATGCAAGGATTGATTGATTTCGATTTAAACATTCGCTTTTCTTTTATATTCATTTTCTCCTTTCACCATTTCTTTCCTTTTTTTGTTTTCTCTTTTATTCCTTCTTCTTATTATTATTACTACAATTACTACTGTTTCTTTCTCTCCTTTTCTTCTCTCCTGATTCTTTGACCTTTGTCCATTTCTACTATTATTTCTACTTATTGCCATAACATTCAGAACTCTGTTTTTTAGTTATACCTTCTAGTATTATTATCCTCTCACCCTCATTTTTTACCTCCGTCTTATCAATTTTTTTTCCCCCACGCTTTGATGTTGTTTCTACGTTTTTTTTTTTTTATTTTATTTTTTTTTCCCTTTCTGATTTTTGTAAATTGCCACGCCGTAGAAGATATCCCTGTACTCTTTTCCTTTTACATTTATAATTTTCAAATATAATCAGTAACTAATTTCCGTGAGTCGATTTACTTTTGTAGTTGTTAGCCTTAACAAAGTAGCCGCGTCAAAGAGCCTCTCCACGTGATTGACGTCTGTTGCTCTTTCTTAACCGCGCGCCAATTCTCCGCAATAAAACTTTCGTTGAACGCCACATTTATACACCGCGGGGAATTTCTTTCTGAGCTTCCAGATTACTCCCGATGACCTTGTATCTGTGACTAATTCCCCGTCGCCAATGCCCCGCCACGGCCTTCGACGGGGCGTCGGTGGCCACTCCGCTTTCCCGAGTGAAGATGGAGCTTCCGCCTCAACTCCATCAAATGACCGACCCCACCGCCATCCCAACTTCGAGCCTCCGGTTCCTGCCCGGAACCCGCGCGCGGAAATATTTCCTGCTAACGATGGGCATCCTCGTCTGCATAATTTACCCATTGGTGGCGACCCTGACCTCGCAGATACGGAGGAGGACCTAGGGGACAGTGGGGAGGAGCGTGATGACGAAGATGAAGATGATATCGATATTGACATCGAGGATGAGGAGGGTGATGATGAGGAATTGAGGCATGAGGAGGGCGAGGTAGAGATGGAGGGTCAAGAATATGATGATTACGATGGTATTTTTTTTTTTTTCGGGCTCTGTAAATCCTTTGCATTTAAAGTTTTGTTTTTGTCTTTTTTTTTTTTTTTTTTTTTTTTCTTTTTTTATTTTTCCCTTTCTGTAGGGCGCGATTTTAACAATGCTCCGCAGAAAGGCACACCGCTCCCCCCATCCCCGCCAACCTGCGCGAGATCTCCTCTCTAGCTTCCTGGACAGTATCAACGCATAAACCAGGCTGCGGCATCGCAGCCCTCCGCCCACCCGTCCCCCTCCCAGTTCTGGCAATCCGACGGGCCCCAGCCACACACGCTCACGCTGCATTTTTTCAAACGCGTCGCCATCGTCCGCATCCGCGTGTATCTCGACTTCGAACTCGATGAGAGTTACACACCTACCAAAATGATATTCCTGGCTGGCATGGGCGGTAACGATCTCGTGGAGTTCGCGACATGGCAGGGAGAAGCGCCTACGGGGTGGGTGGATATCGACCTGCAAGGGGCTGGGGGACGGCATGAGAAGGTGGGACGGCGGGGGAGCAAGAGTCGTCAGAGGAGAGGTAGCAGGAGGAAGGGAAATCTCAGCGGAGAGAAAGGAGAGATGGGAGCGAGATCGGGCGCGGGGACAGGGGTTTCTGTCAGCCAAGGACACGAGGCCCATCCTGACGATGAAATACTCGATGATGGGTCAAATGGCAATAGCAGCCCAAAGACTGATTATGAAGATGGTGATGGTGACGGCGACTACCATGACGACGACTATGATGATATTACCGACATGGACCCATCGTCCGGTAACGTCCTCAAAGCCATGGTAATCCAAGTCCGCATCAGCGAAAACCACCAAAACGGCAAAGACACGCATGTCCGCGGATTCCAAGTGTTTGCGCGTGATGATCGCCGCCTTGCTCGAGAAAGACATGAGGGCGCACGCAAGTCTCTCAAGCCCCACGGTGCAACTGGTGCCGATGCTGCTACAGATGCGAGGAATGTTAGGGCTGGTTCGTCTATGCCGGTTGATCAAGGCGGGGGCGCTGCGGGCGATGACGAAGTGTTTGGTCCGGCGTTTGATGAGGATGATTGGATGGGCGAGATGGAGATTCGGTAGTGGTCTTGGGATTCAGAGGCAGGTTCGAGGAGTTTTTGCGTGTGTCTGAATCGTGACTTGGGTTATACGTTACTGTGTGTATACCTAATCCGATTGTTTTCACTTCTGTTTCATTTATTTATTGCTTGTTTCCTGCGCATTTCCTGGCGAATGAGGAGAAACGGGGATTATACATAAACTTGGAGTTTTCCAGGTTTTCTAGAGGGCGTTCAGGAGGATTTGTTTTCGTTTCTTTTCTCGTTCCTTTTTGTTCGGCTGCAGTTGTGCATAAATACCCTTGAAGTATTTCTCTTATTTCCTGACCTTCACGACGGGTATGAGCTCCCCCTGCTCCACACGGATGTATATACCCTGTATGGCGAATTGGCAACGAAGAAAATTGTTTGCCTCACTTCATCGTTGTTCTGACTTTGTTATTGTGCTAATCTCAAGGCTAGTTACCGCTTTTTATTTCGTTCTATATTTTTATGTACACGTGCGGCGAAATAATAATAATTCCGTTCAATAAGTAAAAATTTTCCACGCTGCACCTCAATTAAATCCTAATTTCGAAGACCCTTTCGCAGTTCCCTTTTGCCCTGGGCACATTATTGTAAACAAAATTACACAATCTCTCCTTTTCGCCTACAAAATCTTCTCCAACTCCGCAGCAACCGCATCGCCCACCTCCTTCGTAGTAGCTTTACCGCCAATATCACCCGTCCGGACACCAGACTCAATGACATTCCTCACAGCAGTCTCGATAGCGGTGGCTTCTTCAGGCCGGTTGAGGGAGTATTGCAACATCATAGCCATGGAGAGAATGGCAGCGACCGGATTGACGATGCCCTTGCCCGCGATATCCGGCGCGGAGCCGTGGATTGGTTCATAGATGCCATTGACCCTGCTCTTCCCGTCCGGAATGCCGCTCAGACTCGCACTGGGCAGCAGCCCCAACGAGCCCGGGATGACACTCGCTTCGTCGGAGATGATGTCGCCGAACAGGTTGCTCGTGACGATGATGCCATTCAACTTCCGCGGGTCCTTCACCATCAGCATCGCCGCGCTGTCGATCAGCTGATGCCCGTACTTGACCTGCGGAAACTCCTTGTCCATAACCTCCGTTACCACTTTGCGCCACAGCCTACTTGTGGCGAGTACGTTGGCCTTATCCAAGCTCCACACGGGCAGCGGCGGGTCATGCTGCAGCGCCAAGTGGCCCGCGAGACGGGCGATGCGCTCGATTTCCGCACGCGAGTATGGCTCCGTGTCAAGCGCGTGGCCATCGCCGTTGTCCTCGAGGCGATCGCCAAAGTAGATACCGCCCGTCAGCTCGCGGATGATGTTGAAGTTGACATCGCGGCATACCTCGGCCTTTAAGGGGGAGATGTCGACTAGGGAAGGCGCGGCGAAGTTACAGGGTCGCAGATTGCCGAAGGTGCCCATTTCTTTGCGGAGGCGGAGAATTCCCTGTTCTGGGCGGACGGCACCGGTGCCCCATTTCTGGATCAACTGAGTTAAGCTTTGTTTCTTTTCTGTCTCCAATACGCGGAGACAGTGTATTGGAGATAGGTGCTGCATACAGGTCCTCCTACTGCTCCTAGGATGACAGCGTCTGCGCTTTTAGCAGCATTTAGCGCTTCGTCTGTTAGAGCTGTTCCCGCCGCATCAATGGCGGCCTATATGTCGATACAGGAATGACCCAGTTAGCCCTCTGTCAATAGCACAGTCAGGGGGAATGGTCATACTGACTCCTCCAAGCAAATGGTCGTGGAAATTGAGTTCAATGTCGGGTCTCTTCTTCTCAACGACACGGAGAGCCTGCAACAGAGTATGTAGATATGATGAGCACATGGGTCACATATTTAGTAGTCCTCGTAACTAGAACGTATCCCCAAGCTGCACATCGGTTCTAATACTTCAGGAGCGAACTGGATAAACAGGATGCCTTCTGTGCGCACCTTAATAGCTTCCGCAATCACCTATTTCACCAAATATCAATTAGTTACTGTATAGCGCATTTCTTATGCAATGACAAGCTCAAGGAGTCAATTCCCCCTACCTCTGGGCCACAATAGTCGCCAGCAAAGACGACAATGTTGTATTTCCCCATAACGAATGTTGGGGATATATAGGTGTCAAATTGTATGTCCCGCTATGGACAGGGTCGGGCGGGGGCTTCCTAGATAGATCTACTAAAACAAATGGCAATCGAGAGCAGAGATAGCTTGTCTTTGAGAAGCAATGGGCTGAGGAGCAGTAGCAGTGTGTGATACAGCCGCTGTTCGACGCTGGATGCTGCTGCTGGGAGAACAGACACAACAGCTGCCCCTCGGCCCCGCCCTCCGACATCGGGATGTCTCGTGATAGTATCCTGGGAAAATGAATGATCCAGGGACGAAAGGGCATTCATATATCTAAGTAGTTTGTCTTGTATATTTTACTATAAATTAATAGGCTATCACACTTTTTATAGTCGTTAGATATCTGTATTCCAGGATATAGAGTTGTCTGATACAAAAGATATGATTGAAGTGAAATCCGCTTAAGAGCCCGAAAAGACCCAACATAAAAAGGGACTTTGAAGCACAGAACACATGAGGATCCCCCATCACTATATCTCAATAAAAACGCATCCATAGTAACCAAATGCAATTCAAGAAAATCCCCTTATCTCCGCCGCTGCCTCGGATCCGTCGCCTCCTGCCTCCTCCACACCCTCGCCTCTTTCGTTCCCATACTCCCCAATCCCCCTTCAAGCCTCCTCTCCCAACCACCAAGCCTAATAACAAGACAAGTCGCATTGTCTCCATCAACTCCCACCTCCGTCGCAAACCCGACAACATCCCTGGCCCCCTCGTCGGGCGTCCGCGCCTCCTTGATCACATCCACCACCTCTTGATCAGACATCGCCCCGCTCACCCCGTCCGTCATCAGCACCAAGAATGAATACTCGGCTGGGCCCATCTCCACGCGCCGCAGCTCCGGTTCCGCAGAGACCCCAATGCGCTTGGATTGCATGTCTCCGAACGCGCGCGTGTTGGCAAGCCCGCTCATGCGCTCCTGGCCGAAAGAGTCCGTGACGAACGTTGCTGCGTAACGGCGTAGTCGCCTACCTTCGATCGGAGCGGATGGGTGGTGGTCTGTCGTGAGCGGGATGGCGAGGCCGGTTGCGGTGGAGCAGAGGAGGATACGGGTGTCGCCGACGTGGGAAACGATGAGCGAGGAAGGGGTCGACGGATGCCAGAATGGCATTGGACTAGGGGTGGAAATCATGGCGATACTGGCTGTGCTGCCGCCTTTGAAGCGATGGGGTCCACCAATGACAGGGTGCCGAGACCGGCTCGGGCTGTGCAGGATGTCGGCTTCGTTAAGGGGTTTTTCGGCGTGGACGAGGTCGTTGTCATCTTTCTTGGCGGCTTGGGTGGAAACGAAGTCGAAATCTGCCTTTAGAAAGGCGTATTCAAGTAGTTCTTCGATCGTAGCGCCGCCATGTGGGGATGCTGTGGTATGGTGAGAAACGGTTCTGGATGAGTGGTGCTCACCATTGTAGAAATGCGATGGGCGGAATCGCCGGTAGTAGCCCCCTACTAGATGTCTCCAGTTGAGCACCAATTCTTTTTCCAGCTCGTCGATTTTCTGCCTATTAGCCCGCTGGATAATCGGCAGGTCACCTTGGAGATGTAATGACTCTCTCTCCTTGGCGCTGTGTATTGAACCCCTACCACGATCCTCCGTTTCCCCCTTGATCCTTCCACCAGAGCTATTAAGGCCCCTCTCCGGCACTCTCTTCCCAGTCTCAACCTCTCGCTTCAAACTCGATTGCATCTCAAACGCCACAGCCGCATCCTGCACATACTCATGCAAATAATCCCTCAGAAACTCACTACACTCACTCCCACCATGTCCGTCAAACACCCCAAAGTAAAACACCTGCGGGTCCCCACTCGCACTCTCCGCCGCTTGATTCTGGTCGTCCACTTCTCCCTTCTCTTTACCCGCTCCTCCACCGGTAACAGTCGCCCCTCTAGCTGCCGCAGCCGCAGCAGACCGTGCGCCAATCGTCAACGACCGTGGAGCCCGTCGCGCAAAGGCTGGTATATCAATCACTCCGGCTTGGTATGTATCTTCGTTCGTGGGCCGTGTTCCCCGCGCAACGTTGACGCCGAAATGGTGTTTTGCGCTGCGCAGCGGGATGCGGACGACGGTTGTTTCGCGCGAGATACCGATGGGTGGCTGCACGGTGGCCGGGGATGGGCCCCGTGCGTTACTGGCAGTGTGCGGTGTCGAAGCTGACCGGGGTAGTTTGTGGTGAGGCCCTCGAGAAGCGCGGGAGTCCGGGTGTAGAGAGGAGGAGGGGAGGTGGGTTACGAAGTAGTCGTGAAAGTGACGGCTGGAGCTGCCGTAGGCTCCATCATGCTGCTGTCGTCGTTGGCTGTACTGCGGGGGCGGCTGCTGGAGCTGCTGGAGCTGAGATTGCCCCTGAAGTTGAGGTTGATGTTGTTGGTGCTCAGCATTGGTGTTGTGGTGACGACGTAGGAAAGTCGCGATGAAGCCTGGATTTGAGCGCCGTGCGGGTTAGCAGGCATCTTTTTCCAGAGCTGCCCATGCCCTCTTTTTGTAAACGAATTTCGCAAAAATGTAGGAAATGCAGGGAATATATTTAGCATTTCTAACGTACTGTAGCTATCAGTCAGCGTCCAAGCACGAACTGTCGCACGCTTTACTGCACCAGAGTTCATTTGAGCAAAGACATTGACGGCGAGGATACACGATGTAAAGATAAAGAGAGGAGATGCGGCAAGCTCGGGGACTCTTTATCAATTATCGACGGCAACAGTAATGACAACGGACACGAGTGGTGTCTGCCGGCTTCTTGAGGTGTGCCAGTGGCCAGTTTTGCTCGGAATTAAGAACTTGAAGTTGCAACGTGGTGGAGTTAAACAGTTAGCAATGTCCGACGTAACTATTTATTTGAACATTTTTAGGCAGTTAGTGAAGACGCTACATAGTCCTTTATATATCGACCTAGCCCTCAAACCTGTGTGGAAATTGAAAAAAGAAAAATTGAAGCCAAGAACAATCTGCCCAACAAACCAAGAGCCGGTTAACCTTGGCCCATGTCACAACGAAGCAACGGTATCACTGCAAGGCCTGGCTGGAGCAACAGGGGCCAATATCTCCACTCGAAGGCTACTTGGAGGATAAGAAAGCTAGAAGAGGGGGAAAAGAAACGTGGGAAGTTCGAGATCACTAAAACTGGCCATTGTTACCGGACTGTATTCTTATCCCACACGTATACAAGGAATCATGACCAAACAAGAGGATCAAACACAGAAGGCCTCGGATTACTGCAACTCGATTTCAAATGGTGCTGTACAAACATTTGCGCCAGTCAGGCTGAGCATGAAAAATCATGGCTTGATCATAACAGGGGGGAAGGCATCCAACCCAAGCGGGGGGAACAGTGAACACATTAGTCGGGGAATAGCAGCATCATCATAGATCGCTACTAGCAGCCTTGGGCTCGAAATATCAGACCTCAAAATGATAACCAGAAGAAAGAAGAGCCGAATGAAATACCTAAGCAAAGGGGTAGACCTGAAATATTAGCACACCAACGGCGAATACAAATACAGATGGAAAACTACGTCCATGTCGAATCCGTATTTGCAATGAACGAAGAGACCAATTCCTGCGACTTTGGTAGAGACAAGGAGGCATAAAATGAAAAAAGTATCGAACAAAAAACGACAGAGGAAAAAAAGAAAAAAAAAAAAAAAAAACAAATCTCCGTGCACCACAATACTCCTTTAAGACGGGACCAACTCTTCGACACATCTAAGCAGGTACTCCAAGCTGATTCCAGATCCGATCCAAGGATAAGTTGCCAAATAACACATCCATTCCACAGAACCGAAGATCTCACAGGATGGCCGACAAAATTCGAGACCCTGAAGCCCGGCCACAGCCTAATACAGCAGTAGTAGCAGCAGCAGCAGCAGTTCGTCCTACCCATTCACCGCCATCGGCGAAAGCATAACATGGCCCATATTGACAATCTGCATCGGCTCATTCATCGGTACAGAATTATTCCGAAACCAAATCGTCGGCGTAACGCCCAGCTTCACGCGGTGGCATTTCCTCATCAGCGTCTGCGGATCGCCAACGCCGCCGCTGCGAACCAGCGTCGCATCGCGATTGAACATCGAATGCGCGTCGAACAGGTCGCCGACTTCCGCGAAGTGGAGCTGGAACTCGTACGGGCCGGAGAACATGGTCAGGGCGAGATTGTGTGCTTCTTCGATGATGGCGACGAAGTCGGTCCAGATTTTTGGGTGGTTGCGCTGCACGAGGGGCGAGAGGAGGCGGAAGAGAGCCGTTGCGTGCTCGTTTTTGCGCTTGTTGTAGAAGTTTGTGAAGAGGGGTTTGTTGCGGATGCGGTTGACTTGGCGGCGCATGGCTTCGTAGAGGAGGGCACGGACCGTGGTGGGGGCGTCTGCGATGCAATATATCATTCAATATTGTTAAAGGGAAGGGCGAGCTTGTGGCAGAGGAGAGGGGAGACAGGGGAGAACGCGGAAAGAAGTGGAAAACGTACCTGGATACAAAAGCGACATCATCTGGCCGATCTCAGAGTCTGCAGTGGAATCGAAGCCGATAACGACACCCATGCGAAGCACCTTGCTGATAAGAAAAACGTTGATCGCTTTGACCAGGAGAACGAAGCGCGTCGTTGGATCTGCCAGAAGGCCGGGATACTGAGTCTGGATGAGAAGCCAGAATGAGGTGCGCCATGGTGTCAGAATCAATCGCGTTATCTGGATTCTCGCTTGATGAGTTGATATACAGCTGTCCAAATGCCTCTGATTTTTGGAATAGGGAATGAAACTTGTAGCCAAAGTCCATGGCACTCAAGTTAGTCTCCTCCATGATCATCATACCTTCCGGCGGGTTCCTGGGCAGGGACGATAGGGGGATGGCTTTCTCCTCCGCAGCAGCCTTGGGCCCGATAGGGGGTACAAACGCATTCAGACGATCGATCGCAGACATGGTAGTAGATTTTGCAGTAGAACTGGCACTACTGGTGATATTAGTAGCCTGATTTCCTGTAGAGATAGGGGTGACTGGATCCCCAAGCCCAAATTTCGGAGGCGGGTTATTAAAGACGTGTTGATAACGGGAGACGCGAGTCGCTTCCTGGCCGTTCGTCCAATGGTGCTGCGGAGTGGTGAAGCTGAAAGACAGAGCGCGATGCTGGGACTTTACGGTGGAAGAAATCGTCTTGCTCTGGGTGCTTATTGTTGACTTCTGCTTGCTAACGGTGTCTTCTAGCTCGGCAATTCGATTCTCCATCTTGCGAATCAAGTCGCGGTCACGCTGGGCTGCGGCACGGGCTTCCTCAAGTTTACCTTTGGTTTGCTGTAAATCCGTTTCTGTGGCGTTGAGAATCCCCTGGAGTCGATTGATGTGATACCGCAGAGAATCATAGGTCTCTGCCTGGTATGGCCCAATTGCGTAGGGTGTTAGGTAGGGGTGTTGGGGCCCCATCATCTGCTCTGGCTGGACAAGTGGGAAGCTTATTAGTTGACTGAGGGAGTCAGCAGTGTTCCCCATGGTCGATTGGCGTCCCTGGTCAGAATTGGCACGCAAACGTGCACGGGGATAGAGAGGTTGAAGAAATGAAATCGGGGGTGGGCAAAGGATAGATGGGAGAGAAGGGTTCTTGGTCCAAACCACACTTCCAAAGACAAAACTCACTCTGTATTGTGAAAAGGTACAGCTATATTGACAGTGAGATGGATTGACTAGTTGTCCCAGTCAAAAGTTGTGATTAAAATCACAGTGGAAGTAACAAGGTCAGATCAGTGGCAGGTAAGGTATCAAAGAAGATTTGGGATGAGAAACGGTATGAAAGAAAAAAGATCAGTCATTCACAGAAGAATGATAGATCCGTGTTGTTTGTTATGAGAAAAGTAATTTATTAACGAAATATTATTATCTGCGCATCAACCGCATCAACCGCATTGAGTGATGGTATTCCAACGTGCAAGTAATAATGTCATGATATGTCGGATGGATGGCGTGGAGAATGAACCCCATACTCATCGCGGAGCCGACAGGAAAAGGAAATTCATTGATATCCAGTTAGTGTTTTATGTAACTAAAAATGCCCTAGAAAGCAGGTTTAGAGAACAGATAGTCATAGTACCCGACACATTATGAGCCAGAAAACCAGATAAGAACATCGCGATACGTGGTGGCTATGGTCAAGAAACAGAAGTCCCGAAGGAGCCATTGAGAAACGTCCAATGTCGAATGTCTTCACTGGCGATAGGAGGGTTAGACAGGAACAAAAATTGGAGGGAGATGGATAGTAATTAAAGTAATATGAAATATTGTAAATTGTTATAACGACCTAGGTTGAAAATTCTTCTAGCTAGCTACTGCATTCTGCGGGAGCAGGAAATATTTAAATCAATGACACAAAAAAGCAAAAGTATGTACTCGCAAAAAGACACAACACATACCACTGGTGGAATAATATCCTCGCCCTATAGTAGAAAGCACCATAAAGGGTTTCACGCTCGTTCGCGTTCGGGGGGAATAGTGTTTGGAAAATGGGAAGACACAAAGGTCGACGGCCCTAGACAAAAGTGTCAAAGGCTCTCTCTGAAAACATACCTAGCCTCCGTTTTAATTTCCATTTCATTTATGCTTTTTCGTTTTTCAGTTTTCTTTTCAATTTTGACCTAGTATCTCTGTAAGCGACTAAGCTCAGATCGCTTTGGAACGGGTAAAGAGGCTGCTGTAAACCGCGTCAACCACCGGCTGCGCGCTGATCTGTCTCCCTCCGAAAAATCGCCCGTTCAAACCCTTGATGGCATTCTCGCCGCCTTGGACTCGGTCAAACTTGAGATATATATCTCCTTGGGTATTCGGATCTAGTGCAATGTGAACAACGTGGCCATATTTATCTTCGCACTCAGCGCGGACGTCGTCCTCCAATTCTTTAATCCAGGATTCACCCTCTTCCCTAAATGAACAGTAAGCATATATATATATATATATATTAAAGCATGTAATGAGGGGTTGGAAACGTACTCAGCAGGGTCAAACATATTTCTGAGCAAAACACATCTGCTTGCCATGTTCACGCTCACGGGAAGCGGCTTAGCATTTACTTGCGGTTTGGGGACTTTGCGTTTTTCGTCTGGGGTCGGCTCGACAGCAGGTTCATCTGTTCTCGCAAGTTTCCTCATCAATGCATCTCTGCTATAATTGTTGAAGTTCACACCGGCAACATCGGTGTCATCTAGGGCGCTAGCACCGCCCGCCGCCTTGTCATTGTCTCTGCCTCCAGCTCGATCAAAGTGGCCGGAGCCACCGGCTTGGGCACCACGGCCGCCGTGGCCAGAGAATAGCGAACCCTGAAAGTTATGATGGGCACCCTGTCCCTGGAATCGCTGCAATAAATTGGCGGTCGATTCAGGGGTGAACTTATCATTACCAAGACCAACCCGAATTGGGCGACCAGCAAGGTCGAATCCATTCATTTTTTCCAAAGCTTCTCGAGCTTGGTTTGGGTCGCGGAACCTATGAAACATTTGTTAACAAAGGGACATAGAACTTGACGAAAAATTGGGGATAGAATAAACATACTGGACGAAGCCATAGCCCCTGCTACGACCCCCTTCTTCCTTTTGTAGCTGGACAAAATCAAGCTCGCCAAAAGGCTCGAACACTTTCTGCAAATCGCTTTCAGTGATGCTGAAATGGATGTTACCAACATACAGCCTGTGGAACGGAATCGAATTTTGATTTCCACTAACGTTGGCCTCGGGATTGCGGGCCTGTCTGTTTTTCTCGGCTTCGGTTAGTTGAGCAATAATGGGAATCCCTAGAAGCTTTTGGCCAGTAAGCTGAATGGCAAGTGGGACCGATTCTTCATTCTTGAATTCGACATAACCGACGCTGAATGGAGTATTAGCAGGGGCTTTTTAGAAAATATAAATCAACAAGAGTGTTGCGGGATACTCACCCTTTCGATCTCCCGCTCACGCGATCCTTGACAATCTGAGCTTCCTTGACGGGGCCAACTTTCTCGAAGAAGGCAATGAGCTCTTTCGTTCTCAAGCGGGCTGCAAGTTGCTGCACAAAAACGGTTCGTCTATCGCGTTCATCTTCAGTAAGTTGGGGTTCAGGAGATCTGCTACGACGCCTGCTGGAGCTGGGACTTCGTCTGCGTCCATCCCTATCGCGCTTACTGGACCGTCTATCGTCGTCACGTTCGTCCCGGCGGGAGCGGCCGGTGGGTCTGTAGTATCTGTCGTCGTACGGAGATCTAGAGCGGGAGCGTGTTGTTCGGCCAGGCCCGCGATAGTAGTCTCCGCCGGACGATCGATATGGGTCGTCGCGGTCACGACGGGAGTGGCGTTTGCCACTATCACGGCTCCTGCTTCTCTTTCTGCTTCTATTGCTCCCGTTAGCACTTGCGCGATCGCTCTTTGGGCTTTTCATTTCCTCGTCTCCATCGGCATCTCTTTCATGGCGCCGTTCTCGGCTTCTGTCTCGGCGCTTGCGTTCTCTGTCGAGGTCGCGGTCGCGGTCGCGACGTTCACTTCGAGAGCCGTTTGATTCATCGTGGCTTTTGTCTGGGGTCTCTTCTGGTGGGTAGGGGGGCGCGGCAGGAGCGGCTGTAGACTCAAGAAGAGCCTCGACATCAATACCTGACATGGCGAAGATAGGTTGAATACGACCGTCGGAAGGAAGGGGAGGTAGGAAGAATTGTTCACTTTTACTGCGTTAGAGAGGAAAACGAAGAGGGTTAGGCGAGCGAACCCTTCTTGAACTACAGCGCTAACAGAAACAAGCCCTAAAGGCCTTCTTATAACAATACTTCGATGTTATTTCGAATAGCGCAGTGCTATGAACCTTCACTGTTGGTTCCGTTCGATGCCGTCTTCGTTTTTTGACGTTGTCGTCAACGAGTAGACGTTGTGTTCAAAGATCGATGCTTTTCAGCGGCTATATATATCATGTGATTTAGATCGCCACCGCTATGCTACTGAGCTATCCTGCAATCGCTTTCTAGCCATTATGAATGAGCAGCCTTGAGATATCAACGAAAACTGAGATGGCAAGCTACTTACCGAATGGGGCACGATTATGAGAGCCATGTCGACCGAAGACTCCCCGTAACTACTAGAAGCAAGCAAATTCAAATTCATATGTTGATAAGGGAAAAAAAAAAAAAAAAAAAAAAAGCTGGCAGCCCCGAGGGACATTAAATAGGATTCTTACAGTTATAAGATACAACGTTACATTAAAAAAGATGGATCCAGTCACATTGTAATATATCGGAGATTCAAAAGCAACTCGAACAAGGTGAGAGAACAGAAAGAAGAAAGCAAAAAAGAATTAAAGGAATTGAGAAGAAATGAGAAAAAGATGATTATCCTATGCGAGATCGAACAAAATAATGGGACAGCGTCCGTGCGTAGTAAAAACGCGCCTGGACTTCGGGTTTCGTGTTTGGGGGGAAACGAGTATATAGTCATATATATTAATTAAGTAGTAAGAAGGAGAGGAAAGAGAAGAAGCGGCGGGAGGCTGGCTGGCTTTCGTAGCCATAATCCAATAATCCATGTACCGAGAGAATGTAAGCGACGGGGGATACTGAATGAGGGAAAAAAAAAAAAAAAAAAAAAAAAAAAAAAAAAAAAATCCAGTAACCAAAACTAGGGCTCTGAGTAGGGCTCTGAGCGGGGTGTTCATGATGATGTCTGATAGACGGGGCGCGACTTCAATTAAGTTAAATATGGTGGGCTGAGAATTCATTCGACCTTAGGGGGCTGGAGAGGCGGGAGTTCTGTGCCAAATACTTTGTCCCAGAAGCGGCTGCTGACGCCGAAACCATTATTGTAATCGGCAAAATGGTGTTGGAGGTGATATTTCTTGAGTTGCTTGTAGTATGACGGGAGACTATTGAGGGGAAGATTTAATTCGTAAGCTTGGTTGAAAATAGAAAGAGAGTTGGGCATTGCTCTGGACAGCAATATGATGGATTAAACACATACCTGCGATGGTGGAGGAAGTAATGTGTCATGTCATAGCATACGTATTCGAATACTCCACCCGAGAAAACGGTCAAGGCTGCGTACCAGTTATAGAAGAAGACGGACTTTGAGAGATAGTAGAAAGGTGTTGCAAGTATGATGAATAGTGTTGGGGGCATGACAAGGCGATATTTGTCCATGGGGAGGTAGTGGTGGATACCGTGCGCAAGGAAGTGTAGACTCAGTCCAACGCGATTATCAGGCAAATATCTAATTTTCGACGAGTTAGTAAGTCGACCAGATAAGGATTCGCCGCTGGAGAAGGGAGTTCATGGGGCTTCACACGTTTCCATATGGAAAATAAATCGGTGCAGGCCATATTCAACCAGAGTGCAAAGGCACGCGCCCAGAATCCAGTACGCAGCTCCGACGGTATAATTCTGCAAGCCAGTGAAGCCCACAACCGTTCCGTAGGCAGCTGCCGGATACCAGATCAATGGAACCATCCACCACGCAGTCTTCGTCAATGGCTCGAGGAAATTCCCAAACAGGGGAGCGGATTCCCCGCCCTTGTAGTGTCGTGGGCGGTGAACCTGTTGTAGATAGAAATCCTTCGTGAAACCACCATACCATAGTTGTCCAAAGAGTGGCCGGTTTAGGTCCAGGAACTTATGTGTCCGATAATCTGCGGTTAGGTCGGTTTCGACATTGAGATCTTCCTCACTTGACATGCCTGTGGAACTGTAGGTCGGTTTTGGGCTATCCGTCGCTCCATCCATATTAGAGCCTTTGGCGGCGGCAGCACCAGCAGCAGCATCGCCATTACCATTCATCTTGGAGACTGGGGATTTTTCGAGGAACCCAACATGATGATCCTCCAATATTTCATACGCAGCCTCGGAGTGTTCGTGGGATGGAATGTCGCGCATGATCTCAGAAACGTCCTGGCCGGCATAGTCCAGGATCAAGTCACCTCCGCCCGGGTGATCGTTGACGAAGGAGGTGACATCGTAGACCTTGGAGCCTCGTGTTACGTAGCACGATTTGGCCGTCGTATGTGATTTGAGCTCTGCAACAGAAAAGAGCGGCAAGGTTTTTCCAGGCATGACGGAGGGCTGAAAGTGGGAGGGAGGTGAAGGTATCAGCATGAGGAACCTCTGTCCAGCGATGGTCTAAGAGCGTGATGTTAATATACAGACGTAAAAGGCTAATGAGCGAATCCGTGGAGAGATGCGATATCGGGGTCGAGGTCGAGGTCGACGACGAGGAGGATGAGGAGGAAACTGTTGGTTGTTGGAATTTGTTCGTTGTTGGGATCGAAAAAACCGCGGCCCAGTTGCACGGTTCACGGATACCCGGCGGCTACCGTGGGCCGATTTGCGGGCGGCCAGAACAAGCTTGTTTGTTTATTGCATTCTACGGAGTATAGAAGAGAGAAAGATTCATTTCATTTGTTTATTAATGTAACTAGATTGAAGAAAACAATAATAATATCAATCAGCCCTTGTTCTTATCTCTGATTCTTCAAGATCTTAACCTTCTAACCCAGTCCTTATGACGTCCAACGCACTCGCCCCGACCTGTTTGTTTTTTGTTTCTGCGTGGGCTGATCACCTGAAGGCTTGGCTTGGCAACGGCCCCTGACCTTGTTGGCCCTTGGGTGAGTGAGTGAGTGAGGATCGATGGTGAGGACCGCGAGGAATGTGAAGAGCCAGGGGGAGCTGGGTATGGGCTAGAAGAGGAAAAAGAAAGAAAAAAGAAAGAAAAGGCAAAACAGCAAGGAAAAATTCTCCGAAGATAGGAAGGAATGGGGGGAAATGGTGAGTTAACAACATCTGCGATGCAAATGCCCGGAGCATTTGTTAGTTAGTACTTACGAAGAACAGTGGGAGACTCATATATATCAAGACAATAGGAAGAAGAAGAAAGCATCGCAGTGGGTGTCTGCAGAGTGCGATTGAAACCGCTCTTCACTCCTGGGCTTGACTGGACAAACATAGCAATCAAGACTCAAGAGAATACTACTCCGTAGTATCTGTTACATTTCTTCTCTACTACAGCTGGAATACCCCCTCCTTGTCCTGTTTGTTTGCTTCACTACAGTAACTCCTCCCTCGAGTGCAGCTCTCCAGCTTCGTGTTACCGCCATCCAGCCATCGTGTTGCCCCTCGTTCAGACCCCATTATTGAGCCGGCGGGGTAAATGGGAGAGGAGCCCAGATCTACGGCCCAGCGGCGCAAACAGGACGTCAGCCAGCAGGTCCTTTTACTGCATAGAAAGAAACTGCTACTTAAACCTGTCAAAGGAAAAAGCACTGATGGTATGTCATGGGATCCAGATTGCAAATTGGTGACTTTCTATAGTCATCTCTTCGCCACAAAAGTAAGGAGCTTGCTCAGTACGGAGTATGGAAATGCATGTAACCAGCCGGTGCGAGGTCTCAACTTGCATGGCGTCATGAAGGGGAAGGGGTTTGTTGTCTTTTTTCGGTGCCGTCATCTGCACAGCAGCAAAAATAGAAAAAAGGCCCCATTTATTACTCCGAAGTGGGAATGTGCATCATCTCTGCTATGTCCAGTACGCAGCAGTATGCGCTTGAGTGGAATAAACAAAAAGCAAGTCCCAGCTCAACCTGGAACGTTCATCATCGATCGCCCTGAAACCTTCTTTTCTTTGGCTGTTTAGAAAGCTTGAAATCAAAGTGAAAAGTCGACCGCCCTTCTGGCATCGGTGCATATGCAGGATAACCAGACCGTTTTGCGTAAACCTTGGTCCGGCAAAGCCATCGCCTGCAGCTTTGCGACTGTTGAAGCCTGGAACAAAACTTTTTTTTGGCGTCTAGCCTGTTTCCGAGTCGGAGAGATCCGTAGGTGCATCCAATCCATGTCAGCCGCTTAGCGGAAGGAATCAAATTCTCCATTCAATAAGTTCCCAGTCTTCATTCTAACTGTGCGGGAATGCTGGGCTTTAAATAATACATAATGGTCAATAATATTTCTCAAGAGAATGGGCCTCGTTTGGTAACCAATTGCTTCCGCTGTTGATCCGCTTCCTGTGGCGTGAAACTTCCAGCTTTCTCCTGCAAATCAGACTCCAACCAAGCCTCGAAATGTGAACCGGCCGGCTTCCCGTGTGGGGCCACTTCTGCGGATAGATAGTTGTGGGTTGAGGAGCTCACCACACTCCAGTAGATGATAATACATGACCACCAGAATTCCACCCGCCAGAGGCCACCAAGCAAGCCGTTTTATCGATAAACAAATCTAGCCAGAGGGCCGAGGCCTTATGGAGCAGCAACATCCTAACTCCAGTCCTGGTGCCACCGCAGATAGAGTTATGCGGAGGTCGATGCATACTCTGACGGGTTTGGAATTCCACTGCAGTCAGTCCAGCAAGACGTTTCTATCAATTCCAGCGGCAAAGAGGCCCTCCGGGATCCAAAAGGGCTGATAGCGCCACGTCCGCAACCGCTGCATCATCCTGTCGCCGCTGAGGTGTCCTCTCTTTCTTTCTTTTTATTTTTTATACCATGGAGAGAACCCTTCTTTTCGATTGTTTGAACCCCAGCCCAGGAATACCCCCTCAGTGGCCAGGAATGTGATGGGCTGCAGGTTTCCACACTAGCTGTGCCACCGCGTCTACGACAGTCATGGTTGGCCCTTGGACAAGCATTCAATGGGACAGAATGGCGACCAGGGCTGACAGACTAGGGCCCGGTTAAATATTACTGAGCCAGCAAGCCGGCGATGGGCTGGCCTTTTAGGCTGGGGCAAACCAGCCCCCGCGGCGAGTTTGAATTTTGTTTTGATCCTTCCTGTGGCTTGTCAACCGTGTCCTTCTATTTTACTGAACTCCCATCGCACATTTTGCTGGTTCCCAGGTCTAGTTCCGTATTTTCTTTTTTTCTCTATCTTTCGTCCTGCTGAGACAGTTAAAAGCGAGAAGTTCCGGACGAGAAAGTAAGGCGTCACAATCGATTGAGTTTGTTCGCAAAAAGGGCAGCGGGGATGCGATAATCACCCAAGAAAAACAAAGGACATACACTCTACCACGAAAGTTAGACGCCTCGCTGGTGATTGTTGAATAATAATACCTACTCTTTCGCTGGCCAGACTCCCGGAACTCCAGGAGTTGGGGGCACTTTGTCGATCGCAGACAGGTCATCATCCCTCTTGAATCTTCCGGCTGTTGGAATATCATTCCGATCGCCCCAACAAAAGGAGAAACAACCATTGATTTGATTGCCTTTTAAAAGCATCGCCGGATTCCCTCCTCTTCAGTCTATATCCCTCGAGCTCTGGATTCGTGGCACGCAATCTCTACTATAACGCATTGACTCTAAACACTGCCGAACGGCATATCGCTCTTCTTCAATCTCGTACTCAGCATGGACCCTCCAGCTCAGGATGCCTCTGACAACCCAATTACATCATATCTGCGCCTCCTTAAACAACACAAAACTACTCTTCCATACGGACATCTGATATGCGTTTCCGCTTCTCCCAACATAAGCACAATGGCCGCTCTTTTACGGCTGGCGCGGGCGGTGGGTCCATATATCGCTGTGCTGCAGGTGCACGCTGATATCATCGACGACTGGTCCCAGGACGCCGCCCGGAGGCTCTCATGTGTGGCCAAGAAACATGGATTTTTAATTTGGGAAGGCGGCCGCATTTTGAATGTTCAGAAGCGCTCGGGGAAACATCAGGGTATGTCCAGCGAGCAGATCAATCGGGACATTGATTTGGCGCGGAAGCGCTATACGAAGGGTGTTGTCAGCGTCGCGGCGTGGGCGGGAATGGTGAGCACTTGGGTGATAGGACCAGCGGAGCAGGGGAAGGGCGTTGACCGTCTCGTTCCAACCCTTCGAAGGGCCGCGCGAGAAGTGGTTGCGGTTCTGAAAAAGTCTGTCCGTACGGAAATCAGTGGTGGGAACGAGCAGCGAGACATATCTGACAGCAACGGTGATGGCGATGGCGACGAAGAGATCAACACCAGTTCTGTTGATGATGAAGATGACGAATGTCTTCGCAATGGCGATAGGCTTGGAGATAACCTCGACAGCATATTCCCTGCCCCGCGGAAAGGGTCAGTTATCTCCCTCACTTGCACGATCACCCAACACACAGAGCTTTCCACTGCTCTGCCATCCGTTGGAGGGGGAGACCCCTGTTCTGACGACGACGAGCATCCGAATGACGGAAACCCTCCTGCTTCACTTCCGCCATATCCTCCTCCGCCACTCCATGCGCGCGGCCTCGTACTTTGTCTTCCAGCGACAGACGATCCTGCGTTTTGCCACGAGTATAGACGAGCCAGTCTCGCAACCGCCGACGCCCACAGCGACTTCATCGTGGGGTTCGTCAGCAACGAGCCCTGGATCGAAGCGTCTCAGACCGGCACCATCATCGGCTCTCAATCCAACTCCCATGACGCAGAGAGTGAGGACGAGGACGACAAGAACGGAAAAGGCTCGGCACAACCGCCGTACGTACTTTTTGCACCCCTCGAAAGCGACCATATCTTATTCCCCGGGTCGGAGAGCATAACTCCCCCCGCAATGGACGCGGTTACGGAAGCTCATGTGGACAGTGTCCAGGTATACCTGAACGTTGACGACGAGGCTGCAGGGGAGCCATCGCCGCCATCGTCTAACTTTCCTTCATCTCTGCGCCAAGCATCCACTTCTGAGACGCAACATCGCCAAATCAACACTCTGCACCAGCTTATCGGCCGGGCCATCTCTGTCAGGAACGCGAAGGCCAGCGTGCACCAGGATTCTTGGGACCGTGATTCCGAGCCTCTGTGTATCCCGATTATCTCGATGAACGCTTGATGGACTGCCTTGTCTTTGTTCTTTCTTCCCTTCTTCCCTTCTTTCCTGCTTCTTTTCTTCCTCTTCCGGAGTCACATTCTTTTCGCCGCGCATTGTATGCATCTATCTAACTCTAACCCGCCTATCATTCGAGCTTCTAATACGCATACTTCCCGAAATCTTCTGCTTTCATGCTTTGCTTCCACGCCTGCCTATTGCCTCTAGCAACCCCCGGCACGCAGCCGCGTAAAGTACATATCAAACCCCTTCCTGGAATCCCCATCCTCATCGCGCGACGTTCACTCATTGAAACTCCTTCATTTCCCAACCGGCTTTCACTTCCAATTCCCGTCATGTCTTATTTTCCCTTCTAGGAACCGGTCAATTTTATTTGCTGTTTTGGGTTTTTTTTTTTTTTTTTTTTTTTTTTTTTCTCTCATATGATTTTCGCTTTTTAGACGTTTGTGTGATGGGAAACGTGAATATGAACGGTTGCACGAAAACAGACCCCCCCCCCCTCCCCTTAACACATCTCAATTCAGGCACGCAAGGGGTTTGGGGATTCAAGTTCTTATTTGATTTGATTTTGATATTAATCAATGTAGATAAGCATTTTTGATATCGGGTTATTCTTACCTTGTTATTTCAACTTGATATAGACTGCATCCAATATTCTTGCATTATCTAACTGTTGACCTGAAGTCTTCGACGTATTCTCTATATCTGCTACCACAGAACCTTTTGGAATATATAACTATTTGTTAAAATATTATGATATGCAGATGGTTGATGATGATGATGATGAGAGCTCTTAGGTGGAGATTTCGTGCTAATTCGGCAAAGGCGATCACTTCCAATTCTCTAGTTACATCTGCCTGCCTGGCTGCATACCGTATGAAGATCTGGCAGTATACACATTGCTGCTAACTTCCTCCACATAAGTCATATGAGGGTTGCTGCAAGTATATATACTAATATTAACATCTGGAGGTTCATACAGGAGGTATGTTTTTATTAGATATATAAGGGTGATTGATTGATGGTTAGTAGAAAGGTAGCAAACCTTGGAAATGTGGCAGTATTCAGATTGGGTAAGTTACAAACCCCGCCGAGTTTTATTGAGATAAATTTTGTTGCGCTACCAACTTAACATATTTTGTCCAGCAAGAATTAGCTGTTCAATGTCTCGGACAGTTGATATGCCGCTTTGCTGTCCTATTCCTCTCAGTATTATCGTTCCCCTTTCAGGGAGCTGAACCCCGCCATCAACAGCATTACTCTTAACTCACCCACCTCTTAAATGTGGAATTAGTTGCTCTGTTTGACTCTTGAGCTCCGGGGACGCGAATTTTAAAATGGAAGACAGCTTACCTCCGCTGTCGGATGATGCGGAGCCCTGTGTACTCAAGAGCGGAGGGGCAGCTGGGGGTTTGAACCGCCCACAAACAGGAGAGGGAGGCCGTCATGTCAAGAAGACAAAATTATTATGCTCCGATGCTGATGTTATCTTGGAGTTTACCAGGTTGCCTCCTCCTCGTTCGCGCAGCTTTGCGCAAGCGAAGTATCGCATGGGAGTTTCAAGCACGCTTTTGAAAGAATCAAGCATGTATTTCAGAGTGATTCTAGATCCCGACAAGTTTCGCGAAGGGAGAGAGCTTTTTGAAAAAACAGCTCAATTAGGCGCCAAATGTGGAGCTGGCGGAGCGTCCATGAATGATGCGGTTGCGCTCGTAGAATTGCCCACGATCAGCATTGAGTTACCACTGCTGGCTGGCGTCTTTGATAAGGCAGATCATGTTGAGACCTTTTTAACAATGTTACAGTTTTGTGGCGCAAATTCGCACAATGACCGCCAGACAGAAGAAATTCTCGATCACCTTGGGAAGCAATCGATTTCATTCGTGGCGAATCTGATCGTCTTGTCTGACAAGTTTGGTGGCCAGCAAACGCTCAGATGGGTTTTGAATATTCCGCTGAATTGAGCTCGCAAGTCCATGGGCCAAACGCTGATGTCCAAGACGCTACGTCGGCTCCAAGCTTCCCAAATCGGGGACGAAGAGCGCACTCGCCATGCCATATATGTTGCCTTGCTTCTTGGGTATAATGAGGAGGTTGCGATTTTCACCCATAGGCTAATCATTGGCGGTTCTCGAGAGTGGATGGATGGTGGTAGAGATGGATGGGTCGGTATTGACAGACCACTATGGTGGCATCTCCCCAATGGAATCGAAGGTATTCTTTTGTGCTTCTCCTCTCTTTTCCCTCTTGACTTCGAATCCCTTGCAATCATAAGTAATCCCCGTCCTTCTCCACCGCGATTTAGCATCGAAAGTTGAAATGCTCATGTATGTCCAAATGGGACAAATTCCCAGAAGAACTCCGCTTCCGCCACCAATCCATTCTGGATACAATCACAGATCTGCAATCCCACTTTCTCCGCGCCTATGGCGCCCAGCCACCGAAATCACCATAAATTACGGATCCTAGTACGTCTGTACTTCTACTAAAACCACCACAGCCTGCAACAAGACTCCAATGTCGTCGGATGTACGAAAATTCCCGCGCCTGCGACTCCTTCCACCTGGGAGAAATCGTCCGCTTTTTCAACACACGAGCTAAAACCCTACATCTTGAATCCACTTTATCAATGATTCTGATTCTGACGGGCGAAGCCGAAGAACATATTCCCCGCAGCTCTAACTTCACCCAACCCCCATCGCCGCCACCAACAACAAACATATCAAATATCCTCTCCTCCCTCCGCCAATGCCCGGAATACCAGATCGACCCAAACCACGCTGGCTGCGGTCTGCGCCGCCGCCTCCTCCCAGCCCTCGACTGCCTCGCCAGCTTCACAACTAACCACAGCAATGCCGCCGGCATTTGCCTAGCCCATTTCAATAATGGCAACAAGAGCGATAAGGCCACTTGCACCGACATCCTCCTACTTTGTCATCAACGAGGCACGCGAGTGTGGGCTCCTGGCGGAATCACAAGTTCCGAGATGCGGTTATGGTCGGCATTGGAGCCGGGAAAGTGGATTCCATCATGTACTCGAATGACGGGCGCGCAAACGATGCGCACGAGGGCCTGTGTACGTGTGTGCCGGGAAAAAAAAAAAAAAAAAAAACGGGGAGAAAAAGAGAGGACGTGTATGTTGAGTGCCTGGTGGTGGTGGGTGCGGAGGGTAGGGCTATCGGCTGCGTTCGTGTGGGAGTTCTGGTGTTCCGGTGTACCGGTTTGCACACTAGTTACCCAGTCATGTTATTTAATTGTAAGTCTTTCCATTCTGTCATAGAATGTGTTGAATGCGTTTGTGAGTGCTAAATAATATTCGTGTCTTTCTCCTGGACGTCCCTTTGCTTGGTTGGTGGGGGGGGGGGTTGGGTTTGTTGGGTGGGGAAAGAAAGAAAAATTTAAGTCTTACCATTAATTTTTATATTTCCTAAAGCATATCAAGGTTTTTATCTCCCAATTATCACAAATGATATCATTTACAAAGTGCACATAGTAAACAAACTACTTATATTTAAAGAATGGAAATTATATGCATATGAGAACTAAAGTACACAAATCTACTTATCCTTTCACCAGCAAACATCAGAAGAAGGGGAACATCAGAAGAAGGGGAATGTAAAATTAGCGGAGCGACAAAACATAGAAAAGGAAAGGGAGGAAAATCCTTCTTTTTAAAAGAGACGCCTGATTGATTATCTTGCCAAATGAAATAAAAGATAAAAATCATATCGCCCAAAAACTCAACATGCTTGATGGCCTCACTCGGTGTGAATCCTGGAGAAAATGTCTAAATTTTGAAGATGGGGGCAACAGAAGTGATTTTTCATAACCGAAAGTTTCCGTGATAGAGAAGGGGGAAAAGGGTTCAAAGGGGTGGTAAAATTTCGTGGAAGCGGAATCAATAAGAAATATGTAGTTACTCGTAATAGCCGAAGACTGCCAAATCGAGCAGTACCAAAAGGTCAGGCTGTTGCGCCAAGAGGACCAACACCAATCCGAACCCAAGCAGAGAAAATCGGGAAGGGCTTCTAGGGAGGAGATAGATACATACATATGTATGTATTTTCAGGGGGGAAATGCCACTCCATTTCAGTTATCATAGTTGCATCTCCACCGATTGTCGTTACAACGCCGAGACGTTTCGATGCACATCCTGGTACTAGCGCAGCACAAAAGAGCTAAAACAAAATAATGAGAAAGAACAAGAAGAGGTAAGCATTAACGTTACTTCCATCACATGCTGCGGAGGCACCACCACCGCGGCGTGATTTTTCCTTTAGAGCTAGCAGATGGGATTCTGCACTGATATTTGACGACATTCACCCAGAGAATAAAATATGGCAGCGGGTTCAAGAAGTGAGGTCCAATGACCTTATATCTCAGCTGGTCGAAATGTGGCCAAGACTTTTCAAAAGCCTCTAGAAGAGTGGTGGTGGGCATAGAGGATAAAATATAGTATCCCATTTCAGGAGGGCACACGAATTAGCCCCGGGAGGACGGAGGTTCTGAAAGCTTGTTTCAATAATGCAGGGGAAAGGATATGGGGGGAATGTGAGACATGCGCGTGAGACTAAATGTTAGTATATCGTTACCTTGAACATTGTTTGCCACTCGACAAGAACCTAGTTAATAAGAGCTGGTTGTGTTAGCACAAAACGAGACCTAAGAGTCGCTGTGGCATGTTAGTTCTGTTCACAGATGTTGATTACAAAATGACGAATATGACGACGAAAGCTTGGGTGATTGGGTATCGTTATGTAGAACGCCGGAATATGCTACTCCGACCGATGTCGCTTGATGTCTGGAGTGGAGCCCTCGAGATCACCAATGCTGGAGTCTATGAAAGAACGCTTTGTCGATTTAGGGCTAACAGGAGCAATGGACTCATCCGTATCAGGGACTGCTTTGTCTGAACTGATTGTAGTTTCATGGAAGTCTCCAACAGTGTGAGCGGTAGTCGCGGTTGTTTCATCCTGTTTCGGATTGGGGCTTTCCGTTGGGTATGATTCAGCTCCGCCAAGATTAGAGAGAGGTTCATGATCAGCTCCGTCCAGAGGAGCAGCCGGAGAACCGACGACGGCTATCGCTTCGTGAGCGTTCATCATCGGACTTTTAAAAAGGTCTTCATCAATCTCGAAGAAGTCATGGGTTAGTTCTGGAGTTCTTGGAGCATCCCCGGTGGGAGATTTAACCACCAGTCCGGAGACAGGTTGTTCTCCATCTTTAAGGATGGGAACTGCCCTGTTCTCGGTCTCCGGTGCATCTTCACCGAGTTCGTAAATTTCACCTTCATCCAGGCTGTCATCGCTATGGTGGGAAAAGGATCCCTCTCGCAGGATCGCATGATCGGTCCCTAGATCGATTTCAATGTGCACATCCTTATTGGTGCTTGATTGAGCATTGGTATCAGACCCATTTACATTGTCCAAAGAGACGGTATGGCTTTCCGTTTGATCATCCTTAGACTCTAAACCAACGTCACCATGTTGGTATTCCGCTTCCGTATCTTCTTTCCCCTTTGCTTCCAATTGCGGGGGTACGTGGTTGAACTCATATCCTTGCACGTACTCTTCTGACTGTTCAGTTGACTCGTCTCTTGAAAGGTCTACAGTCGGGATTTTCATAGATAGTGGTGGGGTAGGCCTATGGTAACTTGCATCGTCTCTACCGGATTCGGGTGGGATATCGTCGTGTTCGTCCCCTAAAAAGTTGTCCTCTATCTTTCTTGACCAGATCAACCCAATCTAGCAGAGAACTAATGTCCTGCCTACCTCATATTTTCCTATTTCTTCTTTTCCCTCATCCTCAATTTGAGCATGTGGTTGTCACTGTATTCCTCAACATCTGCGGTGACACAGTATTACCACGGCTAGCAACTTCGGCTGGAATATCGGCTTGAGTTTCTTTCTCGTTTTTGTCGGCAGGTGCAAGGGATTCCGGTTCCTCTAATTCTGGTGAGCCCTGATTTGCGAACTTGATTGTTGAGTTGTGGCCTGTAGAACCAGCCCATGGGCTCCTAGCCACGTTATCAGAGGAGAGTCCTTCGTCAGCAGGCTCAACATGGTGAGGGTGATGCTCAGCAGGGGAGCTTGCGGCTTCAGTCGTTGATAATGGTTGTTCATGGGCTTCGCCATCTTCCACCCCATGTTCTGCATCTTTTTTGGCATTGTCAACATCATAACTTTCCCATAGTAAATAGGATAATCCTCTACCCTCATGTGCAGCTGATACAAGACGAGCGAATCCTGATGTGAAAGTTGATCTGGAAGAAAGTGTTAGGTACAGAGGCTCGGGTTCGCTGATGCCATCATTGGAGCAAAGCTCGAGATAAACTTGAATAATTTGGAATAATGATGTTGTGATTTCGCCGCAAGAGCACTAATAATATGAGTTAGGTAGGGCATTCTCGCAATAAATGAGAAGAAAGCGCGTATGATCCTTACCTCGGGCAAGTGCAACCCAAGAGTTTCGATATCCAGTATTAACTCTTCATCCTCGCTAACATGCTCACCCAGTACTTGCCGACACGCCCCCACAAGCTCCTTGATGGGAGCATTGGCTACTCCTTCATCTTGCAGAAAGAATGTTTCTGTTGCGTCATCATCTGCAGGAGGGAATAACGAGATTTCGCTATCTTGGTACAGCACCTTTACTGGATGCAGTGATCTCCTTTCCTGGAACTCTCGTGATTCGCTTTGTGCTTCGCTTTGTGCTTCGTAATCTTGTGCTTCAACAAAATGATAGGTCTCAGTTGTATTGGATAGGTTTTCCTGGCCAGACGGTGAGCGATACCGTCCTTCAGATTCGGGTTCTTGAATTTCAGGTTCTTGAAATCTAGGTGTTTGAGCCTCAGGTTCTGTTTGACTATGCTCATGCCCGTCTTCCAAACTAGACTCAACATCTTCAGCATACTTTTCATGGCCTTCAATTAAGCGTGACGCGCCTGCGCTCTCTAAAGCCTGCAAAACATCGTTGCCTTCCTCCGCGACAAGTCTCTCAGGCTTTGACAGAGTAACATTGCTATCTTCCTGAGCCACAAGACGCTCCTCCGCCACTAGCATATTGTTCGAAATTTCTGTTTCAACTTGATCTGAATTCGACATGGCTTCTGGAGCCGGCGTTTTGGTGTTATCCAAGACCGCCACTTCTTCTATTTCCACTTCTTCCTCCTCCAATTCTTCTTCTTGTGCTACTACTTCTGCTTTCCTTTCCTCTTCCACTACTGCAAGCGGTATGTTTGTATCTTCAAAGTCGCTATTAGGAATAGGGGCATCAATGTCTTCTTCGTAGTCTTCCTCCATCTTTGCTTCGTAATCCATTGGATTATTATAAGCAGAATCCTCATCGAATTGGTAGTAGCCTTGGTGGTATTGATCATATCCGGAAGCCAACATATCACCTTCCATATATTCGTCATCAGCCATATCTGCATCGTACTTGGCGTCTATGTCGGCAGGAGGGTGGTCGGAGGCGGCGGCGGAAGCGTCATCCACAGGTACATCATTATCTTGCTCGGGAACGCGCACCTGGGTAAAGTCAAGGTCGATTTCGATATCATCGATAGTCCCGGGATGTCCATGGCCGACGTCTGAGGCCACCTCCATATTGTCATCGAAGACAGCGGACTCCATAATTTAGCGTCAACCTTTTGCTTCTTTTTTCTTACTAGGTCACAGACTGAACATAATGACAAGCAGGCTTATTCGTTCACTTGTCTGAGATCACAGAGAATACACAGGTCGGAAATATTGTTAGCCGTCATTTGTTGGGTTAGAGATGGTGGAAGCCGGAAAGGGTTTCAGACGAGAGGTCAAAGAAAACGGGAGCTGATCTGTTTAGACACGCCGGGAGCGATAACGAAAAACGAACTGAGAAGGATAACTTCAATCTGTAAGCTTAACGCGAAGTTCTTGTTGAGCACCGTGCGTCCATGGGGAGAGTTGAAAGTTGTTCAGGGCCCACGGTTTCCTTTGGGCTGTTCCCTTTTTTTGTCAGCAAGCCTGAAGGGGCTTGGTGCACGGACCACTTCGCTCTCCAAAGGCAAGTTGGTTGAAGACAACAAACCCTCTTTGCAACGGTTCATTCCACTCCGCACCACTGCATCGTTTCCTCACAATTTCGCTCTCAATAAACAGGAGGATCTTTTTCTTCTCACCTCATTTAGGCCGTTTGTATTTTTCTATATACTCTGGGAGACGATGGTAGGTTTGGTTTGCAGATGGCGAAAGAGTGATCCCCCACTGACTTTCGAACGGCGCAAACCAGGTCATCCTCGCAGCGTCGATATGTACTCGAGGGGGCAAAGCGGTGCTCTCGCGCCAGTTCCGTGAAATCGCCCGTTCCCGGATAGAATCGCTATTGGCATCATTCCCGAAGTTAGCAGATTCCGGCACGCAGCACACCATCGTCGAACAAGATAATGTCCGATTCGTCTACCAGCCATTGGACGAATTATACATTGTCCTCATCACAAACAAGCAGTCCAACATCCTCCAAGATATAGACAGCTTGCATATTTTCGCCCAGGTCGTCACAAGTATTTGCAAAAGTCTCGATGAACGGGAGATATTGCGGAATGCATTCGAGCTCCTTAGCGCCTTCGATGAGCTTGTCACTTTGGGCTACCGGGAAAACCTCTCTTTGTCACAGATAAAGACGTTCCTTGAGATGGAAAGTCACGAAGAGAGGGTGCAGGAGATAATTGAAAGGGTATGTGGTAGTACCAATATAGTAACATGATGTGGTCGTTTAACATTTTCACTCTTCCGCAGAACAAGGAACTTGAAGCGAGCGAAGCGCGAAAGCGCAAGGCAAAACAATTGGAGATGCAGCGCAAAGAAGCTGCCCGCAGCGGTCGTGGCGTGGCCCCACGAGCCCCATCTTATCCAGTCTATACCCCGCCGACTCGGCCAACACCTTCTGAGACCCTCGACTCATATGAGGCGGAGAAAAAGAAGACTTTTTCTAAGTGAGTTTTAATTGCGGATCCCTGGCCACCCGCTTTATCCATCCCATTGACGTAGTTATATAGGCCAATGGCTGTTAGGGGCAAGGGAATGCAGCTTGGGAAGAAATCGAAAGCTACCGATATCTATGAGAAAGTTCGAAGCGATCTCGGCCCTGACGCTGAAGACAGACCACTGGTTTCCCCGGCCCCTGCACAGGCTTTTTCAGAAAATGTGGCTCAACCGCGCAGCTCTTTATCCGTCGACCGCGAGCCTATCCATGTTACTGTGGCTGAAACCATTTCCGCCAAGCTTTCCCGCGATGGCTCAGTGAAGTCATGGGAGATAAAAGGCGATCTTCAACTGCGTATCACGGATGATACATTTACAAAAGTGAAGCTTGGATTAACAGCCAATCCTACTCATGGAGCTGTTTTCCGTACCCACCCTAATGTCGACAAAGCGCTATTTACAAACTCCAAAGTCATTCAACTCCGTGACCCTTCAAAGAGTTTCCCTCACAATATTTCAATTGGAGTCCTTCGATGGCGCGTCACCGGCACAGACAACACAGACGTTCTTCCAATTACGTTTACCGTTTGGGTAAACAGAGGCACTCAATCAAGCACGGTTACCATTGAGTACGAGCTCAATGGTTCGGAACCACTACGAGACGTGGTTGTAACAATCCCTTTCGGTGCTGTCGAGCCTACCGTGACGAATTATGACGCTGTTTATGAAGTGACTGGAGACAGCCTGGACTGGAACATTGGTACTGTCAACGAATCGAATGTCTCGGGCAGTTTCGAGTTCGAGTCTGAGGACCCCAACAGTGACGAGAATGAGTTTTTCCCGATGACCGTCAAGTTCCAAAAAGAAAGTCCCTTCGTGGATGTTGATGTGCAGTCAGTATCGCTTATGGAAATGGATGGGCAGGCTGTGAATTTCTCGAAGGACTTCAAGACGGTTGCGGATGGGTATGCGGTTGAATAATTAAATTTGTTTGCGGTTGTAATTTTCTTTCAAAATTTTAGAATATTTATTTCTGCTTCTCTCGTTTTCCTTTCCCTGCAGCTATGCAACGCTATTCAATTCCATATGACAAAAAACGGTTTCAACCACCTTGCCGGCTGCGAATACAACTTTCCTCCTTATTCTTTATCTTATTTTTCATTCCACGATAGGAACTGGGGATGATTAATTTCACAAAAGGGTAACTAGAAAGGAAGTTTTAGGACGAAAGTGAAAGCAATTCGCGGTGCAAATCTGTACTCCGTCCATTTAGCTTCAACCAGACTACTCCTGCTATGGGAACAGCTTGAACGGGGTTTTGATACTTTGGGATATTTCAAGGCTTGTGAGCAAGCTTGTGGAACTTGCCTTGCTAAATTATCATGGATAAAGTTCTATTGAAATATATCAGAGATATAGTTAAAATCTGCTTCTAAATTGACTAGGTATTAAATCAGCTCAGAATCATTAGAAAAGTTTAATTGAATAATGATATACATATAAAATTTATCATTTAATCACTTCTTATTCATCTGAGTTTCAGCGATATAAATCATGACAGATGTCAGTTTTGATTTATCAGTGATTTGAATTTATTTCTTTTTTTTTAATACAATTCTTGAAAATATGATTGTAAAAAACCCGCATTAAGATATCAGTGCTAGGCTGAAAGTGGTAATTACTTTAAAAGATATGACATCACTGAACTTAGCATTATCAATATCTTATCAGATTTGAAATCAAGGCATTATAATATAATTAATAGTTATATGAAGGTGGATTTGCCTGTGTTTGAACATATATTTTTATGATGTTTAATCAAGGCCTCTAAATAATCTCATACATGTTCTGTACAATGAGCTATTTTTTTTTAATTATATAAAAAAGGTAACTTTTCTGTAATATTATGTATAATTATTATATCAACTTTTTTTTTATTCTTTATTTTACTATCATCTTTTCTACTTTTTTATTAATTTTTATTTTTAAATTATTTTTATTTTTGTTTTTATTTTTATTCTTATTCATATATTTTGAAACTCTTATATTTTTATATGAATTAGAAAAATTGATATGATCTCTGCTGTGAATATTGTTATTGAAGTAGCAACTACATAGAAGCAGTTATAGTATAATTTTATTATAAAAATGATAGTATATTATGACAGATTAATATTTGTTAGTAGTTAATTTATACAATCAACTTCTTTTCTGCATCTACTCATTTCTGTTATTGCATTTTGCATTCATATAGTTTTTAATGATTTTTCTGCATAATCTCTTTTACTTTATGCTTTGCGCTCACATAATTCTAACAATTCTTCTGTATAACTCTTAATGTTTTTTCATTTCATGCTCTGCTCTGTGCTTCACTGTGGAGCAGTTTCTTATATTCTTTTATTTCAATCTTTTCTTTATAAAAACCTTCTTTATACAACCTTTTTTTCTAATCTCTTTTCTCTTTCTTTTCTTAATCAATTTGTAATCTATATTTAAAATAGTGTTAAAGTATTAATTAAAATATACTTATTACATTATAAATTAATTCATTTGTGTCAGTCTGAGTGCTTTATATTTACAATTGCACTCAGATGTTTAAGTTAAGAAATAAATTACCAAGTTTTTATAAAGCTATATTGTTGTGATAACATTTGCAATTTCCAAAATTTTATAAAGCCACATCACTGTGATAATGCTGTGAAGAAGTCTGAATGTTTAAAAGCTTCACAATTATATATTTATGAAAAGATCAAAATGTTCATAAAATATCTTCTCTGAAAAATTGAATCTTCTGATTCTCAAATTATCAAAATCAAAAATCATAACCTCATATAAAAATGAAATGAATTACAAACATCTTTTCATGAGTGAGAATTAAAACTTTGTAAAAGATAACACTGAGTTTTGTAACTTTCTTCAGCAGCAATTTTTGCATATGATGAAATTTCAATGATAATTGAATCATCTGAATATGAATATATCAGAAATTATACAAGTGTCAATGTTTTCTGTGTATAAAAGAAAAGAAAACCTTTTTCTTCTCAATAAATTTTCAAAAGAGCTTTTAATCTATCTAGTTTGAAAGCCCCAGTGGCCGAATGAGTAATGCGGTCATCAGGTAGCGCCTTGGCGTGGGGACCCAAGGCGCGTGGATTCGAAATCCATAAGAGGACAACATTACATTCAGAGTTAATTTCTCAGCTTCTAAAATAAAGAGATGTGAATTTGTGAAGTAAATATCATTGAGTAGATTTACTATCTGATTTAACTTATTGTTTCTGAGCTGAAAATCTGTATTGTGAGTATCAAATTCTATATTTCATTAATCTTTCTATATTTCTGTTATATTCTTGACATTATTCAACATTAAGCATTTCTTCTATATAATCAACTCTTGCTTGTATTTAACATTACACAAGGACTCATCATAAGCATTGCTTGTATATGAGTATAACAGAAGAATAATGATAATAATAATCTAATTTGAAAATGAAAAATAAAAATTTAAAGAAAATGAGTTTGTGATAAACTCTCTGCTTTTGCAAGTTTGTTATATTCATAATCAGTTAAAAAAAGATGTTTTAATGAAGTTTTAATTCTGAATTGAATTATATATATATGAAATGTGTATTTTTAAAGAAATCTTCTGTCAATTAAATGTTCTGTTCTTGAATTTTATACTGCAAATGCATGCAATGCAGTGGCTGAACAGAAATCATCAAAGAAATACTCTTTTAATAAACTATCTACCTGATTTTGATAGTAAAATCTGTGAAGCAGAAGAATAAAAATAAGATGATATTGTGAAAATTAATTTTTTAAATCAATATATTAACTAAATTATTTAAACTCTACATTTTACATTTTATATCTTCACATTACCACAACTACTGCATCCACTTGTGTTAACTTAACAACAATTTTGTGCATTTCAATGTGTATAAAAAAGCTGTAACTATTATTATTATTATTCTTCCATTATACTCGTATGCAAGCAGTGCTTATGACGAGTCCTTGTGTAATATTAAATACAAGCAAGAGTTGGTTATACAGGAGGAATGTTTAGTGTTGAATGATGCCAAGAATATAACAGAAACATAGAAAAATTAATGAAAGTCAGAATTTGATACTCACAATACAGATTTCCAGCCCAGAAACAATAAGCTAAATCAGATAATAGGTCCGCCCGAAGGTACTTACTTGGCAGATTCACATCTCTTTATTTTAGAAGCTGAGAAGTTGGCTCCGGATGCAATGTTGTCCCCTTGTGGGTTTCGAACCCACGCGCTTTGAGTCCCCACGCCAAGGCGCTACCTGGTGGCCGCATTACCCATTCGGCCACCGGGGCACAATGAGCTTCTTATTTTATAAAAAACATTCAATGAATTATTAGATAAAGATTTTATCTGAGTTAGCAACTTCTCTGCTGCAGCATTTATATTGTTTGTAAAGAAATTTGAAGAAGGTCTACAATTCTGTGTAGATTATTAAGATCTCATCTGAATTACATGAAAGAACTGATACCCCCCCCCACTTACCAATGAAATATTTGAATAAATAGAAAAAGCAAAATGATTCATAAAGCCTGATATATCAGCAACCTTCTACAAGATAAAAATCAATGAAGGTGATGAGTGGTTAACAGTATTTCATATGCATTATAATTTATTCATATGAACAGTGATCCTCTTTGAACTGATGAATGCTTCAAATATATTTCAGAAATATATCAATTGAGCTTTATAAAATATGCTGGATGTATGTATGTATGTATAGGTTTAACGTCCCGGAGAAAACACGGGCAGCGCCCGTGTTTCAGAAGCCTCCCGAAGGGCATGGAGACGTGCTACGCTGGAGAGATTTCTATGTACACAGAGAGAGAAAACAGAATCCAGGTGGCAACTCTTGAGAAGACTCAGCTCATTGCAAAGGATTTTTCTGAGCTGCGCATCCACTTCTGGCCCGACGTATGGCCATTCATGGTGGGGCTATAGTGTGGTTCCCTGAGGGGACCGCCGCTGCCGTGCCTGGAAGGCTTTATAGTGAGCAGAGAGGGATACCTCTCTCAGTTGATCAGAAAGCTGTCTGTGCTTCTAACATCAGAAGAAAGACAGACGAGATAAATAATGAAGGAGAGAGCACTGAAGAAGGTTGTGACAGGAAAAGAGCAGAGAATGACAGAGAGAGCAAAGAAAAGAAGGAAGAAGAAGCATTTGAGCCGATAGAGACAAGGGCAAACGAGAGGAAAACAAAGCAGAGCACGCGTAGATACAATGCCGGCAGTCAAAACCATATCAGCTGAGTCAGACACGTAGGCTGTACTGATTACACCACAGCTAATTGAGACAGATGAGCCTAGTTGTGCTATCTGTACTGTCTGCATAGACTGTGATGTCCCTGGCAGTTGCACTAGCTACCGTGGGTGTACTCAGCAGGCCGGCCTCGTGGAACTGCTGCGGGGGTTGTCAGATGGTTTGCAGCCAGCCGGCTGCGTTACCTTGTGCAGTACCGTGTGTAGAACTGCGTGCAGTCCAGCAGTTCTACAAAGTCTGTAGGGGTCAGAGACCCTAGATAGGCAACAGCTGTCGCCCGGTTGTGTGGCCGTGCTGCTGGCCTCTTGGGCCAGTGAAGAAAGTGCCTCTGTGAGTGTCGACAGAGCACCAAATGTTCTGGGCTCTTGTTGTGTCCATGCTGGATGAGATCGCATCAGCATATATAGATGATATTCTAATCTTCATGAATAGCTCACTCACTGAGTATCACAAGCATGTAAAACAAATGCTTACCCACTTACACAAAGCTAGATTACAAATGAACATTGATAAATGCAACTTTGAGACTAAGTTTACAACTTATTTGAGCTAAAGGTATGCTGTTGGAGTTGTTCTGTCAAAACCTAATAGAAAACCAATTATTTATAAATCTTATAGAGTGATATCTCTGCTGAATTATCTGGGAAAAATTTTGGAAAAGATAATTGC